CCTTTCTCCCCCCCTCCCTCCCTTTTAATCTTCCGATCTCGGGTTGATTGTGATTGTGGCTTTGACAAACGCTTCTCTTCCCCCCTTCCCTCTCTAGGCAGGCGACTCTCGACATTTCTCCAGCAGTGAACGCCAACCAGCTTCCCCAGATGGGCTTGGAACCGCCACTATGACGGATCTCTCTCGTGCCAGGCAGCACGCCGACGACCATCGTGCCCATGAGCTCTACCACTACTTCCAGCCAGATAACCCGGCCCTCCTGACGGCCCGGAAGAGCACAGCAGGCAGGGGAGGGAACCGGGGCAGCAGCAGCAGCAACAACAACAACAGATACTCTTCCACGGCGGTGTGTAGCCCGAACATTGTGCTTACGGCTATTGCGCAGCTGGCGGCCATTAAGCTAGGCATGCAACGAGCGGTGATCAGGTACGAAGTACTTTCTACTTACTGGTACTAGCATAAAACAAGGATAACTAAACCGTTCCAGTGTAATAGATCATCAGACCCTCTACGTCGTGGCAGAGGCCACCCAGTCGTTGAACCTGGCCAATAATACCCTATACGGTGCAGAAACCGACTCCCTGTGGATGGGATGTTCGAATTCACCGCTGACTGGCACGTTATGCGAGGTAGACTTGACACAACCTTTTCAAACAGGAGGAAATAGATGGATTAACCTTGGTAGAAAACGATTGCCCTACCGCCCTCGAGAGATGGTGACGCCTCCTTTTTCATCGTCGAAGACCTGCAGGCCCACGACGTGTACTGCCAGCTGCCCTGCGTTCAGCAAGTGCCTCACTGGCGATACTACGCCGCCACGCCCATCTCCACCCCCAAGGGCATCAACATCGGGAGTTTCTACGTCGTCGACCCGCGGCCCAATCGCCAGATCACCGCCCAACAGAAGGACGACCTGGCTGTCCTGGCCCAGGCGGTGGTCGACTACCTCGATACCTCTCGCCAGGCCATCGAATCCGACCGGCTTACCCGCCTCATCTCCGGCTTTAACTCCTTTATGCAGGGGGACTCCTCTCTGGACGTTGCGCCTTTGTCATCCTCCTCCTCATCATCAAACTCATCAAATCAGTCTCAAAGCGAGACGTCACCGACTGTTTCAAGGTCTCTTGGTTCGCAACGGCCCCAGGTAGTCGGTTCAGAGCGGCCGACGGAAACACCCATATCGGATTCACAGGCTCCAAGGCCAGAGAGGAACAGCTCACAGCCAACAGATCCTTCTTCTTCGCCCTCTTCGGAATGGGTTACTGACCAATGCAAGCTTGACGACAAAAGCTCGGCCAAACCTGAGGAGTCGACGTCCATGCCTCGACAGTGGGTTTTTAAACGAGGCGTCAACATCCTGCGAGAGAGTCTCGACCTAGGCGAGGACGGTGGAGTGGTTCTCATCGACGCCAACAACACCTCTCCGTCAGAACACGACAACCAGAGGTTCGACCACTTCTCCAGCCAGACCCAGAAACACGCGGGCGTGTTGGCCCTGTCGACACACCACAGACCCTTCTCAGACACCACAAGCCTGGAATCCTCTTCTCAGCCCGTCGCGCAGGTCGACCCGCGCTTCATGAAACAGATCATTGCCCGGTTTCCCCGGGGTGGGAAATGGTACTTCCACGACGACGGGCACTGTTGTACCACCGACGAGGATGATTCCCACCGAAGCCACGACGAGAAGAAGACTTGCTCTTCTTGTCCGACTTCCAAGACGTCCAGCATCTCTGATGCGGCTTCCCTCTACGGCTCGGCCCTTCGCCGGTACTTCCCCACCGCCACCAGGATCCTGTTTGCCCCCCTGTGGGATTCTCTCAACTCTCGCTGGTTCGGCGGTTGTTTCTGCTGGAGCGGCACTGCGACGCGTATCTTCAGCACGCCCGTCGAGCTTGGGAGCATCATTGGTTTCGGGGCTTCTTTGATGGTGGAGTATAGCCGGTTAGAGAGCCTGGAGGCGGACCGAAGGAAGGGAGACTTTCTCAGCAGCATATCGTGAGTTCTTGCAGAACTTTGAATCAATGATGGGTATTTCTGGGTTATTAATGTGAATAGGCATGAGCTTCGTAGCCCCCTCCACGGCATCTTGGCTGCCTCAGAGTTTCTCGCCGCCGATCAAGCAGCCACGGGCTTGCCCAAGTCGCTCCTGGAGACGATCCACTCCTGCGGGCAAACATTGCTGGACACATTCGAGCAGATTCTGGATTTCAGCAAGATCAACGCCTTTGAACGCAAGCGGCGCGATTCCAAGTGGTGGCGCAACAACCAGAAGGACGGCGAACAGACGGCCACGCCCAAGACTACCCCACGCTCGTTGAACATCCTGCGCACCGTGGACGTCGCCTCTATCACAGAGGAGGTCGTGGAGAGCATCTGCTTTGGCCGCCAGTACTCGTTGGCCCACCGCCGAGCCTCGAAACCAGAGGACACCGAGACGACGGAGGGCGATCTGACGGCCACCAGCCGACCCGCGGTCGAAGTCACCATGGAGGTCGATCCTAATGATTGGGTGTTTGACGTTGAACCAGGGGCAGTGCGTCGGATCGTCATGAACGTTTTTGGAAATGCCCTCAAGTACACTGCGGTCGGCCACATCAATCTGAAACTAGAGATCGAGCAGCAGCAGCAGCAGCAAGGCACCGAGCTTGCTGGTGCCGATGCCGTAGTTCTGACGGTCTCGGACACGGGCAAAGGCATCACAGACGAATACCTCCGTTCGCACCTCTACACACCCTTCTCACAGGAGGACGCCCTCGCCCCGGGAACGGGGCTGGGCCTCTCGATCGTCCGGAGTATCGTCCATTCGTTGAACGGCAGTATCCGGGTCCGCAGTAAGGTCGGAGCCGGGACGGTGGTCAAGGTCATTCTGCCTCTTACACGGCCCAGTTCGACATTGGACTCGAGCAATCGACCACCTTCTTCTCGGGGCAGAGAGACAGCAACATCGCCATCCCCCGTGGCTGATATACAATTCGTGAGGGAGAACCTGGCGAATAAGAAAATCGCACTCGCGGCCAGCCGTAACAACAACACGGAACGCCGAAAAGACGATTGGAAAACCGCTGTACAGACTGTCGAGGCCTACGTGAAGCAGTGGTACGGCTTGGAAGTAGTGGCGTGGTCTCCGCACCAGCCGACTGACCTGATTGTTCTGGACGAGGCGCAATTGCCAGACCTCCTTGCCAAGTCGCCATCGGCACCCTTGCTTGTGCTCTGCCACGGGGCACTGGACCGTGCTCGAACCTTGGTCGACAGGTATCAGGATATCCTGGAGCATCGGGTGGAATTGATGGTGTTGCCGTGCGGTCCGTACAAGTTGGCCAAGATGATTCGGAGTCTCATGTCCGGCAAGGGACCATCACCAGGCCATCAGAATGGATATGTCCACCGCGCCAAGGATGTCACTCCCCTTGACCACGACGACGATGATAAAACCGGGAGTCCAGGAGGAGGAGGAGGAGGAGGAGGAGGAGGAGGAGGAGGGTCAGGAAACCACCTCCCCGAGAAACCTGTGGGCAATACCAAGGACATCCTCAACATGGTGGGTCGGCGAGTGGAATCCTCTCCCCGATCCGCCTCGGTCCAGTACTCCCCGCCGAAGAAGGAAGAGAGTACATCCAGTGGAGACAGCAACGGGACCAGCGTTTCCTCTGTCTTTTCGTCATCAGCAGCAACAGCAGGACTCGCGCCCAGCACCACTACCACTACCGCCACCACCACCAACAACGCCTCGTCACAGACTTCTCGCTCGACAAGCCCAGATGCAGACCCAACAACCATCATCCACCTACCGGATCGCAGAAAGCGGGTCTCCATCTCCAGAAATGCACCCGACGCCCTCCGCATCCTCCTTGTGGACGACAACCCCATCAACCTGAAACTCCTCTCGACGTTCCTCGAGAAACGAGCCCCGGCCGTTCTCCACACGGCGCAGAACGGCAAAGAGGCCGTCCACGCCGTGGAACAGATGCAGGCGCGGGGAGGGTACCACTTTATCTTCATGGGTGAGTTAATACTTCTCTTCAATATATTTTATTCAAACTAATGGACAGACATCACCATGCCAATCATGAACGGCCTCGAAGCCTCCCGCGCCATCCGCGCCCTGGAAAACGACCACCACGCCAAGGAGAAGAAAGAGAAGAAGAAGAATCCAATACGTCGTCCCGTCATCGTCGCCCTGACGGGGCTCGGCTCCGAGCGGGACCTGGAGGCCGCGCACGACGCGGGCATCACCCTCTTCCTGACGAAGCCTGTTTCATTTAAGACGATCAATAATCTGATCGATGATTTGGGGGGAGAGTATCACTTGACGGAAAGAAACAAGACATGATTCAAAAAAGAAGAAGAAAGAAAGAAAGAAAGAAAGAAAGAAAGAAAGAAAACAACAGAAACAGTAACTTTGCAACGCGACTCAAGAGGAAAACGATTAACTTGACGTTTTTGATATATAGAGCGATTTTCCTGCGGGATCCGATCCTACCCGTCATAACATGTACTATAAGGATATGATTGATAGTTATACCCCCTCTATTTAAAAAAAAAGCCACTGTACAATAGGATAGTAATACATGAACTATACATTGTTAAGCTCCATCCATATTTCTAATACATCAAGTAGGATGTATCACTCAAAAAAGAAAAAAAAAAAAAAAACCATCCTATATCAATATTCAAACGACTCATTCGTATACTGATGGAACTGCTGCACCAGGTTATCCCACTGGTCCCAGTCCATCGGGCTGTCCCTGAAATCGGAGACGCCGTCGATCAAGCTCAGGTCCAGATGATCCAGATCTGCCATGGCGCCGGGCGAGTATTGAATGCCTTGGCCCTCGACGAGAACAGGGTCGTCCAGCACTGGGGCAGCAGCAGCAGGATAAACAGGGGCAAGGGGGACATTCAGCGTATACGCGGCTGCGGAGCCGGTCTGCGACGTGCGGGTCTGCTGCTCTAGTAGGATCGGGATGATCTGTGGCCGGGGCACGGGAGCGATGTTGATCTTGGCGCATTCGTCGATGTGCGCCTTCCAGGTGTGGAGGATGAGCCTGCGGACAGCGATGTGCAGCGGGTGCTTGGCCCAGGGCCCAATCATTTGCTGGTACTGGCGAACGCAGTTGGCGTCGATCAGCGACCAGGCCTTTTCAACCTCCTTGCCCTGGAAGCGGTGGCGCAGCTCGCTGAGGATGAAGAGTAGCGCGTCCCAGGGAGTGTGATTGTCCGCATGCCACGAGTAGCGCTTCGTGCTCGGCGTGGTGTGCACCAGGATGGCGTACTCGGCCACCTGCAAGCACACGAGGAAGATCTTATCGCGCTCCTCGGGGGCGATCATGTTCCCCGTCCCCTGGTACCGCCGTGGGTGGTGCGCGTTGAGTCGCATGATGGACACGACCGACCGAGCCAGCACGGTTGATATGAAGTGCAGCGGAATCGCTGGGTCGCAGTGGTTGACAATCTTCTCCTCCAGCATCGCCTCCAGCTTGTCGATAGCCTCGTCCTTCTGCGCGAGGGAGATGTTGGGACTGGCCAGGAAGCTCCAATGGCCGTCAAAGCCTGACCCCTGAGGCTGCTGTCGTAGCCATTCCCCGAACTGGATGCGCGTCAGGCAGAAGACCATCTCTGTCAGACCGCTGTGTTCGCGCGGTGGTTCGGTCATGTGAGGATCGAGGTCGCTGTCGTTGACATTAAGCGGGGCCTTCGTGTTGGCAGCAGGGATGAACATGACGTGGCCAGAGCCGGACTGTCGGGCGGCAGTCGCATCGATGATGAGCATCTGGTGCCACATGCGCCGCCGCAGCTCCGTCTCGAAGACAGACAGGCCAATATTGGATCCGTCCTTGTGCAGACCGATCCGCTGCGAGATGCGGACGGCAATTCCGGTGAGCGACCAGACAGTATGGGGATCAATAAGAGACCGCATCGAAAGCTGCAGTAATGATGGAATAAGTAATTACAACAGAGCCCAGGGAGGGAAGCCAAGCCAGATCGTACCAGGTAGAGCATAAAAGCTTGCAGAACCATGAGATTCGAAGTCCGCAGGATCCCAGCGTTTTGCAGCGCTAGCTCTGCTCCTCGTCTATACCGTGCTAGAAGAGTGGATCTCGGCTCGCCAAAAGACTGCCGTACCTCGTCGTCTTGAAGTGAGATGAGAGAAATGCAATAGATCGAGAACATCAAGGCCTCTAGGTCCCTGCCAATCTTGCTCGGGTCCCCGGCCGCCTCGAGGATATGCTGCTGGATGCTCGGGGCGTGAACGATCTTCGTGAGTGGATGTACATTTTCAAGAAAGGTTTGCCAGAATCGAAAGACATGGACAGGGTTAGGATGCAGCAAAATCAACGACCGTCGCGACGGCGGATCAAAGAGCAGCGAGGATGCATCGGGACCAACTTCCGAATCACTCTGCCCAAACTCGTCCGACTCGGCATCCGACAGCTCTTGAAGAACATCCTTTTCATCTTGCAGCTATGCCCAGATCGGTCAGTCAGGTTACTGGGAGCAGTCTTAGACAACTGAAATGCCGATCTCACCTCGTTACTAACGCTGGCCCATAGATGGCTGGAATGTTTCAGTCAGCCAACTCTGTAGTAGTACGATACTTCTCCGACAGGCAAAAATCCACGTACTTATCCAAATAGACGGATTTCCCGTCCTTTGCAATCAACCTGCCCGTACTGGACTGGTCATCGGTCCGCGTCGTGAGGCGCTCCTGGCTGTCATCGGCAGCAAGGGTCTCAGCCGTCCTGATGGACAAGTCCGACCCTCCCGACGCTGGAGCGTCACTCCGTGAATAAACAGACGGGTCTATCCCGTTCTGTTTCAAAATCTCCTCATACCGTCGCAAGCGGCTACCTAGAATCTCTTCAGCCGTCACCTTTCTGCGCCGCCGCCGCGGCGGCCGTGGCGCCCGGTAGATGCATTCCGACCCTGCCCGAGCACAGTTGGAGCAGGGCTCCTGTCGGTCGCACTTGACCTTGCGCCGCTGGCAGATCGTGCACGAGTGGGAATGCGCTGGCCGCGAGTATAATGCCGGGGTGATCGCAACCCCAGTCGTCGGCACGCCGGGGGCGAGTGTCTCAGACATGGAGGAGGGCCAGAAGAGCTCTCATGGCAGGGCTGCAAGCTGGAACTGGCCACTCACGGGCTCCAGACAGGGAGTAGCAGGCTGTGTGCCCCCAAGTCAGGATCTGTGTGGTGGTGGTGGAGGGAGAGCTGAAAGTTGAAGCAATTTGGGGAAGTCACGGCGTCACTGGGTAAAAAAAACGCGTAATATTACCGTCCGGCCGCCAAAATTACGCCCGCAGTTCTTTGTCTCCCTCCAGCCAGCCAACAATCCTCATTCTCCAACAACAGCACAGGGGAAATCGAAACCCTGGTCGGGCAGACAGACGTTCTGGAAACCAGTGGGTGTCAATGGCTAACGCTTCGGTGGCTTGCTAGGACCCTGCAGTCTGCGCCCTGGGGTGCTATTTGGAGCGCCAGGACAGCAGCCTCCGCCTGGCTGTAAGGGAGACGTCTCGACTGGAGAATGGCGATATCTGAGATCGTATTATTGATTCTCGATGATACACAGGTATGAGGGTTCTTCCATAGTTGGTTATTAGATCGGTTCAGCTGACGGTGGACAGTAGCTGACAGTCAAGTCCAGACCAACCCCTGGCGGAGACAAGGATTAGCCACCACAAGTCGTGACAAAGAGAAGGATACTCAGCTATTATGAAACTAGTACAATCAGAGTCCAGTCGTCAGTGCCTAATCTTGACCCAGTGAGAGCTTTCGGCGCCTAGAAGGACGATAAGAGGTCAAAGTGGTGTTGGTTACTGCACTGCGTCCCCCATTCCGTGTGATATTTACTACTAGTTGTTATCAGAGTGCTGATGCTGACTTCAGAAGATCCATAGAACTGGATTTTCCTGCTGGTTATGATAAAGATTGATCCTGGTCTTCAACCATGGTGCAGGACGTAGAATCGTCGACAGTCCTGAGCTTTGGCAGATCGACTGCGCTGACAAGGACCCTCGGCTTCATCAATTCCACATAGCCTCAAGAGAGCGTTCATTCTTATCTCCGAGGCCGATTAAATAAAACGAGAAGTGCTATCAACGTGGAAAATAATGTGACTTGCAGTGGCTTTTAACCACTATCGACAACAAAATACAGTCAGTGAGGAGGACATCTGCCAGTCCATTTGTCAATCCTTGGCATCCAATACTTCATCTCCTTCTCTATTAATTATGTTCATTATCTTCCGATGGGGTGCTCCCTTTCCTTTTCATTTTTTTCTGGTTTATCTTCGCTATTTCCGTATGGGTTCTACCACGGACCCGTCCTCGGATCCGTGACGGACTCAACGGAGATGGTTACGGCGATATCTCTCACCAGCAGTAATACGAGGAAACCTTGGGAAACACACTGGAAATACGGAGATACACCGTTGTTCAGAAGGATCGCAGTACCGCCTGCGTCATCTCCGTCTCGGAGATCATCGTTATGGCAGGAGACGCGGAGAAACGTGAAGCATATTTCCTGGATGTTGAGGATAGATAGATTTAAAAAGCTTCAAATGTCCCAGCAAATGGCTACAATCATTGACTACAACAAGCAACCATCAGAACACCAAGGAATCATACACAGATCAGTTAAAATCATCTGGACTCTATACATACACATACACTACAATGTCTTCCGACGAGATCGCTATTATCGGTGCTGGGCTCTGCGGCCTTGCCTTGGCTCTGTCGCTGCACCAGAAGTCCATTCCCTGCACCATCTACGAGGCACGTCCAGCCTCACTCAACATTGGCGGAGCCATCATGCTCTCTCCCAACGCCCTGCGCATCCTAGATACGCTAGGTGTCTACTCACGCATCGCCGACAAGGGCTACCACTTCGACCTGCTCTACTTCCGCTCGCCGGACGACAAGCCGCTCGACACATACGAGTTCGGTAACAAGGAACGCTACGGCTACCACGGCCTGCGCATTTACCGCCACGTCCTCATCGACGAGCTCTTGGCCATGTGTGCAGAGAGACAGATCCCAATCCATTACAACCGCAAGTTCATCCGTGTCGTCCGCGAGACCGCATCCGAGGTCACCTGGGAGTTCGACGACGGCAGCGAGCAGACGGGCCGGCTGCTCGTCGGCGCGGACGGCATCCACTCGCGCGTGCGGCGATACCTCTATCCCGACCTGGAGCCGACGTTCACCAACGCGATCGGGGTGACGGCCGCGGTGCCCATGTCCCACCTCACAGTGCCGGACGGGTACAAGATGCCCGTGACGATCATCAACCCGACGCACGGCGCGTTCGTGATCGCCCCGCAACAGCCCGATGCCTCCGAAGTACTGATCGGCCGCCAGAAACGGCTGGTCGACCAGGCCAGCCGCGCGGAATGGGCCAATCTCATGAACAACAAGGACTGGTGTATTGAGTTCCTGCGCGACGGGGCCGCCGACTTCCCCCCCATCGTCCAGACCGCCGTCGCCGACATCCCCCGCGACCACATCAACCTGTGGCCCTTCTACGTCGTGCCCGCCCTGCCGCACTGGATGTCCGTCGAGCACCACTGCCGCGTCGTCGTCCTCGGCGACGCCGCCCATGCCATCCCCCCAACCGCGGGGCAGGGTATCAACCAGGGCTTCGAAGACGTCTACACCTTCGCCGCTGTCCTTGACCGGACCGCCCGCTCTGATAAGAAGGCCCTCCCGCGCACCCTGCTGCTCTGGCAGTCTGCCCGCCAGGCCCGCATCGACCGCGTCCTCGACCTCAACCGCCAGATCGACGCCCGCCGTCTGCCGGAGTCTGAGGGCGGGGATCCTGCCGCAGACCAAGCTCCCTTCGATCAGCAGTGGTTGTTCGAGCCAGACTTTGACCAGATGGTCGACGAGTGGTTCACTCAGCTGTAGTCTTTCTTTGATTCCTTCATACTCTTGATTACATTATAGATATTTTTATGAAACTATTCATTCTGGACTCTTCAATCTTACTATATAACTAGTGTACTTCCAAATGTGTATTCCACCGGTCAACTGGGTTAATCACTACCACAGCTTGCAGACGGGATCCCGCTTGGGGCAGTTGAAAGCGTCCTTGAATTCGCGAGAGTTGGCCATGGTTTCCTTTTTATGTTAGCAAAGACACGAATATACCGAATAGATGAAAACTTACAATGATTCTGGCCGGCTTCGGGGCATGCGGATCGTTGAAGATGGCCTCCTCTGCGGCTTCGCGGGTCGTCTTGCTGCACCACCAGCTCGCGTAGGAAACGAAGAACAGCTGCTCCTTGCTGAAGGTGGAAAGACCCGGGATCAGCGGATCCGGGGAGGCTTCATCCCGCTTCCTCCATGCATGGAATGCAGCCGCCAGGCCACCTGCATCGGCGATATTCTCGCCCAGAGTCAACCGCCCGTTGACGTGGAGGGGCTCCGACCCCGTCCCCGGTACGGTGAAGTTGGAATACTGATCCACAAAGCACTGGGCCCGGTCCTCGAATGCCTGCACCGTTTCGGAATCCCACCAGTCGGTGTAGTTGCCTGTTTCATCGTAGTGACGGCCCGTCGAGTCGAACGCTTCATAGAAACGTATAGTCAGCAAGGTTAATTCATGTGACTAATTATCACGAATGGGTGCCGTGCCACCCCTCTTCACTCACCGTGGGAGAGCTCATGTCCACTGACCGCCCCAAAGGCTCCATAAGCTAGGTACAGCGGGGCCGAGGGCCCGTAGAAGGTCGGAGGTTGCATGATGCCTGCGGGGAAGACAATTTCGTTTCCTGGAGGGTTGTAGTAGGCGTTGACCGTTGGGGCTGTCATCTCCCACTCGTCCCGGTTGGTCGGCTTGCCAAGTTTGGACCATTCCTCCCGCAGAGCGAACTTGGCCGCCTCCACTCGGTTTTCAAAGAAGGTCTCGTGGGAGATTGGGAGGCTCTTGTAGTACTCTTTGACAGCCTTGGGATCCTGAACATTGGGGCTCCTGGTCGGATATCCGATCTTCTGGACAATGTTTTCCACCTTTTGAATGCCCATCTTGCGCACCTCAGAGGACATCCACGAGGTCTGTTGGAGGGTGAAGATGAAGCGCTCCTTGATGTCCGAGACGATCTGGTCTCCCAGCTTCTTAGAGTCCTCGGAAAAGGAGTCAAGAATATAGAAGCGACTCAGTACCCAGCCGAGGTCATCGTCCATGACACGGATACACTTGCGCCACCGCTCCTCGCTCGCCTGGGGGTCCTTGCCCTTTAATTTGTTGTTAAACTCCCGAAGGGGCGTGACGGAGGCATGCTCAATGGTATCTGCATACGTCTGGATAATCTTCCACTTGAAGAAATTCTGTACTGTCTCTCGAGAAGTGGTGGCCAAGATCTCAGAAAGTGATTTCATATATGAGGGCGAGCCAACGATCAGACGGTCTGTCTTGAACTTCGAGGGTCCCAGAGCAGAGATGATATCGGCAAACGATACTTCCGGAAGCAACGAGGAGGTCTCTTTAAGGGTCTTGGGATTATAGTACTGAGTCACGTCCTCCTGAGTTTGGGTATCGGGAGTCACATCGGCCAGCTTGGACTCGAAGGCGACAAGGTCACTGGCCAGATCCCCGCTTTCTTTTCCAAGGAACGCGCCTAGGACCTTTCGTACAACAGTGCCGTATTCGGAAACTAGCTCGGTGTTATTATAGTATTCACGGGCGGGAAGCCCGATCGCACGCGGAGGAGTGACGAAAATGGCAACCGAGTCAGGGTTGCGATCGTCGGGCTGAATGTGTCAGAAGGTATATTTGGTTAAGCACCGTGTTTGGGGAGGTGGGGCTTACAGTAACGTAAGGGGAGACCAGGGCTTCCACGCCACCTTCCATCAAATACAGAATGGCGTCTGTCAAGTGCTTGGTCGGACCTTTGGTAGAGGAAGAGCTCGCCGAGTAGATCTTTTCAAGACTCGCCAACATGTCGTCCACCGGCTTCTTCCCCCGTTCCTTGATTGTAGCATCATTGATGCAGGCATCGTATGCATCCTTCAGCTTGTTGAAATTATCGGCATCATCCGAGCTGCTGGAGGAAGCAGTCGGTGCTTTAGACGCCTCAAGGATATGACGAAGCTTTGTCTGGGACTCCTCGGCCATGATAGTCCCTGCAAACAACGAGCCTTGATCCGAGCGCATATCATGGCGCTCCCTCCAGCCCCCACAGACAAATTGGTCGAAATCGGTGCAAGGGTCGATGTCGGCATAATTGGGATCCAGATTATAGAGAATCTCGGAAGCTGCATGGACGCATTCTGGTGTCTGGCAGATAGATGGAGCCAGCGTGTGAGGGGAACTTGGGCTAGTTCCGGCGAGGCGGTCTGAGATGTTGAGAGGACGATTTAGCATTAACGGTGTAGTGGGTGAAAGAAGAGCTCTTACTGTTTTCACATGGCCAAAAATAATATTTAATTGGCAGGGCAGCCAGAAACAACAAGCCCATGTACCCTACTCTCGAGCGCCAGCGCCGATGAGACCAATGGCCCGTCTCCCTTCCGGGGCCGACAGCAACATTTCGGGAGGGATGAGAAGGCAAAAAGTCCTTCTCTGATACAACCGAGCTTGGTAGATCACTAAAACCGATCAATTAGAGGCATGGACTTCATAGTCCCTAATACCTGAGAGTACCGACCTAGCTAGGGGTTGCCTAGTCATGTTGAGACGAGAAGCCAGTACAGCCAGCTGCTAGCTTGCTTCGGGGACAGGAAACGAAATAAAGAAAAACGAATGTAAGCCCTATTATTATATAGTCAAAATATAGTCAAAATATAGTCAAAATATAGTCAAAATATATAATGATCCCAGAGAATCACAGCTCATTCCCATCAGTCAAGAGAGACGAAGATCCGGAGACGTCCTGGAATGGGGAAATGGCGTCAGTGATATCGGATGACTAAGCACGGACATCAGGTAACTACAAAATACTATTAACATAACTGGAGCCCATGATTCTATCTCTATGCTGTATTTTACATCTGAAACATGGCCTTTTATATATACTCTTAGATTATCTGGTGGACAATATCCACGAATATCCAGCCATGGCTATAAAGCACTTTCACCATCTACTATTAGCAGATTAGCAGGTGAGATGTAATTAGAGTCTTTTTATAGTTTAACAAATCCTATATGTATTCAGGGCCAATAGTATCATATATCTATATAATTCGCACACTACCCAGCATATCTGACGTCGGTCAGGCCAGATATGTTGAGTGAATGAAAATCGGTGCGTAAAGCTTACTACAGTAGACTGCGATGCCCCTCCCTCTACGCGGGGTATAAAGGTGAGACACCCTTCACTGATACCGTCACCAGCAGATACCTACTGTTGAGTATTCGTCCCTGACTAGACTAGAAAATGGCCAAACCGCTTGTTGTTATTGCCTGTCCTACTGCCCATGGCCACACAAATCCCCTCCTCCCACACGCCTCCCATCTGACGAAGCAAGGATACAGCGTCACATTTATCGGCGGCGATGAATTCGAGGCATCTATTCGCAAAACGGGCGCCGATTTCCACCCGACAGACAACCCGTACACGCCTGAATTCCTCAAAGAAATACTGTCTATCCCTCCCGGTCCCGAACAGCTTATTACAACTCTCAAACGGGGGTTCATTGACACCACGCCGGTGCGCATGAGGTCGCTCTGCTCTGTGCTTGAACGACTGCGCGAAACCCATCCAGACCGGCAGGTTCTCATCCTCCAGGAGATGATGTACATGGGCACCTGGCCATATATTCTCGGGGCCCCGCCACCGAAAGGCTACGACGAATTCCCTCCCCTGATTATCTTTGGAACAGCCCCGCTGCTTGTCTCGAGTGTTGATACCGCGCCATTTGGGCCCGGGCTGCCTGCAGACTCGACTCCCGAAGGCCGAGCTCGGAATGCCGCCATGTACGACGCCATCAAGGACCTCCAGGCCGGGCTGACGGCGTATGCGAACAAGGCGTACAGTGCTCTCGGGGCTACGCGGAAGATCACGCAACCCGTCTTCGATGAATGGTGTACCGGCCATAAGCTGTTTCTGCAGCCCTGCAGTCCGAGTCTGGAGTATCCTCGCAGTGACTTGTCCCCGACGATTAGATTCATCGGAGGCACACCCATCAGAGAGGTTGATGCGTCGTCTCTCCCGGCTTGGTTTCCAGAATTGCTACAACCCGCTACTACTACTACTACTACTACTACTACTACTACTACTACTACTAAGAAGAAAGTCATTTTCGTTACCCAGGGCACCGTGAAGCACGACTATACGGCTCTAATCATCCCTACCCTCCAGATATTCGCAGACCGGGAAGATCTGCTTGTAATTGCAGTGCTGGGTGTGAAGGGAGCAACATTGCCCGACGATTTCGAAACACCCTCCAACGCCAAAGTGGTGGATTACCTCCCCTACGACGCCTTGCTGCCCCATACTGACGTCTTCGTCACGAATGGCGGGTACGGCAGTTTCATGCATGGTGTCATGCATGGAGTTCCTATGGTTCTAGCAGGAACCACGCGTACGTTCCTTTCCTTATCATTTCTTCTTCTTTTGAAGTCACTCTGCTAAGCATGTTTTAGAAGATAAAGCCGAAGTGTCGATGCGGGGCGAATGGGCTGGAATCGCTATCAACCTACGAACAGACACGCCTACCGTCGATGCTCTTCGTGAGGGGGTAGAGCGAGCATTGACAGACATGGGAATGAAGGAGAAATGTGTGCAAATCCAACGGGAGAACCAAGAGCTGGATTGTGTGGCTCAGCTGGAGAGGGCCATTCTTGAAATCGTGGATGACAACAATTGTACTCTGTAACTATGTAGCATTTAGTGGACTATTAACCAACTAATTGGCTAGTTATCTACGGAGTACCTATGGTTGATTTTTTTAGTCCGTAGCTATGTAACTAATTACATTACAGCTACTAACTACCTATTACCTACTACTAGTCGCTGACTCGCTACTTGCTAAAGGGGCACAATACCAACCTGTCAGGCTGAATCCTTCAGCCTCTCTCCTTGCCTGGCCAGACTCCTGAGTTCAAACTCCGGACGCGGGAGACACGGAGAAATGCCTGTTTAGAGACTCAATCGCCACGGCAAACATTCACGCCGTTGTAAATGTGAAACAAGATCGACAGAGCATCGGGAGAGTCTGGGGTGAAGAAATGCCCAACACATGATAATTCTCTGCAACGTCTTATATAGTTACGGAGTCCTTCTATCTAGTAAACAATTACGGGGTAATTAGTTATCTGCCTCGACTTAACAGGAGTGGTACAGAGTATAGAACCTTGTATCTTGTTAATCTAACGTGTACACTGTCCTCCGTCGTAGGACACCGTACAAATGATTCGATGTCGATCTCTCCGACCGTTTCAGGGATGGCCGGAGTCCGATCTCCTCAAGGGGGGAAACCCGAGGGGCGTCTTGCGAGGGTCTGTTCTTGTTCGTATCTGGTAGAAGACATGATTTGCTAGATGCATGACTGTTGAGAAATGACAGACAGGGGGTGTTCAGCTTGCATGGTGTTCGTATCTATTGGACAAGGCCTTGGAGCTGAATCTGTGGTTAGCGAGATGAGTTATCTGTGATATGCAGTATGTGTATGTACTATTTAGTATTTAGTAGACACGAAGATGTACTGTGTAGTGTGTAGCAGTGCTAGAGGAACTGATCTGTACTGCGAAGGCTTGGTGTTAGAATTACCAGTCTCCAAAGCCCGAAGAACGCGATCGACGAGTCTATGGAGTAAGCTGATAATTTGACAAGATGAACTAGTTACTTACCACATACTCTGTAGTAATTAGTTAACTGAATAGTTATGAGCAATGCGTACAGCCAAAGTACCCACGCTAGTCATGGCGCGAACAAAAATCCCTGCCCAGTTGACAAAGTACAAGGGCGACGCGATCATATTCGAGATACTCGAGCAGGGCTACGCCCAGGTCCATTGTCCGTTCGGCGGGAGATCGCTATTATTCCTGCTATTTTTGAAACCGAGAATTTATTTTTCAGATGCAAAACACATGCACCCCTGATAGTTATCTGCAGTCTGACAGGAGCCAGCCGTCCCTACCTAGGCACTCCGTACCAGTACTTGTGAGTCTCCCCTACTCTAAGAATGCTATTGATGGGTTAACCTTCTCTAATCATCCTCCCATCTTCAGCTGCGGTCGGCGCTTGACCACCTCGCAAGCCTCCAACCCTTCACATGCCGTCGTCTCCCGAGTCCGACGCCCCAAGCAGAGCTCGATGGAAATGAGCACTCGGTACATCAGTCATAATGTGATGATCCAATAGGTATAGACAGCAGATCAGAAGCATTTGCCCTCCCGGGAAGGGTTACACAAGAGACGTTAAACTATTACTCCGTACTGTGTACTACACAGTTCCTACAGTTGACAGATGGCGTGTCACTAAATGGTTCCCGCGGGTTCAGGGACCCTGTCTGGGCACTGGTCAAGACGAGCGATCCGGACCGAAAAGCCTCCCAAAACACACACACAAACACACACAACACACTAAGTCGCTAGTGAATTGCGTCCAAGCATAAGAAGCGGCCGATCGCTGTACGCTGATGGGGCCATTGCATGCCTCGTGGCGCGGGCTACATACGGACAAGACCCCGGGCGCGCTACATGGCCTCTAGTAGGCTCTATAGGAGGTAGCTTTGCATGGTTGCGTGCCTGGCAGTGGAGGAGACAGGAGGGCCGGACAACTTTGGGCGACGATAGCGACCGGTGTTATTGGCCCACCCGTCAATGGCTGGGCGTCGCACCTAGAAAGACTTTCAAGACAATCGTGGGTCCAGGGTGGGGGGAAAGGAATCCCTCTATACTTCCCGTGTGAACTGCTATTGTCTGTATTTTCCGTATCGCCGCCGCACCAGTCTTCGCCGGGCGAACTGAACGCGGACGCGGGATGAGCAGGCAAGAGGCCCTTCCCCTGCAATAGCACCCGGTATTATGCCTTTCGAGGACGTGATATCAAGATATTGCCTCCTCAGGACGAGTCTACACTTGTAATATGTAATATGTAGAGTCTACTGTGATTCTACAGCCATAACTACTAATACTAGGAGTTCACCTAAGTAACTACACCTCTCATCAGTTAGTACTACCTCTACTTTACTACTCCGTACTCCGTACTAACTAACCAATACTCCGTATGTACTCCGTAGGTAACTACCTAGATAGTATGTAGTATACTACTACTCTCCTCTATCCCGTCTGTCGAAGGGTGGACCCGAGCCACGCAGACGCCGCAAGTCTTCCACCGTCAACCAGCTCAATCCCCTGCCCCGACTGCGAGAGAAGCCAAGAGGCATTCTCGAATATTTATTTGCTGGCTAGCGCCAGTGCGGTGAATCCTTCTGCCCCGTTTCTGTTGATGGCGGCCTGTCGTGCCTTTTTTCGCAGTCCCGAGTCTCGTTGACAGCGCCCAGAAGCCCCTGCTCTTCCTCCCCGCCGGCCCCTTCTCATCTCAGCTGATCTGCGTTCCTGGCCATGCACCCTTATTACTATTATTGATGTTCTTGCTGTTCCTAATTTTACTGCCTGTGTGTGCCCAATTCCCTCCTATTCCTCTCGAGAATCCTTCTATGTGTCGAGGAGTGCGACGGTGGGTTGGCCTGCAGCTGTAATCCGCTTCTCGTGCAACCTGGACGACGAGCTCTCCCTCCCTCTCCCTCTCTCTCTCTCTCTCTCCGGATTTAATTGGAGCTGCGACCCGGAGTCTGGCGTTCCCTGTTGGTGGGCTTGTTTTCTGCTTTCCTAGAAAAAGAGAGGTGAGTGAGCTGTTGAGGGTACGGAATTTGGGTTGGGAGTGGAGTATTTTTCGGGGTGGATCAATGTGAGTTCATTCTTCTTCTTCTTATTAAACTACTACCTCTTTCTGCTCCTTCTCCGGGAAAGGGTCCTTTTTCCCTTCGTTCTCCTACCGGTTGGCTGGCTAACTGGGTTCTCTGTTTCATTTTCAGCGAACATTAGGAAAAAAATCCCCCCGGTTTGGCCTCGGTCAAGGTTAGGTCGATAACATCACACTTGACGTGTGGGGTGTCAGAGAGACAGAACGTCACCCGAACTCTCGTCAGTACATGTCTCGGGCTTGCTTGTTGGAAAGGGAGGCCGCTTGTCGCAATCGTCCCACCTATACCTGAATCCCGACTCGCAATTGCTTTTCGGTGTCGCTCAAGCTACTTGCAACCGCTGTCTCCAAGCTTCCCCCCCCGTTCCCCTCACATTCTTGCACAATGGGGTGTATGAGCTCCAAATCCGCCGCGACCCCGGCGGAGAAGGAGGCCGTTCAACAGAATGCACGGATCGAAAAGGTGATCAAAACTGATAAGAAGACGTTGGATCGAACAATCAAGATTCTGCTCCTCGGTGCGTTGCAAACCTGTCCCGCCAATGGTTACACAGAATTAATGGAGTTCTTTTTTTTTTGGTGGTGCAGGTGCTGGAGAATCGGGGAAATCGACTATCATTAAGCAGATGCGAATCATCCACGCGGGCGGATTCCCTGACGATGAGCGCCGACAAACGCGGGCGGTCATTTACTCCAACATGGTGATCGCCTTCAAGGTCCTCTTGGAAATCATGCGAACCCAGAAAATCGATTTCGAGCTAGAGAAGACAAAGGTGAGACGACTATCTTCCCTGAGCCCTTTCATAACTGAAGTTAATATGTCTTCCAGCCGTTAGCAACCCTCATCGACAAGACGGACCCGGACGTAAATATTGATGACGCCTTTACGGACCTCACGATTCGAGACGCCATGCAGGAAATGTGGGAGGATAAAGGTGTTCAAAAAGCTGTCGCTCGAGGTCACGAGTTTGCTCTACATGATAATCTGCAATAGTATGCGCCCCCTTTTTAGGGAGCCTTAACTCTCTTGAGTACTCGCTGACTTCCCTCGCAGCTTCTTCAGTTCTCTCGATCGCGTTTTCACGCCAGGATGGCTTCCAGATAATCAGGATATGCTACAAGCCCGTCTCCGGACGACAGGGATCACGGAGACGCTGTTTGAGCTAGGTCAGATGAACTTTCGCATGATGGACGTTGGTGGCCAGCGCTCAGAGCGAAAAAAGTGGATTCACTGTTTCGAAGGCGTCCAATGTCTTCTATTCATGGTTGCGCTGTCTGGTTATGACCAGTGCCTGGTTGAAGACCAGAATGCTGTAAGTTGCGAATTGTTTACTTGGGGTGCTGGAATCAAAGCGCATTAACCCCTCTCCCTTTTCTAGAACCAAATGCACGAGGCCATGATGCTGTTCGAGTCCCTGGTGAACGTTGACTGGTTCAAGCGCAAACCTATCATCCTCTTCCTTAACAAGATTGATCTCTTCAGGGGGAAACTCGGCGTCTCGCCCGTCTCCAAACATTTCCCGGACTACGCCGGATCGGACACTGATTTCGATGCGGCGGCCAAATATTTCGCGGATCGATTCCGGGGCATCGATCGAATCCCAGATCGCGAGATCTACATTCATTACACGAATGCCACCGACACCACCTTGCTCAAGGCAACGATGGATTCGGTACAAGACATGATCATCCAAAAGAACCTGCACACGTTGATTTTGTAAATGACCACGAAGAGGAGTTCCCATTTTGTTGAGGCCAGTCGCTGATAGCATTCAGACTCTAATTCTCCTCCTCCTGCCTCCTTTTTATTCTTTTTTTTTTCCTGCCATTATAATTATCTTCTGGTCTAGCGTTTTATACTGGGGGGGAGGGCTTTTTGAAGCGTGCGTCTTTTCGCTTCGTTTTCTTCAATCTCTACTTTTTCTTCTTTTTCTTCTTCTTCTTTCTTCTGGTTTATATATCTTCTGATTGTTTGCCAGGCGTCATGATACAGGAGGTCGCGGTTGGCTCTCTGCTACATCACCAGTCCCTTTTTTTTTCTTGCATAAAATGGGTCTTCTTGTTGCTCTGTCTGTTCGTTTTGGCGGCGGCTTCTCTTCTTTTGATATTTCTCCTCCTTTCCCCCCCCCTCCTCCCTGGCTCTTGTTTTGTTTAATTTCTATTTTGTCATGACCAAGGCTCGCATGTCTCCATTCCTGCATGCGGATGCCACTCCGCTCACGAGTCTCGTTAACCTGTCGGCTGTCTATGATACTCGATCGTCTGATCTTTTTCTTTTTCGTTGCATCTCATGTCTAGATAGCTTCGCTACGACGGTATATAATCCAGATGTACTTTACATAAGAAATCTCTTCGAACGTTGGTAGTTTTATACCTACTCCGTATATGTTAATATTTCTTTCAATGGCCTTTGATGCTTGGGTGGTCTGATGATTACCTAAGCCGGCGTCCGCATGATCAGTAGCGCCGACGCTCGACCTTGATTTCGCCTCTTTGAAAGCGGCCGCACCTCTTTGACAGCTTCGAACTCCCTCAACACTCGTCCACTCCAAGAGTTGGGGGCAAGACTGCCACACCCGACCACACAACATCATGCTCAGTTCGTCTATTCGCCGTGCGGTGCCTCTGGCCGGGTCCGCCTGGGCCCCGTCCCAGAGCATTAGCATTGCTTCTTCGTCAAGCGCCGTGCTCGGCGCGACTCGCCGGGTGCATCAGCGCCGGTACTCCTCCTCCTCTTCGAAACCGCCTGTGCCGCCCAGCGATGGGCCGAGACGGATTGATCCGCAGGCAGCTACTAAGAGCGTTGGACCCGCGGGCGACAAACGTGAGGGCAAGGCCGCTCGCCGGAGGGGAAAGGATGGCAATGGCCGTCATGGATCGTCAAAGTCGAACCAGAATGCCGCGTTTGCCAATCTGCCGAGTGTGCCGTCTACGCAGCATGTTCAACCTCACGGTAGGAAAACAACTTTCTCAGATTAAGGAAAAAAAATTTTCTTTGCTAACTACCGACGAGACGTTCATATTGCCTCATTCTTCTCGATTCACCGCCCCATGTCGATCTCCAGTACCGTCCCCCCAACGTCGAGCGCGGAAGCCTTCAACGCCATCTTCTCTGCGCGGAAACCGGCCCGCGCGGAAACCGATGAGGTCATCTTCACTCTCTCGTCTGCCGTGAACACAATGGAGAACGCCGCCACCGTCCATCACCCGATGGGAGAACAGGAGGAGCTGGGGCCCCATACTGTCAACCGGGTGGACGCCGAGACGGGCGCCGTGGAAGGAATGATGAACATGGAGGAGATGAAGATGTCTATCGAGGAGTACGCCCGGCGGTTGCGGCCGTTCCACCCGCCGCCGGCTCCCGTGCCGATGGACGAGGCTGCTTCGGCCAAGCGGTTGCTAGACGCCGAGGAAGACGTTTCCCGACACACCTCGAGCTACTCGACCGTGCTCACCATCCGCGAGTCAACCCATTCGGACGGCCGCAAGACGTACGAGGCACACACCACGCCCTTTGTGCACAACCAGCTCGAAGACCCCGCCACCGAGGCCATCCTCGACCTGGACCTGGACCAGACCCCGCCCTCCGGCCGCACGTATATCGAGCGTGTGCGCAATAACCTGACCATGCACGCCATGAGCACCAAGCGCCGCCGCCGGTTAAAGATGAAGAAGCACAAGTTCAAGAAACTCCTGCGCAGAACACGCACCTTGCGTCGGAAACTCGACAAGGCATAAATCTGGGATCTGCCTCATCTCTCTCCTCTATTTGTTTCTTATTTTTCCCTCCCCTTTCTTGCCATCACCCACCTACTCATCCATACTATGCATACAGGCCTGGATAAGGAATCATCGCAGTTGAATACCTCATGTTCTTTTTTGTTTCCTACCCTCAGTCTTCCTCTTCATGCATAATAGAATTTATCAGAAGTTTTAGTTTCAGCATTTATCAGTGGTAGTAGATAAAAGGTGTAGGTACTATCTATGTACTCCTTAGTCTATACAAGTAAGAGTTACAGAAGTTACAGTATGCATGACTCCGAAACATCTATAAACTAGCCAGACAGTAACAAAAAACATCAGGATATGGATCAACTCCATAAAGTACAGTTTAGTTCAGCTTCAAAACGCACTCGACCACATCTCACCAATCAATCCATCACTCGCACATCTAACCTCCACTTTCAACACCCCCCCCCCGTCACCTAGTTTACAATCCGGTCCAGACCACGGGGATTATAACCGTTTGTTGTTGTCGTTCCATATTTATTGAGTAGTCCAAAAAGAAAAGAAGAAAAGAGGCAGATATGACAAAGAAAGAAGAAGCGCGTTCCCCCCTTCCCAACCATCCGACTTCAGTATATGATTGATGTTACAAGAAGCCGAATGAGCGGAATTGAACTGACTGCCATCGCAGAGGAAATGGGAGCCTCACGGCCCAGGGGGGGCTGGATACCGGTGGGGATGAACGACACTGACTCTTAGCAGCGAACTGCGCTTTAAAACGAGCTGACGGCGGAGCAGGTGGATTCACCGGCGCGGGAGTTCATGAGCAGAGCAACGATCAAGCCGTAAAGACCTGTGGAAAGGTTATAATTAGTATTAGTGAATCCACTTGGTTTCCATCAATGCATCACTTACCCAGGACTTCAGCGAAAATGAGGATAAGAATCATGCCGACGTAGAGTCTGGGTTGTTGGGCAGTTCCACGGACACCGGCGTCACCGACAATACCGATGGCAAAGCTATTCGATTAGTTTCATAAAACAGTCCACTCAAGAGGCATCACTTCAACATACCCAGCGGCAAGACCGGCAAGACCGACGGCAAGACCAGCACCCAGCTGGATGAAACCCGTGTACAGCGACAGCTGCTGCTTGAGGTCATTGGCGATCAGGACGGAAACGACCAGACCGTAAATGGCAACGATACCCGCCATGACGATGGGAACGATGTCTAAGGACCGTATATTAATATCTCTTGGTCTCTGGGAGAAAAACAGAGCTAGGGAAAAAAAACATACTCTTGACAATCAGGTCAGGCCGGAGAACGGCCATCGAGCAGACACCAACACCGGCCTTGGCGGTTCCATAGGCAGCTCCGAAGCAGGTAAAAATGATCGCAGAGGCACAACCCAGAGCACCGAAGAAGGGCTATACAGTTTCGGTGGTCAGTTACGATCAAGCGGCTTTCTTCGGTTGAACAGTGAAGTCTTGATTATCGGTCAAGTAGGGGGGGGTAGGGGGGGAGCCCGGACACGCCGATGGGCGGGTTCGTCGTCGAGGAACAAGAACGGAGTCTGAGACTGAGACTTACCGCGTACACGGGGCTTTAAGAAAATAGAAAAGAATCGGTTAGCATTGCGATCGACACTTGATCCATATCATAATTGGGGACTGAAGATGGAAACATCAGGCTGACAAGGTGTCCGCGGTGCTAGACATACCAGAGATCGGAAGACATTTTGGCAGATTGAGAGTCGCACTCAGATGACTAGAAGAGAGAGAACTGGGGCTGAAGAGCGACTGGGGAGGATGGCAAGGTCGAGAGGTGACCGTCGTGATAGTGTGCAGCTACCCTGATGGTTGGAGGTTGGAGGCGAACACGCTGGTTGATTTGGGGTTGAGGACGGGTAAACCGACCGCGAGTTCACGGCCACGTGATTTGTCTTGGCGCATCTAGCTGGACAGATCAAAACATTGTACAAAAAGAGCTCAACATTACTGGTTAAAAAGGCTCGTAATTTATAAGTATCATTAGGTAATGGGTAGGTAGTATTTCATAATACATTTTTTTAATATACATTGGGTTTCAGGGAAGAGACCGAGTGTCAGAAGGACAATTCCACTCGCGCACCAGGAATATCGAGTTTGGTCCTGACTATGGACTCAGCCTCGGGATTGAGCTGTGTGTACGTCATGGCCTTCTCGGACGCTGCGCCAAAATAGTTGGGGATAATACGCAGGTCGCTCTCCTCGGTAGAGTTGAGCCCAGGCGCCGCTTCAGGGTCAGCCACTACGCCGAACTGGTACGAAGTAATCTTCGCCTGTGCGTCTTGAGAGATCTCCGAATGAGCATATTCTATCGTTTCGGGATCCACGGACACGAAAAATTGTATGTGGTCGCCTTGCCTTGCCACCTGCGACAGAGTGGTGAGGCTATCGACCGTATCTTGGTCGAACAGCAGAGGCAGGTCAACGGGTGTGTCGGTACTATGCGATTCGGTGAACAGGCTCTCAAGCAGTGGCATGGTCTCTTGTTGGTCTGCCTCAAGGAAGCTGATCTCTGGGTCAAGAGATAAAAGCCCCTGTTTTTTGCCCCAGCCGCCGCCACCGCTCACCACGCGATGGAGCTTGCCCCCACGACGGATCGACTCGATGACCCGGGAATGGGAGGTCTCTTGTGTAGGATCAACGAGGTGATCAGGACCCTCTACCAAGGCCCACACAGAAACCCTTTGGTCGACAATGTTGTGCTCCTTGATGTATCTAGGGAGATCCTTTTCCAGCTCCGAGGAAGCCGGCATCGGCTGCACCGAGCCATTGGTGGTAGGTTTCGAGATTTGGCGTAGGATATTCCCCATACTCGACACGACCGTCCGTCGTTGGCAGACAGGGTACAATGGAAGCGAGACGGAAGCGCGGGCATTCTCGCCCGTGGTCTTGACAACGCACTTGGAGAGATCGACGGTTTTTTCTAGCCAAAACTTTTCCGAGGCATCATCATACTTCCAGCGCATCCCAGCAATTGTACTTTCCTTTCCCGTTAAGAAGACGGTGTTGGCCAGCCGCAAGCCCACCTCATATACCTGACGCGAAGAGGCAGCCTGTGTCCGAAGCAGAAGTGCAGACTCTTCGGTCTGCGTATCCCTTACAAGGCGACTAGAAGCCGCCTTCCCCTGAACATTCGACGCGTCGATCAACAAAAGGGAGATGCCTTCGGATTCCAGATCAGCCGTCGAGCTGCTTTCGATTTTCTCCCTGGGTGTAGGTATCTTATCGACGATTGCTGTAACGAAGTGAACGGTTGACGGTGGAGTGGCATTCGGAGAAGCCTTGAAAAGCTGGTTTACGCATCGGTCGAGAAACGCGTGCGCCGGATCGATCCAGGAGGAAAATCCAGGCGTAAGAAGCAGTACGGGTATCTTGGTTTGCGTTGACGATCGAAGATCGGGCAGGGTTGACAGGATGTCATCTGTAGACTTGACATTTTCATGATTAGCTGCAAGTTCAATGCCGAGATAGGTCAGCATGATACTCACGACAGCGGTAGGGTTCCCCGTGAGCCATGTTGAAGCAGACGAGACAGCTCGTAGCGAGCTACCCCGAGCAGTATGACCCTGCTTCAGCTGCCATGGCGCCTGGCGAGGAGAGGGCGACGGCCGGAACGGCGTCGCGTAGAGAGGCAGCCGTGTAGGCATTGAGTTCGGGACACGCCCGGGTCTTATCAACATGAAGTCATCGAGAGAAGAAAGGATTCGACTGTGCGTTCTGTTGACTCGGCTCAGAAGAAGAGTAGAGCAGTACGACCACTGAAGATAGAGAAGATTTCGGATCGACGCCAAGACTTGCAGCTATCAATAGATATAGAGCAATAAATAGGGATTATTTAGTAATGACAGTGTGATTATAATTGTAGGATATATTGCTCTGTTATTTCAACCTAGAATTACAGATAATATTCCCTACACAGTATACTACATAGTATTGACTATAGTATCGCTTGATTAAATGTGTAGCCTCTGCAATATATATATATTCCCAGTATGTTACGCATTCTGGAATCTGGTAATAGAACTGTTCCACAACAGACTGTCAAGGCCGCCTTACGACACTAAATTCTTATTCCACAGCCCCGGGCTGAAATACTTGTCTCCAGGCAGTCAAATTCGCTGTCCGAACGGTGATGAACGAATCAGGCGGTGGAATCGATCTCAGGCAGGACCTTAGGTACCTACTACCTGGTAGTACTACCTACCTAGTACATAGTAAATCTACGTACTAACTAAGTACCTACCTACCTAACTAATAGTTAGTATTATTAGGTAAACACTACTATGTACCACTATTACCACACGTCGTTCCTACGCAAGAAGCCAAAAGACCCTGTTTGTTCCTCCCCGGCCGAGCTCCGAATGACGAGACGAACGAGACGAACGAGGCCCTGCAGCCAATCACCGCACGAGGCAGAGGAATGCGCCACAGGGCGGTGAAAAGCATGACGTCGACGTTTGCCCGGAGCCGGCGTGAGTTTTTGGGACGGGGCGGCCCTTTAAGAGCTGCGGTCGGAAGTCTCAAGAATTAATCTATTCCATCTGCTCTGTGAATATCCAGAACCTCGTCACTGCACCTCTTGCACCTCTTGCACTTCTTCATCTCTTGCGTCTCTCGCATCACTCAGATCTCTCGAATCCGCTATCATCCACCATGCCTTTCACTGCCTCGTAAGTTCCTTTCCCCCCCCCCGGGTTGTCAGTCTACCCTCTACTAAATCGCTCGGTTCTCAGTGATATCTGCAAGATTATCCTTGCCATCATCCTGCCTCCTCTGGGTGTCTTCCTCGAGCGCGGATGTGGTGCTGATCTCCTGATCAACATCTGTCTGACCATTCTCGGTTGGCTGCCGGGTATTATCCATGCTCTGTATGTCTTTTCTCTCCCGTTTCTTCCGTTTCTCCCGATCGTTTGTCTGGGTTGTACAGCTAATAGGGATTTTCTAGGTACATTATTCTCAAGTACTAGATCTACTGCCCGCCGTCCACGGGTATCCATCTGGACGACAACTGCTCTCGCCGATATCGAGCGAGTTCAATTTATTGCTTAATACGACAATGGCGCCGCGCCGACAAGGACAAAAACAATAACCACAACAACAACAACAACACCTCCAGGGTCAGTGAGGCCTCTGGTGAGCCTGGTTCCGCCAGTGCCGGCCAGACCCGGTTCAACGCAACCCCACTGCTTGGCGGCCAGGAGTGCAGCGCGATTACCAATTGTTATTGTTGTCTCGACGCGGCGGAGTCACCATGATTGTACCTTTTTTTTTTTCTGTCTTCCTTGCTTATGGCTTTTCTTTTCGCTTCAGATGATACCAACTTGTGTGTCTGATACCGGGCTCTTTTTGCCCTTTTACTATTTTGCTTAGCTTATGTGATGATGGCAATGATATTCTATGAATCAACTTGCAATTCTCTGAAAATAACCAGTGGACTGTTGCCTGCAATATTTGTGCTAGGTACTCTGGACGAAGGTTGCCCCAACCGTTCTGTACAACAGTCAAGGAACGGAGTACCTGGTCTAGTGGACTGTTGCCAGGCAACTGACTAGTAGCCGAGCTACTACTATTGTACAGAGTACTCCGTAGTTAACTACCTAGATACTACCTAGGTAGATAACTAGTACCTGAGACTGAACATGCTAGGTGGTCATACAATACGAGTTAACGTACCATAGTAAGACCCCCTCTAAAGATCAGATCTAGAAATATTGTAGGTCAAGACATGGGAATCAGGCCTTCAAGCTTCAGCAAACAATCGCCATTTCTTTATGAGCAGCAATAGACAACATACGCCACTCAAAATGCAGACCAGGGGCTTATTCCTAGGCACGGAGAGCTACATTTGGTAGATATGGGATTCAAATGGAGGATGGTTGTTGCCTCGAATGATCAACTCTTCAGCAGGCTGTCACATGACCTTACATCATTCCTGATCTTATCCGCTTTTCGCCAGGCGCCAACACGGCGCCTACTCATGACTTCTCGTTGCTCTCGCTCCCTGGCAAGGCGCTTGCTAGCAGACCCCTTCGTCCTTCAGATCGGTCTCGCCATGTTTCATCAGCGCGCGTATCTGCACATGGCCTGTTGCAATTGCAGATCCGACCGTCCACCCTCGAACCGGACTGCGTCACTAGGGGAGAGGGCGTTTGGTTGTTCATTATGGCGCCCAGCCCAGGGTGATGAGCCCTGGTTTGAGGGACGACTTTTTTCCCCCTCTCCTGCTCTCTGTTCTTTCAACTGTTCCTTTACACCTACATGAACTGAATCCATGATGAAAAGTTATCGGATCTAGAGTCGGTGTACTGGGTAAGCGGGATGAGCCATCAGTTGTCGTTGTCATTGCATGTCCGCCTAATACTCCATGGAAAGCTGCCACAGAATGCATCTTCTCTTTACACGACAGCGAGCTACTGCAGTTGTCCTACTATTTTTATTGTCTACCACGGCCTCCGCCGTGTCGCTGTCCGGTACCATACCGGAGTGTGCCTTGTCCTGCGTCGACAGCTTCATCGAATCCGAATACCCTACCGACGCATGTTCGGACCTGACGAACGTCGACTGCCTCTGCAAGACCAACACCACTAGCGGGTTTACTCTGGGGGAGGGCGCTGTTCGGTGTGTGATTGCGGATTGCTCTGCGACCGTCGCATCGGAGACAGAGTTGGACGCCTATAATATCTGCGATTCAGTCGCTGGGGCTCTCCCAAGAACACATTCCACCCTCACCGCTACCGTTGCGCCGGCCAGTTCGACGACGATGACCGCCACCGCCGCCACCACCACGACCACGACCACGACCAGTGACACCTCCAAGGGGACATCAGGGGACTCGACTGGCACATCACTCACAGCCGCTACGGCCACTCTTTCCCAACCATCTTCAACTCAAGCTTCAAGTGTATCTTCTACAACGCTGCTATTGACAACACGTCGATCAGCCTCGAGTACTGCTACCGCCAGTACTAACGCCACCCTGCCGCAGAGCCAAACTTCCCAAACCGCCAGTCTTGCCTCCACTTCCACTGCCACTTCTACTGCTTCCACTGTCTCCAGTGGAGGCTCGCATTCTCTCAGTAAATCGGCAGTCACTGGGATCTCAATAGCATCTACCTTTGCCGGTGTCGCGGCCATCTGGGCTGTTGTGTGGTTCTACTGGTGGAGACGTCGCCAGCGACGAACCGGAAGCAAGCATGACTCGTTTGAGATTGGTGGCAGCATGTCGGAGCCTCCTGACTTTGGCATGACCACACCGCAACGGCCGATTCCTAGCCTGAACCCATCCGGCTCCGGGGGGTTTGATCCGGAGACTCAACGACTCACATCGCCATTACGATTTCCGGATCGGACCCCGCCTCAGGACCACCTTCGAGGCAATGGATCCGGTAGTGCGATGCCCGGCGTTGGCCATGATGGGGTCGGAATCAACCTGGTCCCAGATCTCAACGCGGAAGACTTGGGGGACAACAGTCAGCAGGTCCGACGGTTATTCCCCCAATTGCTTCCCGATCATCGGCCTTCTGATGCCGGACTCTATCCGGCGCCGTTGAGAGTGAGCCAACAGTGGAACCTGAGACCGAACAGCAGTGCAACTCTGTTTGAAGAAGACTTGGAACGGCCGAATAGCCTGTCGGGTCCTTCCAACAGGATCACCGCATTTCCAGGGTCAACCGGCGGCGGCAACAGGGCCGGGAGTTCGTCCACCGGAAGACCGCCCCGCGTCGGGTTACCGAGCAACCCTCGTCCGGTAAGGCATATGTTTGAAGAGCAGCAGAATCCCTGGTCAATCCGACAGGTCTCCAGCCAGCCTGAAATCCCGCCGTATCGGGAAGATCCCCGCGGGGATGATCCGATCTATCCCATACACATACACAAACCCAACCAAGCAGCCCAGCCCGGCCAGGCGACGACGGCAACGACGGCGATGACGACGGCGACTGGTGCTGGCCAGAGTCGGAGCAGGGACCGGCCGTTCTCTCAGGACACTTTGCGTCGCTTGTATCCCGTTCCACCCGTGCCCAATCGGTTCTCCAGCGGCTCGGTGACAAGTTTTGACACTTCGGACATGTACGATAATACGCGAAATAGCCGTCGATGGTCTCGCCGATCGAGCGGAGGGTACCGGCCGCTGACGCCGGTCAAGGAGGCGGTGACCCCCCTCAAAACCACCCCGAAGGGCACCCCAGAAAGGAGCCCGCCCTATCCTCGAATCCCTCTCCCCGTCAATCCGCCGACGGAGATCGTCGCGAACCCGCGCATTGTCCGTCGCGACGATATCAAACAGATTCACATCCCGGGCAGCGGCGGTGGTGGGCCGTCCCACTATGACAAGGCGCTCCCGGAGCTCCCTTTTCCAGACCAGACCCGACTCCGACTTTCCGGCTGACGGGCCTTTTGACTCCAAATGACGTTTATTTTGTTTATATTTTCAATACCCATTTTCCCCTTTTTTATATAATATGACGACGATGCCTGGTTGCCGTTGATTCTAAATTGCCGTTCACTGTACATTTTTTTTTTTTTTTTTTTCATTTTTTTCCCCCATCATTGTATAGTAATTTGACCTAGGGAGTGTGGTTTATCAATTACTGCTTTATAGATAGCATACTATTATCCTAACAGAAGATTAATATCCGTCTTTGCTAATGTCTCTCTCTATTTACCTATAAAGAGTGTGGTGTTGCCACCAGGGGCGAGAAAAGAAATCACCGAGTCTAGACTGTCTCCAGCCCATATGCCATGCAAATCCTCGCTCCGATATTCACTTGTAGTGTTCATTCTGCGAGTCAATTTGTAAAAAACAATACAATTACTAACCCAATGCAACCAGTGGACTGGACTACGACGTCGTACAGGGTAGAATACTAATGACGTTTCCGGAAGTACTTTATCCACCTACCTGACACTCTTCCAGTACTCCGTACCATGTAGTACCTAGTTATCTAGGATTCTAGTACCTTACTGTCCAGTGACGCACGTCTCAGAGGCGATCAACCTGAAGTTGGTGAGAAGCGGAGAACCGGCTTGGGTGAGCTCCAGCTCCATGCGTGGTGACACCATTGTCAGGGTTAGGGTGAATTACCTCGTAGTCAACACTTCACATGGATTATAATAGGTAATAATAATCATAAGGACTAGGTAGGGGTATCTTAGTACATTAGTTAGGTAGTTAGGTAGTTACTGCATACTGCATTCCTAGGTACTGCATTGCATGCTCCATAGCAGGTGGATTGTGTGCCTCAGGCATTGGAGGCAGCCACCGCAGGGGCCCCCGCCATGACGTCAGGGCGTGGTACGGACGAGGATCAGCTTCTGGTGCTGACGGAGGATGATTCGATGGTTTTCGAGGTGATTTTCACGTTGCATCTTTTGGAATTGGAAGAAATATGGTAATTGAAAAAATAAAAATAATAAAAAAAATAGAATCCAAACCACGTAGTAGTCGTAGTGTCGTAGCGTAGGTAAGGTGGTGGTGGTACAGCAGTGGCCGAGTCTGAGATTGTCAGGAACTCCCGCGAAAAAAAAAGATTACGCCGTTCCTTTAGCTACACCTAACCTACCTTCACTACTCTACACTGTACACTACACTGTACACTACCTACCTAGTAGGTACGCTGTAACTAGTCATATTGTAGTATACTACGCTGTATACTATATTGTACAGATAGGTAAGTACATTCTATTCACTGTAACTGTATCTGGTTACTCGGTGTACTGACTGTTGATGACGGTGACTCCCGATAACAGCCAGGTCTGCATTATTGATGCAATGTTATTCGGTATCCACTGCCCGGGGCCTCTCCTACGTCAAGATACATTGCTGTTGGTGCTCGTCGTTTGGTACGATCGTCCTGTCGGCGCTGAGTGGTTGTGCTATTCCCGCCCCGGTTCCACCCTCCTGCCTGGACGACATGCTAGACGGTGGGCCTGTTCGAAACACGGTATCGAATCTCATCCATAATTGACTTACAACTTATCTACTGAGGCTGCTTCGTTGCCCAGGACAAAGGGAAGTTGAACGCAAGGTTGGATCCGGCGTCCATGGGTCCGCCCCTCAAGGACGCCATGGTACCTTCTCACCACGGTGGAGCCTCTCAGGATGAGCTGCGAGCAACATTTCTCGGAGCATGGTGTCTGGTTCAGGCACGAATCGCCATCTTCCAAGCAAACCAGCAAGCAACCCGATGACGGTGGCCATAACCTGTCGTCTCTGTAGTTGCACATGGCTATATATATGTCGCCCTCCCTCCCCACTTGCTCCATATTTCTTCTTTCTTCAATCAACATCCTTCAATATAAAAGGATTCTTTTCTTTGAGCTGAACTAAGTGGACTGAAGGACCTGGTGTCTCTACGCTCATCTACGCTCTCATCTATCTAATCCCTCATACTGAATACTACACAGTATATACTACAGTATACTACATACTGCTGTCTCCACCGAGTACCCACTGATCACTCATTTTTCTAAAAATGGCCGCCACAAATGGTTTCGGGACCCAGAAGGTCCCCCGACTATCCAGCCTGGATGCTTCTCGGGCCGACCTCTACGGCGGTCCCAACGTTGTCATGCCTCCCAAGCATCTCATGGCCAACAGCGACGCCCACGACATGGCGATTGAAATGGATATGGCAAAGCACCACCTCGAGGAAGAAGTTTCCTCAGAGGAGGAGTCCCCTCTTGAAAAGGACTCTCCTTTCATACGGCCTGCCACCACCACCGCGGACGAGTTCGCCCTGGCTTTTGATATCGATGGCGTTCTCATCCGTGGCGGGCAACCGATCCCCGAGGCTGTCGAGGCTATGAAGTACATTAACGGCGAGAATCCCTATGGTATCAAAGTGTGAGTTCTCTTTCTTCTTTCTTTCTTTCTTTCTTTCTTTCTCTAAGCATTGCTGACTCCTCTAGTCCATACATCTTCGTCACAAATGGTGGCGGAAAGACTGAGGCAGAACGCTGCGCAGACCTCAGTCGGCAGCTCGAGCTAGAAGTCTCGCCTGGTCAGTTCATCTGCGGCCACACCCCGATGCGGGAAATGGCCGAAAAGTACAACACCGTCTTGGTGGTCGGTGGCGAGGGTGAGAAATGCCGTATCGTCGCCGAGGGGTACGGCTTCAAGGATGTCATCACGCCCGGCGACATTATCAAGACACGGCACGATACCACACCCTTCCGGAAGCTGACGGACGAGGAGTATCGCAACTCGCGCGAACGCAACTTTGACGATGTCAACATCGAGGCCATCTTCGTCTTCGCCGATAGTCGCGACTGGGCCGGTGACCAGCAGATCATCCTGGACCTGGTGATGTCGAAGCAGGGCCGGATTGGCACCCGCTCCGAGACCTTTGACGAGGGCCCGCCGGTCTACTTCTCGCACAACGACATCGTCTGGTCGACCTCGCACGAACACTCGCGTATCGGCATGGGTGCGCTGCGTGCCTCGCTCGAGGCCCTCTACAAGGCCGTCACGGGCAAGGAGCTGACCACCATCGCCTTTGGCAAGCCACAGCTCGGCACCTTTGCTTTCGCCACCCGCCTCCTCCAACAGTGGCGCAAGGACACCCACGGCATCGACCGGCCGCCTCAGACCGTCTACTTTGTTGGCGACACCCCGGAGTCCGACATCCGCGGCACCAACGAGTTCAACGAGTCCCATCTGAGCGATGCCAACTGGTTCTCCATCCTCGTCAAGACCGGCGTTTACCAGGAGGGCACTATCCCGCGCTTCCCTCCCAAGAAGACCTGCAACCATATCCTCGATGCTGTTAAGTTCGCTGTCCAGCGTGAATTCGATCGCCGCGGTAAGGAGTGCATGCTGGGAGTTGTACCTACAGTCGTGACTTCGGAGTGTGCCATTGAAGTTTAATGTTTTTTTCTTTTCTTTCACCTCATCCTCCACCCCTCATCCTCCATCCCTCATCCTCCATCCCTCATCCTCCATCCCTCATCCTCCATCCCTCATCCTCCATACCTCATCCTCCATGCCCTTAACCTACAACCTTAAGACTTTTATGATTCCCATGTCAACGATGTTTCGATTTTTTTTCTCCTACGATTCAATTCCTCCTGCTCGCTGGACCGCGTGCTCCTTTTTCCCTTCCATTCTCCTTCCATTCTTCCTGTTGTTTTCACCCTATTTGGAACTTTTCGGGTTCGAGTTTCCTGGTGTCACTCCCTGAGATAAACAAAGATTACTAGATTTTCGAGATACAATATTGGCAGTGTAGACGATTAGATCAATCAATTCGAGGCAATGTTGCAGTGTATTGCAGTGTACTCCATCGTATAGTATACTACAAAGCTACATACTAGACTACCTAGAGGATTCGAGTGCTACCCCGGCAGAGACCTTAGGCGGATACTACATGTACAAGCAGTACGCGCCATGTGGGCACCTTATGCAGTGATATTATTAGCCAGATTGAATATATGCTGTAGTGAGATTCTATCCATTACTAGCTTGTAACTAGTTAGTTAACTAACAACCAACTACCTTGCCTATGGAGTACATAGGGGTAATCATGGAGGATACTCCTACTCTTGGAGCGGCTTAAAGTAAAGGGATGAAAGGACATGAACGAAATTCTCGTCCATCTTGAATATCTTCATATACCTGATGTTAATAAGGCCATGTCCATGTTTTCAATCCATATATATTCTGTAACTAGTTCTGTATACCCTGTATACCTACTCTTTATACTCCGCATGTAATATTAATGTACTCCGTACTCCGTCTCCGTACCCCGTAAGTGATCCACAAGGCAGATAAGAAAAACAGCGTGCATCGATGGACGACGCTCAAGCGGGCGGGGCGGGATATGGTGGGCCCGTAGGACAGGGATAGAGAAGGAAGTTTTCCAAGGTGGTTGGTACATACAAAGTATGCTTGATAGCATCGCTATCACTGGTCAAGGACTCTCCCTCAACTCTGCGAAGGTACTATCTAGTCCACTGTGCATGGATGAATCTCCACCCCACCCCCCTCCCTCGTGCTCCACCCCTCCACCCCCGCGGGGGTTGGGTTGGGCCCCTCCACCCGCTGTGCGAGACAATGCATGTAAATGTAAATCCGTCTATGGTAGTAGGTTAGGTACCTACTAGGTAGGTACCTAGTTCCGTTTATTGCCGATTTTGCTTTTTGAGGGGTTTTTTTTCTTCTAACGGAGTACTGCGGTCCGGGTGAGAAAGAAGAGGGGGGAAGAGATGTGTCAAGAAGCAAGAGGCAATTAGACCTCAAACTCGCGGTCGAGCCAGTGCTTGACCACAATCTTCCCCTCCTCAAATCCCTTCTTGGGCATCCGAACAATGATCGCCGCGTGGCTATGTCGGTTGTTGTGGATGTAGACGGGGTATTTGCGGAAGCCAAGCGCGTTCAGGGAATCGACGATCGCGAGCTGAGCTGATGTCAGAGCAAGGGTGGGAAATTCCTGCGTCGTGCTCGTTCCCATCTCATCGGCTGCCTCTTCTGTGCTCGCAACGGCTGTGCCCTTTTCCTCTCCTCCATTAGGCATGGGCTTTCCCATCGACACACGTCGAAGCGATGCTCGTCGCCCGCCAGGTTTCTTGTTTGTATCGGAGAGATATGCCGGGTCTTGGCGGGAGTTGACGTTCTCAAAGACGTCTTCCACCGCTTGCTGGACGTTCTGGACAAGAAGAGGGACCCTGTAGCCTCCAAAGATAGCGCCCGCCTTGCCTGTTTCGTGGAGACGGATGCGTTGGCGGCTGAGGAAATTCTGTATAACTGAGTTGAGCAGAAAGAGACTAGCTGCAACCGGCACAAAGAGGGTAATGAAAGTCCAAAAGGGCAGTTGGCCCAGAATCTTCGTGAATTTTTGGCAGGTCTGGGCAAAAAAGCCGGGCTCATCTTCTGTTTCGTCCACAGGTAGGATGTATTGATCCGGGTTGATGATGACCGGCTCGTAGCCCTTGACATAGTTGAATTTGATATCGTCCAAGTCTCCACGGAACGGATCGAATTTGGTGATCCCAGTCGTGTAGAACACAGTCGAGAGATCGTTGACAATGTTTCCGTATGCACACCGGTTCTTGAATTTGGATAGCGCCTGCATAAAGATGCTCTCGGGGTCTGCCAGGACACTCAGCAACGGCTTCCCCGTGTCTCGGAAGGTGTCGATCATAAATAACTGCCTCCCAGACATGGAAACCGTGCGAGCTCCCACCACGTTCCAGATGTGATTCTGGATGCCCTTGAGAGGGGTTCGTACGCCTACATGAGGAGACACAAACGTCGTGAAGTTGACCGGTTCCAGCTTGTCTAGCCACCCTCGTGCGCCGAGCAACCCCAATGCATACCGAGCAACAAGGCCTCCAAGCGAATAACCGACAACACTGAGCTTTTTGATCTTGTACCCTTCAGATGCCAGTTTCTCTAGCGTTTCCTCGATCTCATGGGCAACTCGTTCACCGCCAAGCTCGATTCCGTCATATGTGAAGGTCCCGGCATTCCGTTTTACGGCTAGAACGACAAGCCGGTCTTCATTGTGTCTCTCTCTGAGCGCAGAGGCAACATAATCGAGATGCGATGGGTTCCCCCAGAGGCTGGCGAGGGCAGAACCATGTGTGAGCTTGGGTACGTTCCATGCGCATCATGCGGTGGTGGCGGCTTTTAGCCGGACTTACCCGTGGACCAGGACACAGAGATGATCGGCCTTGGGCGGACCAGAGGCGGTCGACGCAGCGCACACGTCGGTCTCCATGAACCTACAAAAGATCGAGTTCCGGTCGAAACTCGAGAAAGAGAAGGGCAGAGCCGTGGTGAAGACTTTCTGCCTGGTTCTGCTCCGGGGAAGTTGGCCTCTAGGCTTTAGTTAATCTGACACGTGACGTAATCACTCGAGGTGATCTCACGCCACTGTGGTTTGCTTTGTTTGCAACAGATTTATGCCTGAGGCATACAACGTGCTTCGCCGTTGTCGTTCACTTCGTGTCTTTGTTCCTCTTTCACCCCTCTCTCTCTCTCTCTATTTCTCACACAGTCGAAGAATCCTTCAGGGGGGCAGGGAAATCCGGCCACCAGAGTGCAGTGTGTATTCTAATAGCACCCACAAGAAACCTATTGTGCTCTTGAGTCTCTCGCCTTGAAATATCACTTTGAGCCGGGCTGTCCGCGGCTGTCGAGATATAAATGCAAGGAGGACACACAATCTCAGGTGGCTTTGCTAACTGACAGCGCCTGTTATATATATGATTTCACTGTAATAGTGATAAGCTTTTGCTTTACACGTATCCCAGGTCTCTTATCAGCAGCGAAGCGGCATATTCTTGCTTTGTGCGACCCAAAGAGACAACACCTTATCAATACAGAGTACTTTGAATGATAACGACGCTTAACGGTTCTTTGGCTGGTCAACTGATGGCCCGTGTGGCAGTCTGAAAGTGAATGTCGAAGCAGCCTGAGCAGTTAGATTTCGCAAGAGTCGCTCATTGGCGGGATTCTACCTGGATGCATCACATTTCAGCTGTGCCAGTTCCAAGAAGATACCACGGCCTTCAGAAGTGAAAGTTGGCTCCCTCGAAGAAAGTGACTAGGATCTTGTTGGGATGTGACGGCTCCCTTCAGCCCTTTACAATTATTTCGGTCTTATGACGGCTACAGATGTTCACTCCTCTAGGCTTGTTCGGGGATATCCCATGCCCTCAAGGGCAAAGCTGCTCTCTGCTTACTTGTATCTTTTCTCACAAGAACGTTGATCATGTGGTTGAGAGCGTGACTTCTCAGACTCCACGTATAGTTTCAAATGAGTCGCCCACACCAAGCTTGCCTCCCCCAAAGAGAATCAAGCTAGACAAGCCTACTGAAGACAACTCCAGCAGACCCCAATTATTCCAAGTCTCTCCAGAGGTTAAAGGCCCAAATTTCACGGGCGGTGCGACCAATCAACCAAAAAAATCAAATCAGAGTACCCAGAAACTCCAGTCAACGGTCAGAGCTGTATCTCCTCCCCCAAAACGGGCACAGGTGGCTCCAGGAAAGCCAACAAGCAACTCCACTCCAGTCTCTGGGGGATTAGAGACTCGCCTACCGCCAAGAAATGCGCGAAAGGAATCATTGAACCCTCGCCTGCTTACGAAGGCACCTGCTTCCCATACAGTTCGCTTCTCTATCCTGTCCAAGTTACATACAGCTATATCAACGCTGAATGATAAATTGGCAAGAAAGAAAGAAAGCGTGGAGAAACATCTAATTCTGGCCCCCAATGAGCTCATAACGATGGCACTTGACGAAGAGGAAAAGGTGGCAAAAGCGGATCCGAACATTTACTCCAATGTCATAAAGCTTCGGATTGTGAAGCTCACAAAAATGACCCTGGAAGATTGGGCGAAAGAAGTAAAGGATTACCTGAATACACGATATTACAACGGCCAACTCGATCAAAAACAGCAGCAGCAGGTAGCAGCTGAGCCGAAAGTGTTCTCTACGGGTCTCACTGTTACAGAAGAGATCGCAATATCCGCAAAATTGGTGACCCCTCTCAAGGGCTTAGAGCAGCACGGTTATGTAACCAAGCCGCCGACACATGAGGAGATCGAGCAGGCCAAACGAGGTGTTACGGAATCCAAGGGCTGGGAGAAGTGCGACCGATGTGGAGGTAGATTCCAGGTATTTCCAGGCCGCCGAGAAGATGGTACATTAACAAGTGGTGGGGAATGCACATATCACCCTGCTCGACCCATCTATCCGCCAAAGAAACAGACAGATCACATCACTGGTTCGAGAGAGCCATTTTATCCATGCTGCAACGAGACCGTGGGAGTTTCTGCCGGCTGTACCAAAGCTAAAACCCATGTCTTCAAGGTTTCGGAGCACAAACGGCTTGCCTCGATTCTGCAGTTCGAAGAAACACCGACCAATCCGGATGACAGTCCCAAGCAGCCCGTGTGCTTTGATTGCGAGATGGGTTACACAACACTGGGGCTGGAGTTGATCCGACTCACTGCTGTCACTTGGCCTGAAGGCAAGGAGTTGCTTGATGTTCTTGTTAGGCCGATGGGTGAAGTGTTGGACCTGAACTCTCGCTTCTCTGGCGTATTTCCCGAACACTTCGCCAACGGTGTACCTTACGACGATTCAAACCCACCAGCACCGGTATCACCACCATCTAATGGGGAGGAGGACTCGGGGAAAGAAGAAGAAATGCCATTACGGATCGTGGATTCGCCTGCGGCCGCTCGTAAGCTGCTCTTCCAGTGTCTCCAGCCTGAAACTCCTCTCATCGGTCATGCGATTGATAATGACCTTAACGTGTGTCGTATCATCCATCCAACAATAATCGATACCGTCCTACTGTACCCTCATCCGAGGGGTCTACCAATTCGCATGAGCCTGAAGGCGCTATGCAGAAAGCACCTCGAACGAGAAATCCAAACAAGAGGCGCTCGCGGTCACGACTCGAAAGAAGATGCTGTTGCGACGGGTGACCTCGTCAGAGCGAAAGCCTCAGAACGCTGGAAGATACTGAAAAACAAAGGATGGCGTATCCATGGAGACAAGCTTATCCCTCCACCTGGGACGGATTCATCAGATGCAGAATTCGGACTTGGGCCTGGCGCTGGACAGAAGAGGAAAGATGCAGCTATATCAAAGGACTGAGCTAACGGGTAAGTGTCTACTGGCTGGCCTCTCAACATATCATCAGCGAGATGATATTCTTCAAAACAAAGTAGTTTTAGTTAGCGGAGCATTCTCTACAATCACAATATCACGAACAAGAAGTTCACTGATAAATGTATAATATACTTCATATACTTCATATATTCATCAATTGAAGCTTTTATTCTTTTTTAAGCTGGATCGTTGAAATGGTCGACTAGGGTAGATCGACAGCTCTATGGAAAGACCCAGTGCCATTTCAGGCAGCATTATCCTCCCAAAAACCAATCAACCTCGCCACTCTGAACGAGAGTGACTCTATCCCTTGAATAAGGCCGTAGTCAACCGAAGCCAGGATCTCGCCATTTTCACCAACCCCCCCGTTTTTTTTTTAAATGGAACCAGGACAGCCCGGCTCATTTATATCCGTCGGCAAGAAGGAGCTGTTTACTCCTCATCCTCCTCGGCAGCGTCGTCGACGACGTTGTAGAAGCGGAGCTCATAGACACCCTTGGAGGTGGAAACGACACGGAGCCAGTCACGGAGCTGCTGCTTCTTGAGGTACTTCTTGGTGCTGTGGATGGCCAGTCAGTATTTACTAGGATCGCCATTTTGTCTTTCTTGGGTGCGCATGACTTACAGGTACTTCAGGTAGCGACCGGAGAAGGGGATGTGGGCAACAACCTCGATCTTGCCATCGGAGGTCTGGCTGATCGCAACGCTGTCGCCGAGGTTACCGACACGGCCCTCGACCTTGATGCGGTCGTGAAGGAACTTCTCGAAGGCGGAGACATCGAAGATCTTGTCGTTGGCCGGCTGAGAAGCATTGATGATGAACTATGATAGCCAAGTCAGTTCGCATGCTCGAGAAACCCAGGTGTCGTAAATTAGAGAGAGCGCGCGCTTGACGTACCTTCTTGGTGACCTTCTGGGCCTTCTTGCCACGAGCCTACAGGGACAAAGAAATGATGAATTAGCCTACTGCTCCATTTTTCATGTTGACAAGTCCTGAGTCTTCTGTCCAGACGTCTTCTTGACGGCCGGTCGCATGCGATATAAACATGCTAACCGACGCTGACAGGGAAACGACCTTCAAGGCAACCTCATGGAGGAACAGCAAAGCGGTTTCAAGAATAGGAACATACAACGGGAGCCATTGTAATGAATATGGGGGGGGTTTTTTTTATCGAAAGATAAACTTGATGAGGTCGCAAAGAGGTGAATATCCTGCGCCGTGAAGACAATTGCTCAATGGATAAAGCCGAAAACTTCGATTGTGGAACCGTCTCGTTCACCAAGTCCCCGGTGCGTGAAGCACTAAGCCGTTTTGGTAGACTGTCTAGGGCTACTACGCTGTAGTTAGGGCTCAAAGTGCAGCTATATGCCAAGCCAATAGCCCCGGCTCTCATTGGCTCGCTTGACAGCCGAAGCGAGGCTAGTCGCTCTAGTGTAGCACAGACCATGCCATCTCCAGTATAAATATCTCCTGTTTCCCGCGCCTTTTAGTAGTTTTTTTCTTTTCTTTTCCAGCTCTCTTTGCCTTTTGGCTTAGATCAAGTGTAGTATCTGTTCTTTTCAGTTTAATCTCTGAAAGTGTTCTAAGGAACACAACATTGATTAATCTCATTTTTGGACCTAGTGGCAAGGCCTCTGTGCTTGCGCATGCCTCGCCACACAGTGTCATTGGGCTCACACTACTCCCAATTGACGCGAACAACCCCTTTTTTCATCAATTTGGTCGGCTTGTCCGGCTGGTTGGAGAAGAAAGTTTGAGAGTTATGGTAGTTTCTAGTACGAGTACAGAGTATCTACTCAAGATGGCTGTCGTGTAGGGTGTGTTTGAAAAACAACAATGAGGTCCTGTCAGTGCCTGATCGTGGTGATGGGTGGTATATTCCCACCAAGCTTGTATAACCTAGTATCTGTCTCCTAGTAATAATTAGTCGTTGTTATCAAGCAATTATTATTATAGCCTTGACGATTCCATCGCACTTCTGGGGCCAGAACTTCGTCGCGTCCACACGTGACGTACCGCCTTTCACTTATCTGCATAGAAGACTGCCGAAGCAAATGAACGTTGCCTTCCATAGTCTTCACTTGGGTCTTTTCTACACAGCATCTGAACATCTAGCTAGCATAATGGGTTCGATAGTCCTACCACACTTGCCTACCGCTTGGCATGTCGACCAGGCAATTGTCTCTGAAGATGAACGCCTTGTGAGTTAATGGTTGTCAAATGAAGCTGGTGCCAGCTACTGACAATATATAGGTCGTGATTAGATTCGGTCGAGACCACAATCCTGACTGTGAGGAGCGGATTTAATCCCGGCTACGTGCTCTTGATTTCTAACTTGATCCTGTAGGTATTCGCCAAGATGAAGTTCTCTACAAAATTGCGGAGCGCGTCAAGAGTAAGCTCGAATTTGTGATACCCCGCTCTCGAACAGCATACTGACCCGAACCCTTGTCTCTAGATTTCGCGGTCATCTACCTCTGCGATATTGATCAGACACCAGATTTCAACGCGATGTACGAATTATATGGTAAGCCTGCTGGAGAATACCTAGGATGATGTGTGTGCCTCATACTAACTCTTGACGTGCTTAGATCCAATGACAATTATGGTAAGCACCTTCTCGACTGGCAGCCATATCCACAGCACTGATAATAATTTCGAAGTTCTTTTTCCGCAATAAACACATGATGTGTGATTTTGGAACCGGAAACAACAACAAGCTCAACTGGGTATTAGAGGACAAGCAGGAGTTGATTGATATTATCGAAACTATTTACAAGGGCGCAAAGAAAGGGCGTGGTCTGGTGATCAGTCCCAAAGGTAGGCTCTCCATGATCAAGTCACTTGCGCAGCATTGTTTCTAACAGTTCTTTAGATTACTCGACAAGGTACAGATACTGAGATGATTCCTGCTTCAAGCGACCGTCGTTTCCAGGCCGCCCGCACTTTCGACATACTACAAGAAAACGAACGTTTGGGGATTTGATTGTTTACGGGTACGAATTATGATATTTGACGATCGGTTTTCAAAGGCAAGCTCTGTCGTTCTAGCCGGAGTAATCAACTTTTATTAATCAACCTAGAGCCCTCCAGGAAAATCGTAGGAGCTCTGCAGCCACACCTATTCTCTTTCCATCTCCTAACCATGGCTTCCAATTTGATGCACTGACTAGATATATTTTAGGTGTAAACGGTGGCAAAATGTAGTACACATTACCGGTGGATGATTTGAGACCAACGTAGAATCCGGATTTTTCTGGTCAACCTGAGAGCAATTATTCAGAATATATCTACACTCCTGTTCTGCTGAATTACTAAAAGAGCCTACTTAATTGAGAATATTATGATTTCGAATTAAAAACGATATCTTGTGTAGTTTCCTACCCGACAGCTAAAGATCTTGGATATAGATTACAACATCGTGTTGATTTCAAGGCTGAATATATATTTTCCATTCGAGCCTCACCATTTACCCTATGGTGTGACTAATAGACTGGGAAAAATTCACCAAAAATATCATCATTCCCTATAATCATTTACTTTAGGTCTTGCTTTATTTTTCTTTGGACCTCATTTCTGTTACCTCTATTTCCATCCAGAGGTACAGCTAGGGACAGAGGTGGAAAACTCCACTCCACGATCCTTGACGTAACCGACACCAAAACATTTCACGACTCTACGAACTTGACCACGAATAAAGTGCGGAAACTAAGCACTATCTGAGTGACAAGCAGACAAAATGATTGACAAGAGCATCTTCGAGCATTTACAAACCAAGATCGACGAGGAGGGAGCTGTTCGCGATGTGAGTGGGTTGTCTTGTCGAAGCTTGGACGCTGGAAACTAAAGATACCCTAGGAACTGCACGAGATCGTCCAGACGCTCGCTAGAAAAGGTCTATCATCCATTATCTCATTTATCTCATTCCCCCCCCTCTCGTTTGTTGCGAGTGAGATCAACTAACGCGCTGTAGGAAGAGCAACACAAGCTACCTTGTCGAGAGCCCACTCGACACCCTCAGACCAATGTACGTATGAATCAAAGGATTTCCCTTAATAGGCTGAACTGATGCCTATTCAGTGAAACCTGTTCTCGATGAGGCCACGAAGGAGATCCTTGGCCAGAAAGAAGAAGTCCTTCGTCTCAAGGCCGTGGCCGACAAACATCCTTTCTACAAGTACAATGGACTATGGACGCGGGAGCTGCAGAACCTCGTAAGAATCCATAAATATATATAAAAAAAGAAATCAACTGAACCTTACTCTACAGGTATTTTCTATCGAACTGTGTGCATGGCTCGGCGGATTAGAGGACCACAAGAGCGGCACAGCGCAGTTCATGACCATCGAAGAGGTCGGGAAGTTCCTTGAGAGTATGGTTCCCCAGAGGGGTCGATTTTATATCATTTACGTTGTATTAATATTAACATGTGAAACAGTCCCCGTGAACCTCAAAGAACAAGACGCCTTCCATTTGACTATTGAGGAGTACCTCCTCGCGCTGATCTCCATGGTCGAAGAACTCGTACGTGCATGAAAATCATGACTTGTTGCAGATTTGCAAAGTTTTTTTTTAACAATTCTCAGGCCCGTCTGGCGGTCAACTCGGTCACCCTGGGCGACTACGCTCGTCCACTTCAGATCGGGAATTTCATCAAGGATCTCTTTGCAGGATTCCAGCTGCTCAACCTGAAGAACGATATCCTGCGCAAGAGGAGCGACAGCATAAAGTACAGTGTAAGTCGAGAAAAAGCGTGTGATTATATCGTCCGTGTGTTGACGTCGTACAGGTGAAGAAGGTCGAAGACGTCGTGTACGACCTCTCGCTGAGGAATCTGGTCCCCAAGAACGCCTAGGCTCAAGAGTATGTTAAAAGCGTAGGATCAACAGGACAGTTTGATCTCGAAATACGAATCATAGCGTTACAATTAATTCACAATGGTATCTTAGCATAACTACTTGACAAAACATGCATGGCATCCCTCCCAATCAATTCGTACTATTACGACAGCTTGGACGGTTCGGGAGCAGCCTCGGGAGCAGCCTCGGGGGTGGCCTCAGGGGCAGACTCTGTCATGGTTTCGCTAGCTGTGGCCGTAGTCGTTGTTGAAGCGGACTGAGAGGCCTTCTCGATCTCCTTGAGGATGATCGACTCGAGGCTTTCGGGTTTAGTGGTGCTCGCCCAGCGACCGACGACCTTGCCGTCCGCAGAGATGAGGAACTTCTCGAAGTTCCACTTGATGAGCTTTAGGCCAAGAATGCCGGGCTTCTCATTCTTGAGCCATTTCCAGACGGGCGCAGCGTTGTCGCCGTTGACATCCGCCTTGCCCAGGACAGGGAAGGTGACCCCGTAGTTGATCTGGCAGAAGGACTGGATCTCTTCGTTGGAACCTGGGTCCTGGCTGCCAAACTGATTGCAGGGGAAGCCGAGGACGGTGAATTGGTCCGGGTGTTTGGCCTTAACAGATTGATAGAGCTTTTCGAGCCCCTCGAACTGCGGGGTGAAACCGCACTTGGACGCGGTATTGGCGACAAGGACGACCTTGCCCTTGAGGTCGGTGAGGGGAAACGGTTTGCCAGTTTCTAAGAGAAGGGAGCCTGTCAGCTTAAGGGGAAATCCTCCAAGACGAAATAAAGCATAGAAGAGTAGGTAAGTAGGGTTGAACGAACTATCGACTGGCTCAAACTCGTAGAAGGTAGTGGCGGATGCCATCGCGACGTTTCTCTGGAGGGGAGGAAAGAGGGGTCGACTCGGACGAAATGGTGGTGCAGTGCTAGCTGAGATTAATATACGGCCAGACACGGGTCGAGACCGAGCCAACATGCTCTTTTTATTTCCAATCCAAAAGGTGCTTTCGACCGTTGTGCCGGAACAGAGTAACTTTGACAGACGGCGCAGATCAGTCACTACGCCTAATTGGGCATATTCTCCGACTTCCAATACGTATTGTCGTATTCGATTCTGGACTCGAACAAAATCTCCTTCTCGCTTTGCGCAGCCACAAGCTTCGATTTTCTTCCTCTGACGTAACTCCCGCACTGCTGAGATCACTTTGCTTACCAATAATGTCTAAACTGAAGTTACCTAGACCCATCCGACTTACGCCAGTAGTCGAACCTCGGTTCAGCATTTTTTGGTCGACACGAGCTCTAAAGACTACGGAATGACTGCAGCGAGGAGCCGTGATAGGAGGTTGTGCCAAAGGCATCGGGTTCAAGTCTTGAACTGTATACCTTGCGGAGATTGGACAAATAGGGGATCTGGATTGTGGATTTTTTGCCAACCTTATTATGAAGCATCAAAGTTTATTGCAAAGCCATCGCATGATGAAGGGCATCATTTCCATCGTTTGAACTGGGGGATTTGATTTCTGGCGTCCGGATCCCTGCATGCTAGAATGGCATCGGGCACCGGCTCAGTTAACTCCCAGCTGATTGAACTGACTCATAATTTTGATAGAAATCGGCCATCAGGACCTCTTTCAACGAGAATTTTATATTGTCGAAGCTTTCAATTGAAGGATCCAGACCCCACGTTGATCGGCGTTTTGTTTCTTTTAGCCCCCATTGCAGCTAAGACTGGCTAACTATGATGCTATATAGCAGACTCACATCTGTCATCATTCATTTGTAACCTTCAAATTCATAGCAACATCGGCTATGTTAACAAAAGATAGTGTCGGTAGGTTGTAGTATATTGTCCAAGAACACCGGTGATATTCTTTTAGAGTATGTATGGCTAAAGAACCTTTTGTAATACCGAGCTCGTCATGGTTGAAGGTAGCTTGGCTAAGCCTGAAACCTCTCTGTTCTGTACTCTCACATCGGGATTTCCTTGTATCTCTTCAAGAAGGAAATGAGCCGGAGACTTCTGATTAGGTATATGGCGTGCTGCTGCAGGTAGTTTCACCTCCAACACGCCATCCCACCCTTTGAATATCGCAGCTGGAGTGGATTGCTAGGTGGTGAGATTAACTGATAGTTTGGCCGATCCCAATTCAGTCCAGCCCATACCCAGGTCTCAGTAAGAGCAAGAGGTGTGTATGTTTGTATGGCCGCTCTGCGAATTCTGGCCTATTCGAGGGCATATGGTTTCTCGTCAAGCATACCACTGAGCTAAAAGTCAATATATAAACCATCACAAAATATAGGGAACCTCCACAATGAATATTACCTCTAATAGGGAGAAGCAGAGAAAACTGGGCCCTGATGGCGAGTCAACCCATCCTCGAATCAGAGCCTCAATTCTGCACCTCTGCTTCCAGAACATCAACATCCAACTCTTCCATAACACCCAGAACAACACCCAGACTCTCCATAAATCCATTCACTGCGACGCGCAGCATCCGGTTCGTAGTCGCCCGGTATGTTGCTTCGAGGACCGTTTTCTCTTCTTCTTTGACTGTGGCTTCTAACGATTTGGACGGCGTGTCTGGTGTCGTGAGCGCCATGCTCCGTCGGACGAAAGGGGAGAGTTCTGTGTCGACTTCGATCGCGCGGAGGGCCGACGAAGCAAGTCGGTTGGTTGGGAGGGGGATAGAGATGGTTCTATTCATGTAGTCAGTAAGGTGGATGGATGAGGAGGGCAAGCCAGGCGAGCAAAGACTTCGGCGTACAGTGAGTAGGGAAATTCGGGATTAGATATCTCAGCCATGATTGGTAGTTTAAAGGCGTCTTTTTTTGATCGATAATTAGGCTTCAAGTCTTGCAAGTCAACTGTATTTAACTACTAGAAGAGTGCATTGAATTATTTTGCGGCGGGGATGAAGTGGGATGTGTAGCTGAGTCAGCATCATAGACTTGCTGCGCACTGAATGTTGTCAGTATTGGGAATATTCTGAGATACTTCGATTGCGGACAGCATTCTCAATCTATTTCCAAGAGATACAGATAAGATATAAACGACTAATTCAATACTGCTTATAGTGGTAAAGACCAGATCGAGGAAGAAAATCTTCACACCGTAGCTATATACCCCCGATACCTTGCCTAAAGCTGAATGGCTGCCACACTTGTAGTTCATAGATCAATGTTGAATAATTAGAGTTAACCAAGTCGAGCTGCTGGCACATGGATCAACAAATCAGGTATCAGCGGCATAGATTTTTATTCTGTGTTTGAAGCAAGGAATGAATGCGCTGTTGGCAATAGACCATTTAAACTGGTCATAGATCTCTTGACGACAACTTGTGGTATGTACCCCTTAGTACTTGATGTTTCCAGGAGCATGATCTGGCTATTTGTCTAATCGATAATGAAATATTATTGGTACTCTGAAATGGCTGAGGCAATGAAATCAACACCATGCCTTGATTTTCGAGTTCGGCGGAGGAGCAATTGGCTGGAGTATTCGGCTTCTTTGCAAGTACTCGAAGAGCCTTGATCATGATTTCCAGGGTATCGACACACGGTCCTTTCCCAGTGATTTCAAATAGGCCCAAACCAGTTTGAAACCCGTTGAGAATCGATATTTAGTTATTCGGACGAAAGATTAGGCATAAAACCTCTGCTGGATTTTAGCTTCTCGTGGCGACTCGAGGCATATCCACTGCAACAAGAGTGAATAATAATAATGACTAGTTAAAGGACACGTTGTACAGTAACTAGTCACTGTGAAGAAAGGACTAAACCAAACCACGTCATCCGAGGTGACGCTGTTGGTTTGCTGGCAGCTCGTCTGTAGAGTACTCCGTAGTTAGATGCCACGCCTCAGAATGAGGTAATCCGCCTGCCCCTGGTGACGATGTCTGTGCTTCGAACACGCATGGCGCCTTGTTTGTTGTGGGCGACGGTTTAAGGAGGTTATTTGTTTTGGTGTGGAGAAGGACCTGACAGGAATCGGGGATGTTCCGGCCCGAGCCCAACGGTCCAAGTGCCGGGGAGCCTGAAGGAGCCTGAGGGAGCCTGAATTATGAGGCTTCCAATGGCGGTTGTCCTGTCAACAGCTGGCGCCTTACCGCATTCGGCTCACCACAACATAACAGCCACTTAGCGTGCATCTCTGGCTGCCGAAAAGGTGTAATCTCGTGGTTGCATGTCCCTGTCCCTCCAACAACATCTTCATCTCCGCTCTCTCTCACCTGCTCACCTGCGCTCGCTCTGCCATCGCCGTTGCTGTTCTTTTGCATCTCGCTCCGCATCAGGCCGGAGTGAATTGGTCTGCGATTATCGTTTCCCATATCCTTAGGCTCTTCGCAGTCAATTGGGCGTGTTCTCTCTCCGCGGTTGTGAGCGAGAAAAGACAGCAGTCGGGGCATTAGCAAATCACTAAAGCATGACCTTTTAGCTCAACGAACTTCTTCTAAAGTCCTTGTGATCCTCGCCTCATCTCTATTTTTCCTCCGTCTCCCGCATCGTTGCGGTCTACCTAGCATTCTTCAAGCTTGTTTATTATTCCCCAGTGTACCACCAGGCTGCAGGCAAAATGTCCCCTCAATCGGGTAGCTATGGCCAGGTGATCGAGTATATTCAAGGTACGTGCTGCTGCTACCGACTCTGACTGCAGTGATCCGGGTCAACTGATCAGCGATGAACGGATAGACCGGCTGTACCTGGCCTCCTACGACTCGACTCCGGATGCGAGAACTCCATTCCCTTATCCTGTGGATCATACCAGATCACCGAGCAAGCGCTCAGCGAGAGCACAACCCGGCGCAACACCGACCACCCCCAGAAAACGATCTCCGGTGTACTTCACTGTTGATGATACCTTGCTCTACAACGCGTTTCATGCGGACTTTGGCCCTCTCCACATCGGTCATCTGTATCGCTTTGCGGTGCAGTTTCATGAGATTCTCGGCGACCCGGCCAACAATGACCGGGCTGTCGTCTTCTACAGCAAGTCTGACGCCCGCAGCCGCGCAAACGCTGCGTGTTTGGTTGCTTGCTACATGGTGCTCATCCAATCTTGGCCCCCTCATCTGGCCCTGGCTCCTATCGCCCAAGCCGATCCCCCGTATATGCCCTTCCGTGATGCAGGATACAGCCAGGCCGATTTTGTTCTGAACATCCAAGATGTTGTGTACGGTGTGTGGAAGGCGAAGGAACAGTCTCTGTGTGGGCTCCGAGACTTCAACCTTGAAGAGTATGTCATGCCCAAACCAGAAAAACCATTTGTATTACTAAAAACGAGCGCTAGGTATGAGAAGTACGAACGAGTGGACATGGGCGACTTCAACTGGATCAGCCCTCAGTTCCTCGCCTTTGCATCGCCCCAGCACCAACCCATTGCCGTCGTCCCTGCGAACACGCCCGAGTACGCGGCTTTGCCCTCCACGGTATCCGAAGTCTTCGCCTCGAAGCTGCCTCTTCCTTTCAAGAACGTCCTGGCTCATTTCTCGTCACGCAACATCGGTCTGGTTGTGCGTTTGAACTCAGAGCTCTACTCGCCCTCGTATTTCACAGCATTGGGCATCAACCACGTTGATATGATCTTCGAGGACGGTACATGCCCGCCTCTGCCGCTGGTTCGCCGCTTCATCAAAATGGCGCATGATATGATTACAGTCAAGGACAAGTCGATAGCAGTTCACTGCAAGGCGGGCTTGGGCCGTACAGGCTGCCTTATTGGCGCATATCTTATCTACCGACACGGCTTCACGGCAAATGAGGTGATCGCATTTATGCGGTTCATGCGGCCTGGCATGGTGGTTGGTCCTCAGCAACACTGGCTGCATCTCAACCAAGGTGCATTCCGTGAATGGTGGTTTGAGGATTCGATGAAGGAAAAGTTGGCTCTTGTTGCTCCTGTGACCCCGGGTAGGACTACTACCAAGCAACGCGGAAGCAATGGCCCGGTTTCCACGCCTCCCAACAACGGTCACTCGAAGCGCGCGGCGCTTGGAGAAATCGACCACAATGAAGGGGCTGGCGCTGTTATGGATGAAAATTTGCCGGCACCAACTCCCGGTCAACCTCGCAAATCTCACCGCAAGGATTCACGGCACCATCCTTATGCTCGCAACCCGTCAGGTGGCCTTCACGTGGACAAGGACGCCTCGAAGACCACTGAATCCACCAGCCACCGAGGCCATCGGCTCAGCAATGACAGCAGCGAGAGCGAGGAAGAGACCCAGCTTCGTATGCTCTCAAAGCGTTCGTCCAAGTCGCCGGTGGCATCACCCACGCAGCGATCCATCAGCTACACCGCGACTACCGTGAAGGCTAGTTACACCCTCACTGACGAGATCCTCGAGGACCGCGAGAACTGGGCCGACCCCAACTATTCTGCACCCAAGACACCCGTCAGCACCAAGAGCGGCAGCGGAATTGCCATGGCCAAAGTCCGCACGAGTCCTCGCCGGGCCACCGACAGCAAGGGTGATTCGAGAGGTGTCCGGAAGCCGAGTGGCCGGATTGGGAGCACCAGCAGCACCACGCGGGTCAAATAATCGACGCCTCGTACCCCTCCCCCTTGCTTGTTGACAGGCTTCTGGTCCCTGTTTGGCTATTCTTCTTCCTCCTCTTCTTCTTCTTTTCACATTTTTTCCTTCTTGTCCTTTATTTTTCATTCTTCCTCCCACCTGTTCGGCGGGGCCTTTTTTTCTTGCATACCCCATGCCGTTGCATCATGGTTGGCTGTGACATTCGATGGAATGGCTTTGTTGGTCGTTCGATGCATCTTTTCTTCTTCTTGAAATTGCGTTCATTATTTTTAATCATGGGGTTTATTCGGAGACAAAACTCTTGGTTCAGGGCATACCTTTGACGGCGTTTTTGGCTACATCGATTTTTCTATTTCTCCCTTTCCCCCCCAACACAAATGAAGCGCTTGGAGACAGATTAGGCATTCTTGGCCTAGGAGGAGGGAAGATCTATGTCCAGTTCGAGCTTTTCTGGTCTTTTTGATAGCGGCGGTGTTGTGTGACAATGATTTCGCGCTTGTACGTACACGATCTACGTCTGTATGACAACCAGTTCATGAAGAAGTATTTCCATTTCCCACGTTGCCGTATACTTTCGATCCTCTATTTGGATTTGCGCCTGTACCTATGTAGTGGTAGATGATAGATGATAAAATAGGATTCATCGCCTGTATGGTCATTAAGCTCTCTATTATTCCAAATCCCGTAAGTTGACATACTCCTGTCCCAGCCTTTCTCCCCTCCAATCTAAAAAAGAGAAAAAGAAAAACACTCATAAGTCATTATGCATTAGTTAAGAGTCGGTGAGGGTATTAGTGTAGAAGTCACCCAGCGAGGACGGTATATGGCAGCAGCAGCAAGCGGTTTACTCGATCGTAATGATGTTGGTACAGTCCGCCCCCTCTTGGGTTTTCTTGCGGATCATGAGTTTGAATCGCTTTCTACTGCTGTCCGTCTCCTCCAGGTCTGGTGAGGGATCTTGCTCCTCGTCAACGACCCGTGCCGTGACTAGCTGCCACGTTATGGATGGGCTCTCGGCCTGCTCGGCCTGCTCCATGGCGGCGAGGATGCGCAGTGTTTGGCTCACGTTCCAGATCCCCTCCCTTGAGCCCTGGTACCGGCGCAGCCAGTCCTTGACCCATTCGCGTAGGCCCGTATTGCTCGACCAGCGGTACGCCCCGACCACTGACGGTAGCATGCCATAGCTGTATGTGAAGGCTTGACCGAATAGGACCGGTGAGATCCCCGCCGCGATTCGGCAGATGGTCAGGGCTACTTCCTCGGCGTCCGGAGGCAAGAGCCGCCCCAGGCCAGGCACGTAGCGGGTGCGTGCCCGCATTCCGGTACAGAGATATGCGGCGTAGTTGACCGCAGCCGCGCAGGGATCAGATGAGTGCGGAAAAGAGAGGGATGGAACCCGCAGGAGGCTTGGCGTACCGGTGGACGGGTCCAGCGATGAGATGGTCAAATATGCGCCGCTGGAAAGGTCATCCTCGGGGCGCTCCGATGCGGACAAATCCTTCCACCATGCATCTAGGTTGGCAAGCAGGACGGCACTTTGGAGGGTCCATTTCTCGTCCAGGGCGGGCTCTTGGCGTTTCTGGATCTCTAGGAGCGTCACCTCCTCGACGAGGAGCAAGAGCCGGTCTTGCATCTGAGTCGAGCGTCTGAGGAGCATATTTAACCAATCAGCCAGCTTGGACGGCATGATATCGGACGTGGTGACGGAATAATCTTGGTTATACAGCCGCAGTAGGAGTGCCATCCGTGCAAAAGACTTGATCATGAGCATCCCCGCGGTTTTCTTCGCGATGTCTTTGTACCAGCCAGCCAGACATGATGCAGCGCCCCGCATGTGCGACCGCCAGGACAACAGACAACCCCGCTGCAGCTCAAAATTGGAGAGTAGCATGATGGTTGCAAAGAGCGAGAATGACGTGTCAACATCGGTCGAGCGAACCAACCCCGTGGCCGTCCGCGGAGACGCGAGATCGACACGTATCCCCTGAACCGCTTTAAGACTGTGGTGGAAAGCGTGGCGACGGAGATGCATCGATCCTCGAGGGTAGACCTCCATGGTTGAGAGGTTGAGTGCGGCCAACGCCATGGCGGCGTCGTACACATGTGACGACATGGGCTCTGACTTTAAGATGTCTGACGCCTGGAAAACCCGATTAAGACTCGCAAAGCTCCGACTGATGGAATACTCATAATATGTATAATCCTCTGGAAACTCGAAGGCGCCCATGAGGCTCATCGATGCATTCGACACTCCACTCTCCGGTGACGGAATGTATTCTGGTGACGAGGACGAAGAGGAGCGTGCAGTTGCATCATCTTGATGAGCGTAACTCTCCTCAGAATCAGATGGCACATCTTGCGACCGAGACTCTCGGGGCACTGTCGCATAGGAGTCGACACTGTTCCACGCTATGATGTTCAAGACCCCATCGGCACTATGTGACGACGCTGGAGTGCCCGACCCGCGACGGTCTACATTAACCCCGTCCGTGGGAGCCCGGGTCCCATGGGAAGCTCCATCACTCTTGCCCTTGGTGTCACTCTGCCGCGCTTTCTTCGAAGATTTGCTTTGGGCTCGTTGAACGACGAGGCTGGTCTGATCTCGAAAGGCAATTCGCTGGGCATAGCCTTCACATTCAAGGTTCGTGCGTTTGCACTACAATTCGAGACGAGCGAGAAAAAAAGAGAAAAAACGTCAGCAGACAGATGACAATGAAAGGGGCCAATGTGTGTATATAGAATACATTATTGCAACTGGGCTTCGCTTCATCACAGCGCAAGCGCCGCCGCCGACAAGTCAAACAGCCTGTGCGGCCACGCGAGATGACATTCCGCCTTTTGGCGGGTTTTTCCGGGCCGGTCGGTCGGGTCGCAGCCAGGGGCATGAGCAACGCAGTGAGACGAGAATGGGGGGGGCAAAAGACGATGCAATTTGGGGGGAGAAGAGGGTTAGGAGGAGTTTCTCGGCCAGCGCGACATGGGCGAAGTTGAACAAGACAGGCACGTAAGGCTTCTCAAGGACTTCTGGTCCCCGGGGCACAAGAGAACCAGGCGTGGATATAACAACTAACGGGGCCACCCCCCCGGCAGATCCATAGTCGATCAGCGAACCTCTGAGGCTAGGCTGGAACTGCAGATCTTTCCCCCCTCCCTTCAGAAATAAGCTGTGTGACCCTGTTCGCTACTGGCCACCGACCACGGAAGTGTGGAGGCAAACCACAGCGGAGAGTCACACCGAAGGTTGCCTCGGGGCGATATCCCCCCGGCCCATGCTCTCGCTTTTTGCGACCGGAAATGATGGGATAGTTGGTTTAGGATTTGTGCGCCCACATTCCATGGAATGGACCCTTTCCTTGGCGGAGCAAGTGGCCCGGCTGGCCATGCTCCACCACACGTCCGTTCTCCAGAACTAGGACCTGATCGTGATCGAGAATGTTGTGTAACCGATGGGTGATGGTGACGGTGGTGCAATCGCTGAATTTATCGTGTAGTACGGCGTGGAGGCGGTCTTCGCTGGCTTGATCGAGATTGGCAGTGGCTTCGTCGATGACGAGGATCTTGGCCTTACCGACCATTGCACGCGCCAGTGCGATCAGCTGTCGCTCCCCCTGAGACATATTTTGCCCGTTTGCTTCCACCACGTCATCCAGCTTCCACCGTGTGTCTCCCGCAATATCGCTCAAAGCAGACTGTAATCGGTCATCTCCGACAGTACCTGTCATATCTAGGTTGGTGCGGATGGTGCCGTTAAACAAGACGGGTTCCTGGGGGATGAATGTGATGTGTCGCCGGAGAGTATCGACCGAGATATCCTCAATGTCGACCCCGTCGACCCTGATGGCACCGCCGAGTCGCGCTGTCATCCGCAGCAGACTCAATGCCAGCGTGGTTTTACCGCTCCCGGTTCGTCCTACAATGGCGATCCGATCACCAGGGTTGGCTGCAAAGCTCATTTCACGAATCACACACTCATCATGCATTGAGTAGCCCGCTGACAAATGATGAACCTCGATTGCCCCCCCGGCGGGCCAGTCATCGTCTACTGTCTCATTTCCGTGCTCGGATTGGCAGCTTTCTTGCGGCAGTTTTTCCAGATAATTCTCAATCCGATGGTAGCTGGTCAGCTCGATCTCCAGTAGGCTAGAGAGGTAAACAAGATCTTCTTGTAAATTAGCGCTCAAAGGTCTAGATTTGTGCATGGCGGGAAGGAAAACAACTCACACAGAAGAGCGGTACACAGCCCGGTTGTCAATGTCAAGCTGAGGCCAACTACCGCCGGGCTTGGGTTCTGCTGCAGCATGGCTAGTGTCGCCACAGAAAAAGATATTAATGCGACGAAAATGTCCATTCGAACCGCCAACCAACGCTGGAGGTCACTGACAGCTTCCCAGGTTCGTACATGGTGGTGGACAGCCCCGTTAAAACGTGTTTGTAGCACTCTTTCAGCTCGGAAGGCATGTATGGTCGCCAGACCAGACACGGTCTCGGTGATCCCGTGGTATAAAGGAGTCAAGCTGCCCGCATACATGTGCTTCGTGGCCGTTGATGCAAATCGGTACCGACGACCGGTATAGATGGCCAGGGCAGTCAGGATGATTGACGGGAGTATAAACAATGGGATCAGAGAAGAAACCGTCAGAATTCGAAGGGCAATCGACGAGTATGTCTCGAGGACCGGTCGGAACGTCCGTATCAGAGTGTCATCTAAGCTCGTTATGTCGGAGGAGAATCGGTTGATGATCTGACCCGCTGGTGTATGAATTATCCAAGAATATGTAGCTCCGAGGACCGTGGTGAGTAATTGTAAATGTTTATCGCGACTTGCTCGCCATGCACCCGAATACAAGAGGAGAAGTGAGGCTGCCAATACCAGAACTTGTGCTAGCCCAAGGCCTATATGGTTTATTATTAGCAGGGTGTATATAGGAAACGAACAGGGAGATCACATGCCTGTAAAAATCCCCATGTACACATTAGTTGACATCTCCGCGTTGCTCCCGCTCTCTGTTCGACTCCAGACTGAAAGCCACCAAGGCAGCATGATGTCCATCGCCTGAGCGCCCACCATGAATATAAATGTTATCGAAAGGAATGTCCTGTTCCCGAAGGACCGTAGATAATTGTATGCTAGCCAAGTGAGCCCATGGTCAAGATCCCAGATAGTGGACTCTACTCACCACAAGAAAAGCCAGAAACCCCTCCAGCGAACTTGTCAAGATCTTCGGACTCAGGAGAACCGGTTGGTTTCGAATTGGATTTGCAAGGAGATGCAACTGGGACTGGCGGTTCCAAGTCTGTTTCTTCAGGTTCGAGGCGTTCTGTGATCTCGGGGCCCTGGATGATACCCTTAACCTTTCCTTGTTCCAATTTGATGACCATATTGGCCATTTGGGCGCATCTGACGTCGTTGGTAGCAAGAACAATTGTTCTATTTTGTGCCAAAGGCCCAAGAATCGCTTTTCTAATGATCCAATTAGAAGTAACCGGATCAAGCCCCGAAAGAATATCATCTAGAGCTAGGATCTTTGCTGGTGAAAACAGCGCTCGAGCAAGTGCTATACGCTGTCTCTGCCCCCCTGAAACACCTCGGCCAGCTTCGCCAACGTTATGGAAGTCACCATCCTGAAAACTCGCTATGTCATGCTCCAAGGCGCATACGTGCAAGACTTGCTTATAGCGTTCAGTGACAAGGGGTGAACCAAGGAGAATATTATCCCTAATACTGCCATTGTGGAGCCATGGGGTTTGAGAGGCATATCCTATAGGCTCAAATTGAGTCTTCTGTATTGTAATCGAGTACTCTCTGGAGTGTGTGTTAAATATCAAGGACTGCAGAAGCCGAGATTTGCCTGACCTGGATATCCTGTCAGTCAAGAAAAAGTAAAAAAAAATAGTGAGGCCTCTAGATCATACCCTATACTTCCTGAAACAACATTGAGACCGTTTTGCACAAGCCGTATCTGATCATTATTTGAAAGATTCGAACTCGATACAGCACTACTGTCAGCTTTTGTCAGTTTACAGTAGCTTTCCGTATGTTGGTTCGAGTCATTCAGAAATTCACTCAGACGCTTCAAACTAATCATTGCTTGCGCGTATTGGCCCACTCCTAGTACGCTCAGGGTAAGCATGCTTTTGATGATGTTGAAAACAGCAACAATTGTGAAGACAACGTCGGGGTTGACCGTGTTTCCTCCGATAACCGAGTATAGAAACAGACATAGGACGAGAGCGAATAAGGTGAATGTTGTCGACAAGACCTCGGATCCCACGATAATCTGCATCTTTCTCCAAATAGCTTGCAACTCTCGACCACGTGTATCCAGGATCTTGCCTGCAAAAGCTTGTACACATCCAATCATTTTGATTGTTGTGAGGGTCCGTATGGCTTCGTTTGTTTTCCTCATCCGCTCATCTGTAGATTTCATGATGTTGGACTGTGCTTTTCCTTGGGAAGAGGCGATGAATTTGGACAATGGAAATCTTGTGACCAGAAGGAAAACCAGACTTGGAATATAATACCATCCCATAATTTTGAAGAGAAGAATAGATCCAACGGTAATTTCAACCGGGACCATGAACATTGTCATGACTGTATAGCGGAGCGTACCCAACCTATCGACGTCGGCGGAGATATTGTTATGGAGTTTGCCGCAATCCACGCCAGTACTGTCCACGGAATGAATGAGTTTGTCAAAGACCGCAGAAATGACGGTGACTTTGAGGTGGCCTATGATATGCGTAGCGATATATTCAAATATCTGCATGCATAACCCACGCAGGATTGGGCAAACACTGAATAAAGTTATGGAAAACCACGGCCTAAACTTGGCTTCAGGTGATCCTTGAAGATACAGCAGCAGTTGATAAAGACCAATGGTTCCAACAAGCTCGAAGAATCCGCAGGAGGCCGAGAAGAAGGCTGCAACCATCAGCCGACGCTTGAATAGGCTCCAAAGAACTTTGGGAAGTGACGGCGAGTCCTTGCAAGCCTCTGTGTACTTCCGAAGCCAATTCTCTGGAGAACTCTTAGCTGTGGAAAGTGGCAAATTATCCGAACTAATGTCTCCACGACGCTTGTATGCCTCATTGATGAGGGGACTGATCCACGTATATAAACACCATCTCGTTAGAGGTGAAGAAGTATGCGGTGGATAGAGATCATTCTCGGTATAATTATGAGAAGGGGATGCCAGAGGAACCAAAATAGAACTTGTTAAAGCAGCTAGCAGCTGGATTAACGTCCACGTCGAGAGATAGTGTTTGGGAGTGTCGAGCCAGATCAGAGGGTAGACCTGCTGTGGGATGTTTGTTGTCAAGAGTAACGTTAGACTAAGCAGCACGGAATTCAAGAAGGAAAGTAATTGAATCGAGCGACTGGTGAGATATGTAAGCTGACAGAGAGATACGGCAACCTATGCCTTGTCAGCGACTGTGCCTTATAATTGATATCGAGCTGAGAACATCGGACTCACCCACAAGCCCCCAACTAGAAGTCTAGGGAATTCGTAGACCTCTCCTGCAAATGCCTCGCCTAGTATCGTAATGGCGCAGAATAAAGAGCAACAGAGCCCAAGGAGTCCGATCAAGGCATGTCTCGTCGTGAACCGATAATTCTCATGCAACTTTCGGCGGCGGTATATGAACAGAACGTCGTATAGACATATGGCCACGCAACAAGCAGGGAGGGCCAGAAGACCCATCCTACTGATAATATGTTCATCATCCAGTGATGCCATTGGGATATCTCTCTAAGAAAGTGATTTCAAGTGTGAAATTTCAGGGCTCAGTTCTGCCAAAACCGGCGGGCGTCTCCCCCAAGTTTTATGGGAGGAAAATCAAGGAAAGAGTCTCCTTTGGCAGTGATGATCAGAACTGGCCAGCTTTCAAGCCCAAGCAGCGGAGCCTCGTCACTCTGTACTGCCATATCAAGCAGGCATCGCATTCACGCTGGGGACTGTGGACATGTCGGGACGTCTGTGCACAGTGAGAAAAAATCCGATCAGGAAAGACGCAGGAAATATTACCTTTCCAAACCCCCGACAGCTGGCCAAACAAACGACTCCTCCAAATTGACGTGTGAATCTGACTCGAGAGTGCAGCAGGAGACGATTCTTCGCAGCTCTGGTGGCCTTCAGAATCCCTGGTCGTTCTCACTTGCCTGATTAGGGAAAACAACCGGACTAGCGTCACCGCCAGCCCCTCCGATACCACTTCTCCCGCAACGCGTTCGCCTATCTGTCTCCCCTGCCTGAAAGAAAAGAAGAAACGTCGTCCGAATATCCTCCGTTCAGCTGTTCTTTCGGGCCCGAGTTTTCATGCGTGGGCAAGCTGTCGTGTGGGCGCTGGCCTGGGCGATCGGGCTGCTGCCACGAATCCTCTGTATCGAGGATAGTAAACACCAAGCTGCGCTTCTTCAACAACCTGAAGGCCACAGCCCGGATTTTATAAGATATCAACATGCCGAATTTCCCTCTCATTCAATTAGAATCAAGGAACAGAGTGATGACTTGTGCAATGCTGGGTCCAAGCAGTATACCGGATGGCTTGACGCCAACGGAAAACATCTTTTCTTTTGTGAGCATATCGCTATTGTTAATAGGAGCTAAAGGATTGATTTCTAACCTATTTAAAGGGTATTTTGATAGCTTGAACGATCCCCTGACTGACCCTTTGACGCTCTGGGTGACCGGAGGACCAGGAGTGAGCAGCCTGGTTGGTAAATAGCCATTCGTTCTGGGAAGAATCCCTACCCAGTGCGATTATATCTGACAAAAGCTACAGGGCTTCTGGTAGAAATTGGACCCTGCCTGATTGATGATGGAGGTGAAGGCACCCACCGCAATCCGTTCTCCTGGACCAGGAACTCCTCCATGATCTTTGTGGACCAGCCAGCGGGGACTGGGCTCTCATACACGGATCCTGGAACGGATCTGCCTACGGACTCGAAAATTGCAGCGGAAGATATGTACATTTTTCTCCAGATCTTCCTGACCCAGGTTTTCCCAGAGAGGAGAGAGGTGCCTTTCCACATAGCGGGTGAAAGTTACGGAGTAGGGTCATCCGGACGATTCTCAGATTTCAGGACCGCTGACGATGTTGATAGGGCCACTATGTTCCTAACATGGCTGTCGAAATCCTCAAGCAGAACAAAATTCATCAGGAGAGACCGGAGGTACCGCTGAAATCTATCATGATCGGAAACGGTTGCGTGTCACCAATGCATACAACGTATGGCTTTTATGAAACTCTTTGCACAACGAAACCTGGCGTTGAGACGCCTGTGTTTAACGCTACTCGATGCAAGGTCATGGCAGACGCGCTACCGAGATGCATGTACGTCTATGAAAGCTGTTACCGATACCCCGATAAAGCCATTTGCAAGGCTACTGAAGAACCCTGTGGGATAATATTCGACCTTTTCGAAAGTGAGTCGCATGCTGGAGGACGCGATCCATTTGATAGTAAGTTTGAGACTCAAAAAGAGGAGAAATAATCGGTTCTAAGTCGCCTAGTCACTCGGGTGTGCGAGGTAGAGCATCTATGCTACTCATCTACACTTAATGTCCAAGAATACATCAACAGCAAGAGCGTATGGAGTGCTCTAGATGTCCCTGATGCCATCCACAATTTCTCCATCGAGTCACCGGGGATTGTCGCTGCATTTGAGAGCAGCAATGACTTGTATGCAAACACGATGAACCTGATCCAATCTACTTTAGAGCACAAGGTCGACGTTCTAATCTACAATGGCAACCTGGACCTTGCGTGCAACACCGCTGGAAATCTGCGATGGACCAATGCTCTTCGTTGGAACGGACAGGCCGAGTTTGAATCGCGCGACCTGAGACCCTGGTTCTCGGTTGTGGAGGGAGAATTGACACCGGTCGGCCAGTACAAGGAGGTCTCTGCGTCGGCGCGGGGGGGCGATGCTGACGCCCAGCGATTCGCCTTCGTGACAGTTGATAAGGCCGGGCATATGGTAAGCACCTTGCCAACTAACTTCAATTTAAAGTGCATTCATTGTCCCTTGCTCACTGATGGCGTTTGCAGGTCCCTTTCAGTCAGCCGGCCATTGCATTAGATCTTTATCAACGTTGGATATTTGGCCAACCGTTTGAGGTCGCATAAAAATCAGTAGATACATTATTGAATTTTATTTGGGGGGTTTTCTTTCTTTTTTTTTGGAATCAAACAGAACATATCGCCCCTTTTTCCCATTCATGACTCGATGGGTTTCCCAGCGCAGGATTTGCGGGGATTACGGAGTGACTATCGGCGGCGAGAAGTTGTTCAACCACATCGCAAATGACTCGTTGCACAGGCTACTACTCTAGACTCTACTCCTTGAAGCTGGAGTCCGGACCTCCTGTTCGTGCGTGGAAAAAACTGGGTGGCACAAAAGAGAAGAAATGGTTTCTGTCTGGTCTCCACCGTCTGGAGGCGTATTGGGCCAATGATTGCTCAAGACAGGCCTGGCCAACTGATTGATCATTTTTCTGTGGAACGCAGATCGTCGTCTCCACTGATCGTCTGGCCTTAGCCCAAGCAAGGTCCTCTTCTCCAACCCCGAGATTAAGTGGTTAACCGCCTAGTTAAATTATTCCAGATTGCCTACTCAGCGGCCCACGTGAAGGTGGCACATACCGTTCAGTCACTCCTTATGATACATATCCTCGGTACTCCACCACCAGCGTTGACTATGTGGTAATTGCAACGAGCAGAGAGAATACAGACTCTGTGCTATGTAAAGCAATTTTTATTGCGCGTGAGGATGGAGAGCAAGAACGCGACGCGGGTCGCATCAACACAGGAGACGATGAGCGATGGAGGTCTAGAGAGCGGAATGGCAAAACATCCAGACTCAGAGAAGCCTCGACTGAATGATGAGAAGGAGGAGGAAGAGCAAGAGAACTCGTACGTACAAGAATCCGGAGCGACCGTGTGAATAAGTGGAAAGCTGATCGCTGCCAGTCCGTACCCCGAGGTGCGCGCGAGTGTTCCCACGGGGGACGAGGTTGATCTGCCTGTGAACACCTTCCGAGCCTGGGTTTTGGGGATTGTTGGAACTATGATTCTTACGGCGCTGAACCAGTTCTTCCAGCTCCATTCGCCTCCGAGTGAGTCTAATCGTGTTGTTAGCAATGCAGCAGGGGGGGCTGCCTATAGCTATTGACTGATCCGCTCTAGTTTTTCTGTCTTCTTACCTCGCAATTCTGATCACCTTGCCATGTGGAAAGCTGATGGCTGCCACACTCCCTACTACAACCTGGAACATAATGGGCTGGCGCTTTACTCTTAACCCAGGCCCTTTCAACCAGAAAGAACACTCGATCGTGGCTATCATGGCTTCTCTCGTTACGGCATTCGACAACGGCTCTCTTGCCTCGGACGTCTATGTGGCCTTTGATAAATTTCTGAATATCCCCGTCTCGGTGGGGTATCGTTTCGTGTTTCTGCTTACCACACAGGCTCTAAGCTTTGGGATCGCGGGCTTCTTCCACAGGTTCCTTGTTGAACCCGCGTTCTGCGTCTGGCCGGCTGCACTGCCCGTTTGTTCCTTGCTGCACTCGTTCCATGACAACTTCTACCAGGGCCAAATAGCAAATGGATGGAAGATCTCGCGAATGCGGTTCTTCTGGGTCGTTTGTGGCTTTGGCGCCGCGTATCAGTTTTTGCCAGGCTATCTCTTCACGGGCCTTAGCACGTTTGCCTGGGTCACTTGGATTGTGCCGAACAATGTGGCCGTCAACCAAGTCTTTGGAGCGACCTCGGGAATGGATCTACTTCCCTTGACTCTCGACTGGAACCAGATCACAGGGTATCTGGGTTCCCCCCTTCTCGTACCTACATGGGCTCTCGTGAACGTTTTCTGCGGGAGCGTCTTCTTTCTCTGGGTTATTGCGCCGGCTCTTCATTGGAGTAATGTCTGGGAAGGCCTGTACTTTCCCTTTTCATCTTCAGACACCTTCGACAATACGGGTGAGTGGACGGAAACATTTGCACCGCATTCTTTTTTATTACCTTGGCTGACTTGGTGACAGGACAAGCATATAATACCACCCGCGTGATGAACTCCGACTACTCACTCAACGAAACTGCCTACTTTGATTACTCGCCCGTGTATCTCTCCACAACGTCTATTCTCTCCTACGGGCTTGGGTTCGCCTCAGTCATCTCGGTAATCATCCATACTGCTCTGTACCATCGGGAAGTCGTGTGGAACGGTCTCCGGGCCACTTTCGGAAACACTTCGCCGGGTGAGAAGGAGGACATCCATTCCAATGTATTATTATCTCCCCGAGCTCCTTTTCCTGTATGAGATGAGAATCTGACTCCAGGTGGCAGTTGATGAAAAACTACAAGCCTGTGCCGCTATGGTGGTACGGTGGTATTTTCCTCGCCATTTTCGGTATTAGCGTTGCCTTTCTCTACGTCTATGACACGGGCCTGCCCTGGTATGGACTCATCCTGGCCATCGTACTGAATGTGGTGCTTGTCATACCCACGGGTATAATGATGTCGACTTGCAATGTCACCCTGTCAACGACGGTCATCTCTGCCCTGATCGCCGGGTACATCTGGCCGGGTCAAATGGTAAACAATGTGGTATTCAAGATTTTTACCATTGTCTCATCATACCAAGGGTTGGGATATATCCAAGATATGAAGGTCGGCCATTACATGGTATTTTGAACCTTGAACCCCCCCTTCCCCCGTCAATGAATGGTGTACTAAATAGCTGCAGAAAATTCCTCCACGAGTCACTTTTGCTGCTCAGTGCGCTGGGATCCTCGTCTCATGGCTTACGCAGACGGCAGTCAACATCTGGGCAATGGGCAATGTCAAAAACATATGCACCGCAAAAGCTGAGAATGATGTCAGTAACTCTCTGATGAGCAATATGCAATTATTTTCATTACTGATTGACGTGGTGGATAGTTTGAATGCCCCCTCGCGGCCGGATACTCGACCAACGCCGTCTTCTGGGGCCTCATTGGACCCAAGCGCCTCTTCGCCTCGGGATCTATGTATAGGCCCATGCTATGGTTCTTCCTCATCGGGGCCCTGCTCCCCATCGTGCTGTTTATCATTGACAAACGCTACCCACGCGCAAGGTTACGAAAGGTATTTGAAGTTGTCCCTGAGAGATTGAGGGGATTCAAGAATGTTCTCGGCTGACTTGATAGGTCCATCTCCCTGTCATTTTCGCCTCGACCGCATCAATCCCGCCCGCCACAGCTGCCAACTATATCGCTTGGGGTGTGGTGGGCTTATTCTTCAACGGATACCTGAAGCAGCGGTACCGCGCGTGGTGGATGAAATACAACTACCTACTCTCTGCGGGACTGGAAGCCGCGCTCGCCGTGGGCACGTTTCTGATCTTCTTCTGCCTGTCGTATCCGGCCGTCGAACTCAACTGGTTCGGAAATACTATTGCCAGCACGACGGCGGATGGGAAGGGGACTCCCTTGCGGGTTGTTCCGGAGGGGAAGACATTTGGACCCACGACTTGGAATTAGATATTGAAAAAGTATTCGTTGAGATTTAACTAACTGGGGTAAAAGTAAACAAAATTAGGCCTACGTCTAGATTCGAAGACTGCAGGTGGCTTTGTACTCCACACCGTTAAAAAGATTATCCACTTGACATTAAATCTCCGAATGGTAGGGCTCTGGATGAACTTTCTAGAATATGCACTGCGGAGACAGCATCTATAGACAAGTTAGATCTAGAAATAACTTATTGGTCTACTTTTGTGTCCTAATTCCACGGCTACATTTTGTATATCATTAATACATTCCTCATGAGTACTTGATAATCAAACCCATGGTAATCATTCATCGTCATCATCATCATCATCATCATTCATAACGCATTGTATCGACGTCTTAGTGTACATTAATCATTGGTATCATAACCTGCAGGCCGCCCACGATATCGAAGCGATCAAACCATCCAGACAAACTCGTTCCGCGGCTGCGAATCCTGGGTGAAATACGCGCGATGACAGAGCGGACAGTTGAAGTGATCACCGAGGTACCAGCGCTCAAGACATTCCTTGTGAAAGACGTGCAGACATTTGAGATCGCGGATCTCCTGGCACTGCAGGACGGGTTCTAGACAGACCACACTGTAACGCCTATCAGTACGAGATCTTCAAAAAGGAAATCCATGTTCCAACCCACCATACGAATTGACTGTCGTCGTCGCCCTGTGGCACCGGCTTCTTGACGTTTATCCACCACTGTTCGAGCGTGCGTGTGGGCGAGACGGCGTCGAGTTTGCGCAGGCGCTCGATGTGTGTTTTTTGGGTTGGGATAGGTTGGCGACCAATGCCTCGGTTTAGGATGATAGTCAAGCTGAACATTAGAACAAAGACAATATATATATCGATAGATAGATAGATCGATCGATAGATATATATATAGATGGCTTACAGCAAGCAGATGATGATCACAGAAACAATTCCCAGCCCGAGAGCGAGGACGACCACCATGTGGCTGTTCTTTGCCTCGTCCCCCATTGTTTTTTGCGGGGTATTTATTTATCGATAATCCTTGCCTTTCAAGGTCCACGCTGCACTAGGGTATTGCGACCGTTGAAAAGAGATGACAATAGAGGAATAATAAAAAAAGGAAGCGAAGAGGAAAGAAGAAATAATTATAAAAGACGAGGCGGGGGTAGGTCTCGGTGCTTGAACAACGTTGCATGCACATGTCATGCGACGAAAGAGGGAGAGAGAGACAGAAAGAGAGAAAAAGAGCTCTCTGATGATTAGTTGAAAGCTCCCTAACCTAGGTACTACATAAACTTTGATCTTCATCCTCACGTTATCAGGCCAGGTGCTTTTCTCCAGTGGTGAGCCGGGGATTGGGATTGGCTTCGATGTCGACTCGTCTGGCTGCCATGGTGCGCAAGACCCATGGCGCCACACAAGAAGAAAAAAAAAAAACACACAATGCAGGTATCCGTGTTCAACTCAACTCGCTGGGGTTACTACTACTATCAAAGGAAATCAAAACAATAGAAAAGGGAAAAAAAAAGGGGTGGGAAGAGCAATCAAATGTTCACCGCCGAGTTGAAATGGATTCCCTCGTCCGAGACAACAGGAAGATATGCGCCTGCAGAGGCTGGGAATGCCTACGGAGTAGAAACTCTATGTAGTACGGAGAATACTTCAAACCTGTCCATTAGTTACTCGTAAACAAAACTCTGTAACTTCGGAGTTTCTACCGGCATTTGAGGCATGCCATATTTCAGCCTTCAGGATCAGCTGTCATATCTGCCATATTCCTCCGTCATCGATTTTCGGGCGATCAACAATTGCAATTACATAAGCCCAGTGGATGGGTTGATTTGGCATGACTAAGCACGAATCGGTCAGCTGATCAGTGGGTCGTCCGAGCCCCGGTCCGAGATTATCCCGAGCTTAGTCATTTTCAGATCACGGGACTTCGCGTTCGCGCGTTCGCGGTAGGCACCTAGGTAGTAGGTACTTTTATGAGTTGGTGACTATTAATTCCCAGTAAAGAATAGTATGCGTATAATTTGTACACCCAGCTATACATTATAATAGAATGAAGAATAGGTCGGATTATTTTATAGAGTATATGAATCAATCAGTGCTGTGGATGAATATGTTAGTAGAAGTGATGCTACAGCAGGTACGGAGCATATCCCTGAAGAGAGATAAAATCAATCAGAATAGGACTGACTCCTGAGAAGAATAGAGTACTAAGTAACAAACTATAGTAATAAATAATGACAGGATTAGGTACCAATGTTAGGTACGAAATATCCGCCGTTGACTATGTACTTCCCTAGTCTTGACTCTTAGTCTTAGTCGGATGGGTCTAGTCAATGCACCGCGTCCCGCGACGCGGTCGTTTTCACCTCACGAGCCCACAGACGCGGTCTCGACAACCATCGAAGCTCCAGTTCTGCTCATGGTAGTCTTTCCAGGACTCCTCCCATGGTTCAGCTCAGCTCTCTTCTCATCCTGAAGACATCGATGCATTCCTAATCCATCATCATGTCTGATCCTGACACCACCCCGGTCTCCTCTTCCTCCCCCGCCCTCAACTACGCATTCCTCGTTCACTCGCAAAAGACCCTCACCCAGAACCTGCCCCCGAGGGTGGACAATAAATTGCTTGCCCGCCAGAAGCGTCGACGAACGAGGTAGGTTATCCTCATCTTATGTCACCGTCATGTCAATCTTACTCACCTCGCCGTCATAGTCCCGAAGACCATGCCGTTCTCGAGGCCGAGTACCAACGTAACCCCAAGCCAGACAAGGCCGCGCGTGCCGATATTGTCTCTCGCGTTTCATTAGGGGAGAAAGAAGTCCAGGTATGCCTCTGTGTCTTGGCCTTGTTCCGGGGAAAAAAAAAAAAAAGGGGAAAGCGCGAAAACACTTGTGCTGATCATTCCCCCTCCCCCCAATAGATCTGGTTCCAAAATCGTCGTCAGAATGACCGTCGGAAATCCAAGCCGCTGCAGCCTCATGAGCTGGTCGCTCCGCTGTCCGCCAGCGATCCGATCTCAAGTCATAGCGATGAGCCAGAGGTAGCTGGTGGAGTAGAGCACGATCTTTCGTACAATGGAGAGGACGCGACGAAGCCGTCCGAGGATGTGGCGCTTCCGTCGTCCTTTGTGTCCGAGGTATCAGACACCAAAGACGAGAACAGCCAACCAATCCCGAGCTCTCAGACGAGTGTGGAATCGGAGACTCAGCAAGAGAATGTGCAGGCGGATGAAAACGCCGGGAATGAGCCGCCCGAGCAGGAGGTGCTCTCGGCTAGCAAGAGAAAGCGTTCTATATCCGATTTGCGGGGCCAGGCCACCTTCACATCGCCGCCTTCGCTGCGCATCTCGCTTTCCTTTGATGGAGAGGCCATGGTACGGAAGGACAACGAGCTGACCCCGTCGCCGCCTAAGGGCCGTAACGCCCTGCGGATCGCCATGTCGGCCGATGGCAAGGCAGTGATCCGCAAGGGCGACGAGCCCTCACCATCCAAGAACCGCATCTCCATGTTTTCCACCAGGGCCCCGCGGTTTGCTGGCCTGCGCCGCAGCAGCAGCGCCGTGCTCCCGAGCACTCCGCGTCTCGGCAGCGCGAGCGACAAGGACAAGGTGTTTGGGCGCTCCCGGGATCCCAAGAACTGGGAGTCCTTCTTCGATACCGATGCCCGAAGCGCCCTGTCCACACCATCTAGCGTCTCTCAGGGCACCCCGCACACCGCTTCGCCCAGTTTGTTCAGATCCCGCAGTCAGCGCTCGCTCAATCGCTCTCTGTCGGGCAGGCACAACGCCCTCACCCCCAACTCCGACTGCTTCGCCACCCCGGCTCCCCGGCCGTCGACGGGCGAGAAGCGGCGCAAGCTGTCACGCACTGTCTCTTCCCTTGGTCGACTTGAAACCAGCTGCCCTGGTAGCCTCAACAAGATGCCATTAACAACCGACGACCCCAAGGCTCTCACTTCAAAAGACCATGTCGATGATCTCGACGCTCATTTTGGTGATTCAGATAAAGAAAACTGGATCTCCGGAACGCATGTCTCGCGGATACGTCGGCGGACCATCTCCCACAACGCTCGCCGCCCGATTCTCAAGGACTCCAACGGACGGGACGGCCGGGTCAACCGCTCGCTCGGCAGTCTATCCACCGGCAAACGCAGTCGGTCTTCAATGCTGGCACAGCGCAGGTCCGCCACGGGATCCAACGGAGTCGATCTCCCTGGCGTGAGTACCGACGTCTCGGCTTTTATGGCTGGAGGCGGCGGCGCTAGTCAGGTAGAGGACCTGGACTGCATCCAGGGGCTGTTATCCCTCAGCCAGGGTGCATGGAGATAGTAGTCTTCTCTCGCCCTGGTGGAAAGAGGAAAAAAAAGAGAGTGAGAGAGAGAGATCCCCCTTCTAATTTCATTTGTTGGCCTTGTCTTTTTTTTTTTTTTTTTTCTTCCCTTTGTCAATATGCCCCTTTTCCTTGTATCATGTTGAAAGATGTAAGCGCGCAAGCGATCAATTGGTGCTATGATGTATGAGTTATACTCATCATGATGACTTTCTTTTGTCTTGAACTCACCCTTTTCTTTTCACTTCTCTTGGTCTCCCATCTTGTTCACCCTTGGACTCCATCCCTAGCCCTGGCCGTTTGGAAGGAAGTCTTATATCAACTGGAACAGGGAAAAAAAAAGAGCACGATGCCCCTTGAATGACGGTCTGCTAGAGTTTAAAATTGTCTAGAGTCTGCCAATAATCTTGAATAGATGTCTTATTATGAAGTTCCCACTGTTCTTGATACTAATCCATCCTCCTGTTCTACAGAGGCATACGCTTATCTTTTGCTCTTCCCCCACCAACTGGTCCGTGCGCTTCTCTATCTCTCCCCTTCCCCTTCGCCACTCTCTTGCATATCACTTTGTCCCTTGCAGACTTGGTGTGACTGACTGGCGGGTTGGCCTATGTGGCGTTGTATCCAGATTGTAGGTTGTCGTTGTGCAGTACGATTCGGACAATGTCATTATCGACGTTTGAATCGGGTTCTGACCGTGTTGAAGTTTTTTTTTTTTTCTTTTTGCTCAATTGCTAATATGGCTAAAGATCAGAAACTGCCCAATTTCTGCTCCCCAGAGACTAGGCCGATCCTCGTTGTCAACTATGGCTGCCAAACCGCACGTCGCCATCATCGGGGCCGGACTCTCCGGCCTACGATGTGCAGACATTCTCATTCAGAACGGTGCCGAGGTGACCATCTTCGAGGCACGAGATAGACTGGGTGGACGAGTACAGCATTCCCAAATCGCTCTGCTAGATGTATAGGAGTATGCTGACGTTAGAAGGTCCACCAGCAAGAAATTGGAGGCCATTTGGTCGATTTGTAAGAAATCTCTCTTCATAATGTCTCAATGCACCCGATTTGTCAAGCTAACAGGCATGACCTGTTAAGCGGCCCGAACTGGATCCATGGCAATCGCCAGAACCCAATGAGTACGATTGCCGAGGCGACCCAGACCATCACCCAAGACTGGGACGGCAGCCAGAGCATGTACGACCAGGACGGCGAGCTCGTCGATGAGAAGACGACGACGCGGATCTCCGAGTTTGTGTGGACCAGAATGGACGACGCGTTCAAGTATAGCAATGCCCACGCCGACGAGATCCCTGTGGACCGTAGTCTACTGGACTTCTTCCGCGAGAAGCTCGACGAGACGGACTTCACGCCCGCCGAGAAGACCATGTGTCTTGAGTCGTGCAAATTTTGGGGCGCATACGTGGGCGATCCGGTCTCGAGACAGAGTCTGAAGTTCTTCTCGCTTGAAGAATGCATTGACGGGAGTATGCTTTTTTCCTTGTTGTCCTAGCTAGCTGCAGGCTGATTTTTTAAACTTCCAGCCAACCTGTTCGTCGCCTCAACCTACAAGAGCATCCTGGAGCACGTCGCCGCCCCGGCCCAGCAACACGCACGCATCCATTTGAACTCAGCCATCGCCCACATCGACGCTCCGCCCCGTACCGCCGCCAACCGGCAGGTCACCTTAACCACCTCGACAGGGACCACGCACCAGTTCGACGAGGTGGTGGTCACCGCACCCCTGGGCTGGCTCAAGAAGAACAAGGCGGCGTTCAGTCCTGCCCTCCCCGTACGTCTGGAGCAGGCCATCGACAACATCTCGTACGGCCGGTTAGAAAAGGTCTACGTGACATTCCCCCGAGCATTCTGGCACAACAGCACGGCTTCTTCCTCTACTACTCTCGGCGGGAAAGAAAACCCGGCCTTTGCCCAGTTCCTCGAACCCAACTACGTGGATTTCCCCGCATCCGCGACGCCCTGGAACCAAGAGTGTCTGTCCCTGGCTTCCCTGCCATCTAGCTGCGCCCACCCAACGCTCCTCTTCTACACATACGGGCCCTGCGCAACACATATCGTCTCTACGTTGAAATCCCTCCCCGCGTCTTCGGCAGAGTACTTCTCTTTCCTGGACGAATTCACCCGCCCCTTCTACTCGCGTCTGCCGGGCTTCTCGTCCCAGTCTGCAGACTGCCGCCCCGTCTCCTTCCTCGCAACTCAATGGCAGAACGATCCCTTCGCGGGCAACGGCTCCTACTCTAATTTCCAGGTCGGCCTGCAACAAGGAAACCGCGACATCGAGGCTTTGCGCGCCGGAATGGGCGCCGCCAACGCCCTTTGGTTCGCTGGCGAACATACCGCCCCCTTTGTCGCCTTGGGCACCACCACGGGCGCCTACTGGAGTGGCGAGCGTGCTGCTGCCCAGATCTGTGATCTCTACGCCATGTCGAAGCGGGGGATGAGTGTCGCCCCGGATGATTCGTTGCCTTCTGCTCAGCCTAAGGGGGGGTCTATCTAATTTCTAGTCCTTACCTACATTACCTTTACTTTACTTGACTACCCTAGTTCTTTATCATATTGTTTATAGATGACGTGTTTTGAATAGACCACAGCAATGTTTATCTGGTGATAAGACTTGATAACTCCATGTGCCCTCTAAAACTGAAGATACAAGTAAACAAGTGTAGAAAGAAAGAGAGAAAAAAAAAGCCAACTCCACAGGAACACCACTATGAACAATGGTATCAGAATGCAGTACATATACTGTTGGACAGCATGGGTATTCATGTAAATCGAAAGCCAGCGCCGGGTCAAGGAGAAACGGCTCGTCAAGAGCTGCCGAAAAATATGGTACAGTTAGCAAGCGAGATAAGATGCAGAAGTGGAGGATCAGCCCTGCAGATGCGAATCTAATCCTCCCAGATGGTCTCCAGGTCGAGGTCTCCTCGACGTTCCGCGCCACAGACACTCCATCTCTTCCTCTTGTCGGTTCGCACGCCATAGCCGCCTAGCCCGGGGCGTGTGTTGGAAAGAGTACCGGAGGGGTTGGGAACGTCGGACGTGCCCCGCCGCCTGACTGTGCTGCCTGCAGCGTCAGACTCGTCGACCTTGTCGGCCGCGGCTTGCAGAGCAGCCAGCCGATCATCTTCGATGGCTGCAGCTTCGGCGTCTGGAATGTCTGGAATCGTTTCCAGAGATGAGATGCTGGGGCTCCGAGACCGAAGGCTGGTGGGGGTGGAAGGAATCGACGAGGCAGACGAGGCCGAGTAGCTGGGATAGGTCTCATTGTATTTCGAGCCGAGGACCATGGTTGGAGGATAATGGCTGGGTGAAGGAGTACTGCTGATGGACTGGCTCACGCTGCTGGCGGAGGAGTTGAGATGCAGCGGCGACGATGGGCGCCGGCGACTGATTCGTGGGAAGATGTGAGGAGCAAGAACTGGGGAGGTAGTTGTGGGCAAGTCGGTAGAATGGGAAGTGGACGGGTGCGCACTCATATCAAGTTCGACGTGCTCGGAGATGGTCGGGGAGATGTTCAGATTCAACGACGACATTCTCGCATCAACGGGAGTTTCTTCCTCCAGAGCATCTCGCTCTGCACTGGCCGGATTGTCCAGCAGACCCATGGGGACCCCGTGGCCCTTGACGAAGATATAGCGTCCTCGGGAATCAGGTCCGGGAGACGAGTATGCTCGCGTCATCGGCGCCGGCAGCTCCGCCAGCGATCGGGATCGAAAATGAGATCGCGAGAAGGGCGAGTGGTTCCTCACCGGCCTGGACGCAAGCTGGGTGGGGAGCGACAAGGTTATCATGACGTCCTCCGTTGCATCTGCGGTTTCCGTCCGCGTTGAACCTTCTTCTTCCGTCGTGGCCTCGACCGATTCCACAGACTCCGCCGGGCTGGGCGGCAGCATGATTTGCTCGGGTAATAATCGTGGCTCCTCCATTGTAGTTCGAGAGGCAGGATCATCCAGCTATTCCACCAACATAGTTGTTCTTCGGCGAAGGAGGGGTAGAGGACGTTCGTTGTCCGGTAGGAGTGGAGGCGGCGGCAGCAGCAGCAAACACGGTTGATAAGAACGGGGGGGGGGAAGGGAAAAAATTCTAATAGACGGGCTTGACTGATAGAGTTATCGGGGTCTCGATGCAACCTTTCGAAACGCCCGTGGCGAGGCGTGAGGGGATTCCCAGCCAGGAGAGAGACAGAGAGAGAGAGAGAGAGGCGAAGAAGCCGAACTATCCACGATCGGGAAAGAAGCCCCGGAGGAGGCGAGAAAAAGAGGGGGAAAAGAGAACGCAGTCGCCACACCAATACCACCTGCCCTGCAATAATCTAGGCCATCGCTGAACAGCAGCAGAGGCCGGTCCACACGAGCAGCAGAAAGGGAGAAAAGAAGAAGGTCGTGAACAGCCCGGGAGAGGGAAAAAAAAGGGTCCGTGAGAGCAGAACATGAAACGCGGAGAGACTGCAAAAGGATGCGATTCGGCCGTTTCTGCCTCGCCCTTTTTCTTATTGGGGCGCAGCGACGCCTCAGCCCAGCGCTGTTCTGGCTCTGGAAGCTGCTTATGATGTGCCTCTTCAGCTCGTCAAAGACGGACGTTTGGGATCTGACGCCGTGCCGTGTCCATTGCAATTACAGTACTAACTACTCTGTACGGATGCTGACGCTGACGCTCCCCCTAGCCAGTTTACGCTTCTCATCGCCCACGTTGATCGGGAAAGCCTGTATATTGGTTGCTTGCCTATCGGAAATTCTATCCAGTATCCATCTCAACCATGTTTTCGGTGTGGGTGGTTTGAGGGTTCCAATTTGTGATCCGACCCGCGACCTTAGGTAGAGAAAGCGGGGGGAAAGGAGCGATGGACAAAAGCCAAGAAATGAAAAGGGAGGATTAGGAGAATACAATTCAAATTGGTTAGGTACTTGGCCATCTTGCCTAGCTAATACCTGCTGTATTTGTGCAGGCAGGGAAAGTCATTAGGGGCTGGAATATGTCAACAACAGATGATACTCCGTACCAGGTATTCTATGACAGGGAAGGAGCAGGGGAAAAAAACAACACCCAAAGACCAGGTTAATGTCCTTCACTGCACCGTTTCGAGACGCTTTTCCGGACATAAGTCTCTCGCACCGTATCACCCTCGTACCTCAGGACTACCCATTCGCCAATGCCGTACTTTTCAGGAGCGCGTCGAACGCCGCGCCCGCCGCCGCCGATGATCAGGTTACCCGGACGGTAATTGGCGTCGGCTTGCATGCGGCGGATGGCTGAGATATGGATACGGGCGTCATAAGGAATGTCGCGCACTTCGCCACAAGGTAAAGGCCACCGGATGGGTTTCCAGGAGCCGTCCGGTTGTAGATCCATCCGGCGGAAGGGGAGATACTCCATGATGCGCCAGGAGAGAACCGACGTGAATGATAGCCCCTTGCCGTACTGAAGGCAGTCGTGCAGGACGCCTTTAGTGCTGGAGAGATGGAGAGCATTGAAGAAGTTGAAGCTCGAGGCGGACTGTTGCTTTTCGCCGCCAAATACCGGAATTCGGAACGTGACATGTTCGCCGGTATCATGCGGCTCCTGGCAGTTCTCGGCATGCTCCTCCACCGGGTCGAAGGGATCGAAAATCTCATCTCGGATGGGAGAGTATTCGCCGGAATACTCTTCGCAGCACTCGAACTGCTTGAGCTTCCTCGAATCGAACTGGAGTCCAGCGCGCTGAGCCTCTTGGACCATCCACACGAGAGGAGCGTGGCTGAGAGGCCAACGCTCCCCCGATTCAAGCTTCCAGCCGCCTCCAATGTCGGCGTGGCCGCCTGGAAACCACACCTCCTGAATGTCCTGTGTGGTTTCATCCTCCTCCTCCTCATCAGCGACAGCCACGCTCTCGACCCGCAGAGACAGGCCGGACTTGCCACTCTTCAATGACAGGTCCTCCGTCGATGCAGTCATCATGGGCACTGCCAGGCTGAGCTTGCGCTGGGGAGATGGTGCGCGGTATCGGTCTTCTCGATGTTCGTGGTGTATGCTTCCAGCTTGCGAGCTGCGGGGTGTGCGATAAACCGACTCTATTTCCCCGTGCTCTCGTGGCCGCGGACGCAAAAGCGCTGGTTCCTCTGTCGCGTCATTCTTATCATCATTCAAGACAATGGTTGGAAGGTTATCTGCTCTTTCGGGATCCGATTCGGGATCATTTTCAGATTCTTTTACAGCTTCTTTTTCGGTGGTTTCCTCGGTATCATTTTTGTTATCCTTTGGAGCATCTTGCGATGATTCCCAGTTACAGTGTGGAGCAAGGTCATGGAGCGAAGGTAAAGGCAAAGGGTGCGCCTTCCAGAGAGGGCGACTCTGCTGCTTTTTCGCAACCCACGGCTTTACTTCAGAAATGAGGTCTTGCCGGAATTTGGCGCGACGCTCATCAATGCCCACGGCATGTCGTATTACCTTGGCGGAACTGCGGGCCGTATAGGGAAATTTGCTCCTCTGCATCCACGCCGATTCAAACCGGGGCACGCTGTTGACAGTGTCGAACAAGCCCATGAACTTGATGCGGGTGATGGGCCGACTGAACGTTTCACGAAAGGCCTTCATGTAATTGAAGAGCTTTTTCTTCTCCTCGCGCTCTTCATCCGTCGCGCCGCGTCGCTGCTGCCATTTAGCAAAGGTCTTCCACGCGAATCGGATTAGCTCCTCGTTTCCGGCTTCGAGCAGGCCGATGTAATCCAACATCTCCGCGAGGAAGCGCGCGATATACGCGCCCCGGCTGAAGCCGATGAAGTAGATCTCATCGCCGGGCGAGTAATACCGCATGAGGAATTTATATCCTCCCAAGACGTGCTCAGCAAATGAAGACCCAATGGCCGAGTCCTTTGCCTTCAGGTAGGCGGATCTGATACGGTGGATTCTTCCATGGTTGGAAAGCGAGGTGGTGGTCACGTAAGTTCCAATCCCGGGTTGGTAATAGTGGAACTGGTGACTCTTGCTACGATCCAGCATCTAAAGGCGACCGTGAGCATTCCTGTCGCCGAGCACTTCGGGGGTATTAATTCAACGCTTACTCTGAAAATTTTCAACACATTGCTATCTGATTCATCACCGGAGAATTTGTTCCCGGTGCCATCGAAACACAAGACAAACTGCTTGGGAACAGTGGCAGGGCCAATAGTCACCATTTTGACTGCCTGGCGAACGGCTCCGGCTCGTTCGCTCTTTGGACTGAAATTTCTGCTCTTCTTCTAAAAACCCACCAGACGGCGAAACACGAACAGGCCAGGGCAAAGGCCAGGGGAATGAGGGCGAGAGCGACACCCTTTGTGGAAATAAGACCTATATAGGTGAACCAAATGCAGAGCGTGCGAGAACCAACATGGGTGACGGTAACCCTCGAGCTCTGGCGATATACCTCGTGTTTCTTCCTTGTTATCCACTCAGTATGGACACCCAGCCTGTCTCAGGTGTCGACCTCCAAAAAAAAATGCAAGCCTGGTGACACCAAACAGGCCCCGAGCTAGCATCCAAGTCTTCCATTCGACCAAGCCTTCCCTCGGCTCACGTCAATCCAAACGTCAGTGGAGTCAACAATGTCCCTTCCGTCGGAAGCAATCCAGTCCATAAAAACAGGCGCTTTCAGACTCAATCAGTTGTTGTATTGTGGGACCGTATTATTCAACTTGATTATTGCAAGCCCGGGCCGGGACATAACATGCACATTCGACATTATTGGACCTGCTAAGAGGGGGGAAAGGGGGAGGCCCGAGAGGGGGACCCTCCCTCATTCCGGTTTACATCACAACGGCAGTTGATGACTGTTTGGCTGATCATTCGGGATATTTTTTTCAGTCCCTCCCCCCTTCGTTTTGCAGCCGTACTCCATACAGTGTGAGACTTGCTCCCGCACAGTGTCCCTTTGTGATAGCCCATGGCCGCTGAACCACTCAGACTCAGAGATACTATGGCACTACCAACTGATCAGCGATCTGGCCTAAGATTTGCTGACAGACTGGGTACCTGATCCTGGCTGCCAGCTGCACACATGGAGCCTACCATTAGTACGGAGTAAATGCAACTACCGCCCATCGTATGTAGCATGTAGCTCCCCCCGCTTTGCCGGAGAAGGTACAGAGAGGTAGTCGACCGGCCGATAATTCCGTCACGCCTCGATTGCCACCGTACGGAGTATCTGTAATGTCTCGCTAGTTCGAGTGAACGATCTGCACGGAGTACGGTGTACGGAGTACACTGCAAACTGCACACGCTCCCTTTGCAGCGTGTCGGCAAGGGATGAAATCAGATGGGCTTCCTCCCCTGTCAAGCGGGGACCCTTAATTAGTAGATGCTGTGGACTCTCCAGAGCCACCCTGGTCCAGTGTCCAGTGTCTAGTGTCCACTATCCACCTCTGGCGCTTGGACACGAGAAGACGGCCAAGGACGAGGACGAGGACGAGAACACGATCGACACTGCTAAGATCGCAGGCGGGCGAGACGAGCCAGTAGCGGGCACATGACCCGGGCCTTGGCAGCCTGAGGCCGCAGCAACTAACCGCATCGAGCGTTCGGCAGCGCCCGCGGCAGGATCCATTGGGTTGTTCCTTCCCCCGTAGTGGTTCTTCTCAGCTTGTCGATCCCCAGTCGATCCTGCAGAAACGATCTCAACACGCCCATATGCCGCGCGGCGCTCTGAATCTGAGCTCGGGGATGTCTGAGGGAGCAAGTCCCTGGTTTCCGTAAGTGCGAGATCTACACTCGGTCGGAGCCCGTCTGGCTGCTAACTTGGCAATCGTGGCTAGCTGAGGGTCGTCGACCGGCGTCGCCAATCGCACAGAGGCGCTTTGCAAAGCGTCGGTGCACACTGCACCCTGCAAAGCGCACAGTCACTGCCTGCCTGACCTGGCTCGTGCAAGGATGCAGCAAGCAACACAACACGAAGGACTATAATGCCATCGTCTTGGCGGGAGATCTGTTGTGCAACCCACCTCTCCTTTCTTGTTTACGGAGTACGCAAACTACCTAGTTACGGGAGTATTCCGTCCTCCGTTCTCCCGGACGGGGTACTTTCTTTCTTTCTTTCTTTCTTTCTTTTTTTTCTTTCTTTCTCTTCAGAGGAGAAGAGATTGTTTGGCCTTTCTCCCAACCCCCTGTTACTTAATACCGAGGGCTAACGATCTGATTGACCTATGAAGTACTCGGCCGGAATCTCCTCCGGTTACCAGTGATCGCTTGGGTTCAGTTGGTAGACAAGGGTTTGTTTGGCTTCTCCACAAAAAGTCTCGGCTATTGTGCACACATACTACGGAGTACTCTATACGGAGTAGCTATGGAGTACTCCGTACGGAGAGTTGTTTTTTTTTTTCTTCATTCCTCCTTGTGCAATCACTTCTCCGACGAGGACCTAAATTTCTACAGGGTAATCGTCTCCTGGGCCAATATCTCGTCCTGCAGCGCAGGGCTTATTGTATCCAGATCAAGTACCCGTACTGGTAGACTGACAAGCTGCCTCTGAAACCATGCGTCTCGATGTATCACAAGTCGGTGAGGGATGATCAGACACTGACTACGGGCTGGAATGCAGGCGCCACTCGCTTGAGAACAAACAGTCTGCAGGTCTCTCGATTGGTTGTTCGCTGCATCTCGTACCGCGTCCTCCGTCGCAAGATGTTGTCCCCACTGATAATCTAAAGCTTGTGATACTCCGTACTCTCAGACCCGGCGTTCATTTGCGATCTCCCAAAAGTTCGTTCAGCTGTGGCTGGCTACTCCGTACTATCGATCTCTGGTTACCATCAATCGCCACCCCATTGGCTGCCAGCACGGTATCGACACCACATACACGGCTCACTTGAGTATCCCTATGGTCAGAAGAAGCTCCCCTCTAGCTAGGTAGTAGCTATACGGAGAAACCAGCCTCTAGTGATGATGATGCAAGGTCCACCGTGCTTCTCCCCTGCACACGAGCACCCCGTACCAAACGTAAGCAGGTGCTCCGTCCGTTCTGTACCTCGGAGCAGCTTGGCTCTCCTTTGCTGGGCAACATGGTCACCACTTACAACGATTGGTTTGGCATTGGTCGCTCAATATCAGTCCAGTCGCGAGATCCACCATGTGTTGTACTTGGTTCAATGTGTCCACTGTCCACTGTCCCGTTTAAAGGAGCAAATGTCCGATGCCGCTTCTCGTGCTTCCTCTTCTATTTTCTTTCGGTTTACTCCCTCTGTTTTTCCATACCCATACTTCTTGAAGTTTATTGCTTGGCTTTTGTTTGAGTAGAACCAGTCACAATGTTGCGCAGGTTCTCGACCACCTTTAAGAAGTCAAAAGGTGAGAAGACTGAAAGCGAGCCCAAGGAAAATGGCATTCAGGTCAACGGGAAGCGTTCAAAAACAGCGCCCGTGGCCAAAGCTCCTTCGTCAGAAGCAGATCATAGCGCAAAGCGAGGCGATGTTGTGGCGGTCTTCGACAGATTTGCACAGGTGATCCACGCTTCTCGACGTCCGCTGCCTTCGCAATCCGGGGATGGCACCTATCTCGAGCATGACACGGCCAGTTCCGGCTTGTTCCAAGATCTGCGATCTATGGGTTTTCGAGATTTGGGAACCTTGAAGGATGTCATCAAGAACCAAGCCTCTGGTGCCCTGGTTGACGACAAAACCTATTTGATGGAGCGCATCATTCAGGTACGACTTTGATTCCTCATTGATTGAAGTTCTCACTCTTTCTATAACTGCTTGCTAATGCGCCCTCAAGCTTGTCAGCGGTCTTCCCTCTCACTCAAAGAACCGAGTGGAGCTCACAAACGCATTTCTTACCCAGCTTTGGGACTCTCTGCCTCATCCTCCGTTGTCGTAAGGCATCTATCTCAATCTAAATGGATTTGCGAAATGGGCCTTGCTAATCACGGTCCTTTAGTCTAATGGGAGACGTGTATCAGTATCGATCTGCGGATGGATCCAACAACAACCCCACCCTTCCGTGGCTCGGAGCTGCTAATACGCCATATGCCCGCTCCATCCCTCCACTGACCATCCAGCCTGGTGGGTTGCCGGACCCCGGTCTGGTGTTTGACAGTCTCTTTGCTCGACAGAAGTTCACGCCTCACCCGAACAAGGTTTCCAGTGTGTTCTTCGATTGGGCATCTCTAATCATTCACGGTAAGCCCACCTCTCGCAACCAACAAGCGTTTTCAGCACATAGTCTGACAGCTATAGATATCTTTCAAACGGACCATAGAAATCCTCACATGACCAAGACGTCGTCCTACCTTGACCTCTCTATTTTGTATGGTGATAATCAGGAAGATCAGGACACGATCCGGACGTTCGAAGATGGAAAGATCAAGCCTGATTCTTTTTGCGAGTCGAGACTGCAGGCTTTCCCGGCGGCATGTTGCGTCCTCCTGGTCATGCTGAACAGATTCCACAACTATGTCGTTGAGCAGCTGGCGGCGATCAATGAGAACGGCAGATTCACCAAGCCCCGTGATGGTCTTCCTCCTGACGCGGCTAAGAAGGCGTGGGCAAAATACGACAACGACCTTTTCCAGACTGGAAGATTGTATGTGATAGGCAATTATCTGATTCCTTCATTCCCATGAAAGATTTTATTCTAACCGTCAGCAGAATCACCTGCGGTTTGTACATCAACATCACCCTGTACGACTACTTGCGGACCATTGTCAACCTCAACAGGACCAACTCCACGTGGTGTTTAGTGAGTGATGTATATGAAAGTTTAGTAGCTTCGTATTCTAACCACGGTTATTAGGATCCTCGTGCCCAGATGGAAAAGGATAAAGCCACTCCATCTGGACTCGGCAACCAGTGCTCTATTGAGTTCAACCTGGCTTACCGATGGCACTCTGCAATTAGTGCAAAGGACGAGGAATGGACCGAGAACATCTACAAGGAGCTGTTTGGCAAGCCGGCAAGTGAGGTGTCCATGCGCGAGCTGCTGATGGGACTCGGCAAATATGATCAATATCTGGACAAGGACCCTTCCAAACGAACCTTTGCCCATCTGGAGCGCCAGCCAGACGGTACGTTCCGGGATGAAGACCTCGTCAACATCTTGAAGAACGCCATCGAAGATGTTGCCGGGTCGTTTGGGCCTCGAAATGTCCCCAAGGCTCTCCGTGCCGTGGAGATCCTTGGTATCCAACAGGCTCGTCAGTGGAATACAGGCTCTTTGAACGAGTTTCGCAAGTTCTTCGGCTTGAAACCCCACGAAACATTCGAGGAGATCAACTCCAACCCGGAGATTGCTGATCAGCTTCGCCATCTTTATGAACACCCAGACTATGTGGAGCTGTACCCGGGTATTGTATCGGAGGAAGCGAAAGAACCTATGGTCCCTGGTGTGGGTATCGCTCCTACATATACCGTTTCCCGTGCTGTACTTTCCGATGCAGTGGCGCTCGTGCGTGGTGATAGATTCTATACTGTATGTGCTTTCTGTTTTCACTTGCCCCAAAGCCGTACGTGTGAGAACTAATACCTCCAGATTGATTACAACCCGAGAAATCTTACAAACTGGGGGTACTCGGAAGTGCGTTATGACCTGAACATCAACCAAGGATGTGTCTTCTATAAGCTGGCCTTGAGAGCGTTCCCATCTTTCTTCAAGCCTGATTCGATCTACGCCCATTACCCGATGACTATTCCGAGTGAGAACAGAAACATCATGAAGACACTAGGAAGAGAGCATCACTATTCCTACGAGGCACCGGCATTCATTCCTCCCCGAGTCAACCTGGTTGCGTACCCCAATGTCAGGGCGGTGCTTGAGAACCAGAAAGACTTCCGCGTCGTCTGGGGCGATGCCACTGCTTTCTGCTTTGGCAAAGGTGGCTTCGACTTCATGCTCTCTGGGGACACTACGCTCCATGCGAAGCAACGTCAGACCATGGACAAAGCTCTTTACCAGGATGAGTGGCACAAGAGTGTGAAGGAGTTTTACGAGGATATTACGCTCCAACTTTTGCAAGAACGTTCTTGCAAGATCGCAGGTATCAATCAAGTCGATATCACCCGAGAGTGAGTTCCCTACGTACTACGCCATTTACTCGAAGAAACATAGTGTGCTGACAAAAAGTAGCGTCGGAAATCTGGCCCATGTGCATTTCGCGTCCAATGTCTTTTCCTTGCCCTTGAAGACTAAGGAAAACCCTCGGGGAATTTTCACGGAGCATGAGATGTACATGATCATGGCCGTGATTTTTACCTGCATCTTCTTCGATGTGGACCCTGCGAAATCCTTCCCCCTGCGTCACGCCGCTCACGCGGTATCCCAGCAGCTGGGTGCTATTATCGAGGCCAATGTCAAGTCTATCGGCGGTTCGGGGCTGATCTCCAGCCTGATGGATGGTTTCCGTCGCAACCACAACGCCCTACAGGAGTATGGCGTCCATATGGTTCGCCGGCTGTTTGAGAGCGGGCTCGGTGCCTCGGATATTACTTGGTCCCAGATCATCCCCACCGCGACAGCCATGGTCCCCAATCAGGCCCAAGTGGTAAGTAGAAACTTGACTCTCTTCCATCTGGTTTTCCCATCCGCCCGGCTCACAAGAGGTGTTTTGCTAGTTCACTCAAATTATCGACTACTACCTGTCTGAAGATGGGAAGAAACATCTCCCTGAGATCAACCGCCTTGCCAAGCTGGATACCCGAGACTCTGATGATCTGCTCCTTCGCTACTGCATGGAAGCCATTCGTCTGAATGGAATCTTTGGCTCGTACCGCGAATCTCAGACTCATATGTCTGTGGATGACTATGGCCGTGAGGTGGACATCAAGCCGGGTGACAAGATCTTCGTCAGCTTTGTAAGTTTCCAGGCCTTTTTTTTTCCTTCTAGGTAGCTAATCCAGATCATAGGTTCAAGCAAACAGGGACCCTACCGTCTTCCCTGACCCCGATCAGGTCCGCCTCGACCGGCCCATGGATGCATACATCCACTATGGCCTCGGGCCGCACACTTGCCTTGGCAAGGATGCGAGCAAAGTCGCGTTGACGGCCATGCTACGTGTTGTTGGTAGCCTTGATAATCTGCGCCGTGCCCCTGGTCCACAGGGAGAGCTCAAGAAGATCCCTCGTGCCGGTGGATTCTACACCTACATGCGGGAGGACTATGGCAGCTACTTCCCCTTCCCAATGAGTAAGCGCTGTCCCACCGGATTTCCAACTTGGGTTTACCAAGGTATACTGATAGAACCTTCTCCTCTAGCCTTCAAGGTCCATTTCGACGGCGAGCTTCCTGCACCCAGGAACGCTCCACCACATCTTGAGATAGCTCCTGTCTAGACACTAGACCATGAAGTAGTTAATGGTTATGATATCCGCATGTATTTCTTAAGATTGCTTGTTGTTGAGTTGGACGGGATGAAGGCTGTATTTCTCACAACTGAAGTTGTTTCCATAGTGTAGCAATAAAATTGATTATTCAACAGTGTCGATTGATTTCTGAAAGTCTTCCGTAGTAAAATTCAAGCTTCCTTTTAGTGAGTTATGTCTACGAAAGCGAAAGCGTAAGGAAGCTGGCGATATCTCTACACAGACCGCCTTTTTAAACCGGCAGTGGACACACCGCCCAGCATGTGATAAACATCTACGAGTGTCCCAAAAGCATTATTGCAACCCCGACACATGCTAAGTCGACCCGAGGAGGAAAAGGATTGAAGGAAAATGCCTCCAAAGGCCGCCAAGGGCGAGTACATTGAAACCGTACGTCATGAGATCTGCTTGTTCCTCAGAGAGAGAGAAAGAGAGAGAGAGAGCTCTCCTGTGACTTACCAGCTGACAACCCTGCCCCCGTCAACAGGACACCGGAAACAAAATCTCCCGCCGCTCAAATATCCATGGCACCCAGCACATCATCCTAGGCGGGAAAACGGTCATCCAGACAGACGCCGTGATCCGCGGGGACCTGTACAGACTGCCAGGGGCGCACCCGAGTTCTTCCTCGTCGACGACAGGCGACTCGGGCGAACCGACCCCGGCTCCCGCCCCGGCGGCACCCAACACACCCTCCGTGGCGGTCTCGATCGGACGGTACAGCTACGTGTCCAAACAGGCCGTGCTGCGGCCGCCCTCCCGACTACACCGTGGCGTGCACTCGTTCTATCCGCTTAAGATCGGCGACCACGTCTTTATCGGCGAGCGGGCGGTCGTCGAGGCCGCCTCCGTGGGCAACCATGTGCATATCGGCTGCGACGCGGTTGTCGGGAGCATGGCTATCCTCAAGGACTTTGCGTACGTGCTCGACGGCGCGGTCATACCACCCGGGATGGTCGTGCCGAGTTGGTGTGTTGTTGGGGGTGCGCCGGCCAGAATTGTCGGTGAGGTCGGCGAGGGTTATGGCGTTGAAGGGGCTGAGGGGGGGTTGGCGAGAGAACGCTATCGGCTGGTGGGCAGGTGATGTTGATGGTTTTTTTATTCTTTTTTAACTCTCTTTCTCTTCTTCTGGCTTTGTGTGTGTTTTGTTTTGTTTTGTATTATACCCCTTGCGCATGAACAAAATGACATTGTATATTGAGATTGGTCTAACTACAAAGGCTTGGTCTGTAACTAACTCAGGGTCTATGAACTCGGTAATAAAGATCATCTAACCCATGTTCTCTACCACCACGGCTCGCTTGAGTTTGCTCTCACCCTCTTCATAGGGTCGGTTGGCGTCTTCGCGCGCCATGTCGTTGATCCAGCGACCATTCGGCTCCACTTTCTCGCCCTGGGAAAGCTTCGACGCAAGGTAGAGCCAGTTGAGGGTGTTACCAACAGTGCTGACTTCGTCGCAGACGTTGTCAAGGGCAAAGCGGTGCATCTTACTGTATAGAACATCGTCTGTCCACAGATCCAGTAGATGCTGAGCCACCGCGTCGGTGTCTCCAACGTCCACGAGGAACCCATTCTCCTTATCGGCCACTTGCAAGGGAATGCCGCCGGCCCTGGTTGCGATGACGGGCTTGCCCTTGTGGATCGCTTCGGAGACCTTGACCTCGAACCCTTCGCGAGTGGAGAGCTGCAACACGACCCTGGCCTTGGACAGGAGGGTGTTGAGAAGCTGGTCCGAGGGACGTAGTCTCATGACACAGATCAAATCCCGAATGTGTGGCATTTCTTCCAGGTGGGAAACCACTGCGTCGTAGATCATAGATCCGTCCGGGTCGTCCACGGAACCATGTCCGCAAATCAGCAGCTTAGGCGGTCTTCGGTCAGGGAATTCAGCGGTCAGTCGCTTGTGGAATTTTTCAAAGGACTCCAATACATCGAAGATTCCTTTAGACGGATCAAAGCGGGCCACCTGGATGATATACTGATCTAGAACCAGGGAGAATAGGTTAGCTTGCTGTTCTTGTTGGAAAATGGCTGGTACACACTTACCGTTTGGATATTCGATGGGGGGCATCCCGGCGTTTCGGCATGCGACGTTGAATACGCGGCCGTAATATGCAATATCAGCGTCACGCATGTTCTTGTTTAGTCCATCCAACCAATCCGTGGCCGCAGGCATATAGCCAACCATCTCGGCAGGGACATTGTGAGGGACAAAGTCCTGGACCGGATGGCTGAGGAAAACATCCGATTGTTGGATTCTGGCCCAGAGCCAGTTCCACGCATCCGCTTGTGGTGTGCCGGGGGTGGCGATCAGATCACTGCGCACCTGGATGTGACTGCGGAAGATCACGGGTCTGTCGGGGGCAGCGTTCTTCGCAATCGGGATCAATCCCGGCATCTGGGGATCATCTATGATAATTACATCGGCACCTCCTTCGGCCGGCGACCGCAATGGACCCCCGGGGCAAAGCCAGTATCTCTTTGCGCTATCTTGTATCCAGTCGTCCATCATTTTTTGACCTTCCGGCGTCAGACGATCCTCTGGATCCGCCACACCCTGTAGAATATTGTGATTTGTCTTCGTGATACGGAATACCCCCGGACGTGGTTTTGGCACGTACCTGGGATTTCATCTTTAGCTATTTTCTCAATGTGCCACATAGATAGAAATCAAGAAGGTCATACCATTTGATATCCGTTCCGAGCGATTTGGAGAATCTTACCAGCGCGTGTCTCATCAACGCAACGCCTCCCCCTTGGGGAGTGGCACTGAAAAACGCGATCTTGACCTTTCTCTTCTTGAGATCCGAGGCGTAATGCAGGACAGAGGCCCAAGTATTGTGACCGACCGTTTTCTTAAAATCCTCCAGGACAGTAAGGCGCACGTGGAAGGCAGTATCGACCTCGACCAAACCTTGCAAGCCGACTTGGAGCAATGGGATATTCTCAGGGCCGAAGAGCCTACAAACATCAGAGCCTGCCTTCTATCCAAAGAGACCTTTGGCTAAGCATCATCATACCTGACGCATTTTCGGCCCATGGATTCCGCTTGTTCATCGACCTGTCTGGTTTCCCAGCCTGTAGAGTGGCCGAGATCTTCGCCAGTTTCGTCAGTCTCGACCCGTTTTTCCTCGGGTAAAACCAATGGAACTATATCCATTTCCGCCCAAAGCTGGGAGCAGAGGGTTGGGCATTTTTCGGCGAGATATTTTGTCAACGCTGCTCCAACGAATTTTTCTTGATGGAGTTCGCTGAAGGACTTGAGTTTTTCAATTATGTAGTCGGAAATAGCGGAGTGGTGATGTTCGCAGTCTTTCGCAGTAAATTTGTGTTCAAGGAAGTCGAGAAGGTACGTAGTGTCTCGTATAGCAATGGCAACGGCCTCAGAGCCATCCTCCGTTTTCATGACAGCTATACCGGCGTAGATCGTCTGTTCCAGTCAGCCAAAGCGCGCCGTCTCACCGTGTTCACGCCAAGCATGCATACATCTGGAGGGGGTCCAGCCCAAGAAATCCTGGGGAAGTCGATCGACCGACGCCGATGCTGATGGGACGAAGAAACACGTCCGAACGGGGTTTCGGGGAGCATGATGACTGTAAAGACCACTGTTGATGCTGCTGATCAAGATTTCGATACTTTCTCACAGAAAGCACAGCTCAAACAGCACACCTCGAGCATTCTATACCTCGTCCATCTCGGGCAGATGCGGAAAGCCCCACCTGGCACCACGAGACGTCATCTTCATGATGATGTTTTTGCGCGGTAACTACGGCTGGCAGTCCAGAAGTCCTGATCTATCCCAGGTACTCATCGAATCACCAGCACTTAGGGGGGTTATCTAGGCGGATATTCCATTGTTTTGACGTGGCCATCTGCCCATTTTTGCCGTTATCATACTACTTCTACACATATATAGATGGTTAGCTGTTCAAAGAACTGATTGCAGGAGCTTTCTGATTGGAGTGAACCTCGGTAAAATCGCCGTCATTGAACCACCGACTGTAGCCTGGGCGGCTCTCGACCAGAAGCTGTATCCCGTGTACACTGAGACACTCAGACTCCTGCCAGGTGGCTTTTCAGAGACAGCAGGTTGTCTCACGTCCTCCCGGTTGTCCAGAGCTGGCGCAGGGTCAGAAGCAGATGTCGCTGTCCTGATAATGTTTCTGTCATGACGGGTGAAACACCCGCAGATCTTGGCGGCCGCCCTGGAGGCTTAGTCAGCGACAGCCCCTTTTACACCCCTCGATGCTTGCATCCTGGCAGGAAGCACGACAATCAGCGGATGCCTCGTGTGCCCTGTCGGAACTGTCCCTTTGTCGGTACGTGACTGTTTTCTGGACACTCCTTGCAACTGTGCTTGTTCTTCTCGCCCTTTCCGACCTCGTGCTGGTTTTATTTGGAGCCCAGTCAATACTCGACTCGTACACCGTGAGTCCGTCCTCGTGTGGCTTTTCCAATCCCAGGGAATCGTTTGTTGAGAGCAGGGATTCTATTCGGGCTGTCTTGATCAATGCTTGATTGTTGACACCTGCCATTTCTTCAGGGACTCTGTCGATCATTGAAGCTTCACAGAGCATTTGTATCCTCCTCCTAAACCACCCTACCAGGTTTCGTTGCGACACACTCGGGTGTCGCAGTCAATTTCCGTCATAATGGGTGGCTCCGTGTCTAAGATTATGGGGAAGATCTTTGGGACGAAGGAAATGCGCATCCTGATGCTGGGTTTGGATGCTGCTGGAAAGACAAGTATGGCATTCGCCCTGCTCCACCTCATCGAGATGCTAGCTGCTAACATGTCTTGCTCAACCTAGCGATCCTTTACAAGCTCAAGCTCACCAATCAGGACGTCACCACCATTCCTACAGTTGGCTTCAACGTTGAAAGTGTCACCTATAAAAATGTCAAGTTCAATGTTTGGGATGTGGGTGGCCAGGACAAGATCCGGCCTCTGTGGAGACATTATTATTCTGGTATGACTAACAGAGATGGGGGGGAGAAATGCATCACATGCAAGGCGTGCTGACGTTCGGATTAGGTACGCAAGGTTTGATCTTCGTCGTCGACTCTAGTGATACACAACGCATGGACGAGGCTCGCTCCGAACTACACAAGATCATCAACGACCGCGAAATGAAAGACGCTCTTCTACTGGTGTTTGCCAACAAGCAAGACATTCAGGGTCGTAAGTTTTTTCTATCATGAATTCATTTCAAACCCAGCGATGTTAATTTTTCTTTCTGCAGATCTGAGCCCTGAGGAAGTCACCAATGCTCTTCAACTCACCAAATTGAAGGATAAGCTCTGGTATGTCGCTCCCAGTGTTGCGACGGAGGGAACAGGCATCTTTGAGGGACTGGTAAGCTTTTCATCCTTTGACAACCCGAGCATGGATCATTTTCTGACGGTCAAACCACAGGCATGGCTCTCCAACAATGTCAAGACCCCGCCCCAGAAATAGAATGGCCAACAATTTGCCCTTTTCCCCCGGGTTATTCGCATCTGAGAGGCGCTGCGCAATAGCCTCATGTACAACACTCTGATCGCGACGCTACCTATACCAATCTTCTCGATTTCGCTTCATGTCCGTTTTTGATGACAGAACGACGCAGCATTTGAAACTTCATCTCTCGCTTGCCGCTCTCCATGCATATCAATTTCCTGTGTTTCCCCCCTTGTCTCCAGTTTCCTTTGTTGTCATTGTTTCCTGTTCTGAATAATATTCCGTGATATCCCCTCTGTTCCTTTATGGGTCAGTTATGAGTTTTACCACCTTACACCTTAATAATACAGTTGGCTTTGATTTGCTTCTGTTGCTTTTCCTTTCTGCTCTTGTGTTGTGCTATACATTTTTTTCTATTTTCTAGAGTAAAATAGAGGGCAGTTTGGTCTGTGTTGATTTGCCTAAAGCTCCATCAAAGGCTTATCTCAGCAATAATAAAAGCGCTACATCTCTTGCTCTACTCTACTTAATTTTTCTTAAGCATGCAGTCTTAGAAGCTATCTATCGCGCCTTCGGAGCACACCTCCGGTCCACGGTCAGCTACGTTGGTACCATTACCAGGCTCACGGTTCCAACAAATAGGAACCCAATTATTCTAGAGCCGAACACGGACAGTAAGCTCTCCGGATCAAGATCCGTCACCTCTTGTAGATGATATTAGACACATTTTCCATTAGATTAGACACGCCTTCTGTTCAATATGGTAGGAGAGAGAAAAAGTGTCCGAATCGCCACTTCTGGATCAAATATCCTACGCAGGAAAATGAATGTCACGCTGACGGCAAGGCCGGAAGTTGATCGCCGTCGCTAATATAAATACAGCGTTGAATCTTGCCTTGTGGTTGTCGAAACATCGATATAATTTACATACAATCTCATTGTATACATCTATCAAGACCGACCGATTACAAAAAACGGTACAATGCCTCAGTTCAAGAAGGGAGATTCTGTTCGCTACAAGCCTGTCGGAGGTGAGAACATATATATATATATGGAATTATGGAACTGATAAGTGCAGGACCTGAGTCCAAGACATCCGAGAGCGTCGGTATAGTCCGTGAAGTTAGCACTGTGCCTACCCAGCTTACGGGCCGAAACGTCGAGGCGTCGAGGGAAGAGCCCCGTTACGAGGTATGTTGCTGGTGGAAAATAGAAAAACTGTAATGTCCGCTGATTTTGGCAGATTGAAAACAGCCATACGCACAAGAGGTCTGCCATTAAGGAAGCCAACATCATCGGGCCTGCCGAGTAGAAGATGGGATTTATATGTTTTGACGGTGTGGGGTGCCTTAATGTGTATGATAGAATAGGAAAATAGAAAGGTGTTTTGGGATTTATTCAAAAAGGTGTAGAAAATAAGCTTATGGCTGGCCCGGCCAGACGTCGTTGGCGATCTCGCGGACAAGCTTCAGTTTCTCAACCATCCCGTTCCAGTCAATATCGTTGCCCTCGCGGTGACTGGCGAAGCCGCACTGGGGGCTCACGCCCACCTGGTTCAGGGCCTCCTCGATGGAGATGCCGTTACCTTCGGCAATGAACTGGGCGGCGTCTTGCACGCGCTTCTTCATCTCCTCCTTGTCTTCGAGCTTGGGGAACTTGCTCGTCACCACTCCCAGGATGACGTTCTTGTTCCGGGGCAGCTCCTTGAGGGGCTCGAACCCGCCGGCACGGGGGGTGTCGTACTCGAGGTAGTAGGTGTCGACGTGCAACTCCTGGAAGAGCTGGGTGGCAATCCGGTCATAACCACCCTCGGAGAAGTGGCGGCTGTTGACGAAGTTGCCTCGGCAGAGGTGGATACCGACGTGGAAATCAGCAGGACGCTTGGCGATGCAATCATTATACAGCTTGATGTACTTGTCGAACAACTCGTCGACGGAGTACTTGTTCATTGTGTCCGCCTTCCAGCCTGCAATCATTTTCTCCGAGCAGAAGTCTTTTCACTGAGTGAGCCAGGTGTCCCGGGAGGGAAATAGAAAGAATAAATCAACTCACATGCAAGATTGGGATCATCGAATTGGACGTTCCTGCAGCCGGCATCGTACAGAATCTGCAATTCGTCTTGATAGGCTTTGGCAATGTCACCAAAGTACTCTTCGTCAGAAGCGTACACTTCCTTAGGATAGGCGTTACCCTCCCGGTAACGCAGATGATACCAGTTCGGTGCAGCAAGGGTGATTTTGAGGTTCTTCACCTCCTCTGTAGGTACCAGGCTGGCGAGGTATTTGAATTGGTCGACATACGTGCTGCCGACGTGCTTGATTTTGCCGACACAAATACAGCTCTCGCCAGGCTTGTGGTTCGCCTCGATGAACGCAGCAATGTCCGGAATATAGGGACGGAACTGATCGATGTCGATGTCGTTGATTTCCTCAAACCCGTCCAGGCCAGGGAAAAAGGTGCCCCAGAACACTACGAGATCCGTCGGTCAATACTCGAAGAATTGCAAGATCCGCAATCAATCTTACTGTGTCTGCAGTACTCTCCATCCGAGATGGCCGAGTATCCAAGCTGTTTCTGGGTCTCGACGATCATCTTAATCTCCCTCCCCTCAACCGCCTCCAACTCCGACTTGGTGACCTCTCCCTTCTCAAAGGCAGTCCTTTTAGCGAGAAGGTCATCTGGACGAAGTAGCGAGCCTAGGTGCTCCGCCCGGAACGGAGGCCGTTGATGAAACTGCTGGGCAGACATTTTTTCCTCTTAGTTCACAAAACAGCGCGAGTGGAAAGAAGCGGGATGATTATGGAGGGTCAGGACGGGCGTAGAGGGGTTGAGTTATTTATATAGCAACAGCCGACTGCCCCTCTCTGCACGAAGAAACGAGCTGCACACGGAGGAGGAGAGGAAAGCACGGCTTTTGTATCTCTCCCCATTGCCGAATCTCCCACTCTGACTCTCTGTCCAGCCCCACCATCAGCTCCTACTCCGTGATGAGTCCGTGAGTCGGTAAAGCGTTGTGGAAGAGACAGGCAAGTGGGAGATTATGGGGCTACGGGCGAGTCTTACACCGTGGCCTCTGATTCAATTGTCTATCTGGACATGCGCATGGGGTGAATTCCATCTCTCATATCTCTCATATCTCTCATTATCGCCTCCAACTCGGTATCCTTGATCCTTGAACGTACGTGGAGTGCATCGAGTGGTGGGGTAAAGCTGCAGGCACAGTCAAACCACGTCTGTCTATCTCTGAGATCCTTGACGGAGATTCGATTGAGTTATCGATCTAGAAGTCACTGGTCATCAGCATTGTAGATGTACTCTTAATTGAAAAGACAGAGATTTACCTGTGGTAAGTAGTAGTTAACAGGTACTAATCAACTAGGTAGTTGTTAACTGTTCTTCCATCGGATTTCCTCCCAGGGGGTTTGCCGGCGGGCGCTAGACTTGGATATCATGTGACAGTTGATTTGACCTTGGCTCCTTTTTGAAAGAGGCTGGAGAGAACAGGACACTGCTCAGGATCCTACAAATTACAACGCGTTATATATATTCTCGTCCGTCTGTTTGAGTCTTCAGGGCCTCTTCTACTGCAGTCGGGTTTGCTCGACCGCGATAAGTAAGTGGGGCACTGATTGTTCCAGCATTTGTGAAGACAAGCTCTTGACGTCAACTGGACAGTACCAGTGCATTTAGCCAGCTTATACGGACCGTCTAAATACAGCCATTCGAATCACTTCATATCAGGGACCGTGTCGTCGAGAACCATGATCGTCGCTCCCTCATGAACCTACGTGTGCGCTAGGGAGAACACCGGGCGATGCGGGGTTTGAGTTGCGTCATGACCTGAATCGGTCCTTGTGAGATGATGTTTTCTTCTCTGCCAGCCCCAAAACCTCGACTGGAGTCGCTTCCGAACGAGCTCCTAGATCAGATTCTTTCCTACTTGGTGACGGAACCTCCGTCGTCTACGCGATTTCATGCCACGCCTAGCGCACAGGTCGTTCGGTCCGAGACGAGGGACCTGAAGAACTTCTCGCTAGTTTCCTCTCGATTGCTGGCGACTGTTCGACCGTATCTCTTCACCCACGTCTGTTTTGACCTTGGGTACGAAGCGAGCGTTGCCTCCTTTATCGAACAATGGGGTCTTGCCCGGTATGTTGTGTCCTTGGTGGTGACGGTGAGCGCTCCGTCTACCCGAGGCGATCCCCTCTGGTGGCAGCGGGTGCTTCGGTATCTCGACCCTCAACGCATTCTGGTGGTTGCAGCCCCCCAGCTTCTTGGGAAAATGCTTGGTGCTGAGGTTCTGGAGACACATGGCTGGGCGTTTGACATCCCTCTGCAGGCGTTGCAGCTGGAGAAAAACCACCGTGTCAGCGATCCGAGCCTTCTTGCACCCCTTGATCCTCAGAGGAACCTCCTTTCAGCAAGACCATGGGAATCCCTGTCCTTCAACGAGTCTTCGTCTCTCAAGGCGTATAACCATTACGAATACTTTCTTCTCAACGTGCCCTCTGCGTTTGACCGATGGGCTGCTCTCAGTAGCAGTACCTCTCTGGCCGCCCCACAGGACTTGGCGGCGGCACTCTCACTGCATCGGCTGACCAGATTCTCCTATACGGCCGTGTTCCCCTTCTACAACCATGTCGGCTTGGTCCTCGAGGTGGTAAAGATGATGAGCAGTTTACGGTCTTTTGCCGTCCAACTAGCACCGGGGCGAAACGACAACATTATTGAAATCGAACAGCGAGGCTCCTTGGACCCCAGTGATCCGTGGATGGAGCTATATACCGGATACTCTCTTATTGCGCATGTGGTGCGAGAACGTTGGCACAAGGGTCACTTGAGGAGATTCGAATCCCGCGATTTTGCCATCGAGGCTCTCCAGGAGGAGCTGTCTGTCATCCTAGTGGACGTTTTAGAGCAAGACGGATGGGTTCATGACGGCAATGGAGCATGGAGCAAACAGTCTCGCATTATATAGAAAAAAATACTCCATTTCCCAATCAATTTGCAATCCAAATCAATGATATAGAATAAATTAACTCATCTCAAACTTTGAAATTTGATTTCGACTTAGATCAAGACTTATCAATCTTAGTGGACTCAGCGCTTGGCACCGCAACGTCCTGCCATCTACCAACCATCAACCCCGACCATGAGATAGGACTGATACTGCTGCACAGATGCTAGATTAGTATGCTGTTAGGCTGTATCATACTAATGAAAGCGATGAGATGCACTAATATCTCATTTAAAACAAGCGTCAGTCATACCCAGGGATGATCCCAGTGTCCGTAAATCATCTCTAACCCGTCTATCTCATCTATACAGAACGAAGGCCCGTGAATAGATACTAAGTACTACTTCACTTACTATCTAAGAGGTTACCATGTCATCGACCGATGTATACTCTGCCGAACCCGCTTTGCCTCGCCTTGCTACTTCGTTTCTTTCCCGACCCGAGACGGAAGACTCGAGCTTAAAGTCTCGGGATGACCCCTCTCAGAGATGGAATCTGCGACGGGACATGGAAGCCGGTATTCAGCGTGGTGCAAACGGTGTTTTCAAATGCGGAACCGTCATTGGATTCTCGAAGCTGAGGGGGAAGATAAGAGACGATGACTTTGAATGCGTTGGAGAGGTAGTTTCTTTTCCATTACCTAGGTAACCACTGACCAGTGCAGGCTGATCAAACAATACCATATTGCTAGGTCCCACGACTTCTTCTTAGTTCCCTGCTCTGGCAAGAGACAGAGAGTTCTGTTTTCATCATCCATCCGTCCAATTACGCTGCCTTTGCGCCCGAGACGCTCCTCGCTTCTCTCCTGACGAGCCCTCATCACCAGCCAGCTCCGACTCGCGAGCACGCCATCCAACGACTCAACAACGTCCAACTGCTGTCCATCTTCGATCTCCCCAGCGCTGTACGCGCCATCAGCAGCGTGTCCGAGAGACTCAATGAGCTCCAAAAGTCGAGGCGTACCTCGCCGGTTCTCTTCATCATTGCGGGACTCGACACCTTCACCGAAGCGACCATCCGAGCCTCGAATCCAGTCAAGGGGGCAGCTCTGCTCCAATCCACGCTGAGGACATTGACTAGATTGTCGCGCGTGTACGCTGCTTTTCTCTCCGTGATGCTTGTCAACACCAGCGGTGTGGGGAAATCCCCGGGGACAGGAACTCCATCAGATCCAAGTTCAGACCACATCCATTCAGTCTTTCATACCGTGGGCAGCCTTTTCCCAACCCTGTTGATGAGAACCCTCGACCAAGGCATCGATACACACCTCTTGCTTTCGACGGTCAAAGGCGCGCAGGTCGTCGAGGTGGTCAAGGACCGTGTAGGTGATGGGGTGGGTAAATGGTGTATTTGGAAGGCATAGATGGGCATAGCCATACAGGAATATAAGATGGTACATTCGACTATTCTATTTAATAGCCATCATAATACTACACTTCCATACATAGCAGGTATCATACCATCACCATCAATCCTGGAATAGGTAAAGAACGGGTACATCAACAATAATGTCTTATGCACCGGCCCCGTCCGTTTCCGCCCAGATGCGCAGCACCGCACGCTCGACGACCGCCTGTGCGTCCTGTTCGCAGCGCGTGAGGTCTTGCCGGACCGTGCTCTCCTCGAACTGGATATCCTGTTGCTGGACCTTGACCCACTGTTTGTGCCGCTCGCAGCGTTTCTTCAAGCAGACGCCGCGCGCAAAGCTGGCCAGGTCATCTTTGTTTGTATCAGCCATGGCGACGTCACCGTCCGCGTCCGTTGACGAGTCTGGGTAACTCGCCGCCAGGGATTCCGGGGTGCCTTCCTTGAGGGCTTTATTCCCGGGTTCGGAGAGTCTCCATTCGTCGAATTCATCGTCCGACCAGGCGAGTCGGGCATCGAAGCCGCAGATGTCCTTCCATCCGCCCTTGGGGTCTGTCTGCTTCAGCCGCTCCAGGATGCTCTTGGTCCGGTGCCGCACGAGGACGATAAACGCGCTGCGGGCACTCAGCATCTGCTTGCGGTGCAGTAGCTCGTCGCGCCATTTGCGTAGCTTGTCGATCTTCGCGGCCTCGTCTGCAGAATAGGTCAGACCCTTTGCATCGATGTCTAGACCGAGCTTCTTGCTGCCATTGGCCGACGCTTTGGTTTCGCCCTCGGGCTTATTCTCGTTGTTGGTTTCGCTGCCTATCTCCTTTTCTTCCCCTTCTTCTGGGGGTGGTGAGACGAGACGCTCACCCAGTTTGTGGAACTCTTCCACGGATGAAACGCCGGAAACAACGGCCTTGAGCTCGGCGGCCGTCAACGTGCCACCCCGGCTACCAAGCTCATCCAGAGCCCTACCTTCAAGATCCATCTCGCCTTCCTCGTCGTCGTTCGAAATCTCTTCCGCATGAGAATCGTCGGGGTCTCCATCCGTGCTGTGCCCGTCTCTCCCACGACCTTTGAACCGACTTGAAACAATCGACGCAGGCCGTCCCTTGCGCAGTGTAGGGCCCAGATTAAGGTGCTGGGTCTTTCGCAGCATAAACTCCCGACCATGGTCATCGGAGCAGTATTTGCTGGGGGGACTTGCCCTGACCCGGGCCGGTTTCCGACACTCAGGTAACCGGCACATGGGTTTCCAGGAAGTGCGCCCCTTGCCTTTTTCATGGCAATTGGGACCTGAAATAAAATTGTTCAGCTCATGTACACAGGGGGTGTGCGAGTTTCCGAGGGCAGACTTACAGATGTACTTCTCAATGAGATCTGCGTCCCTCGGGTGGATGTTCACGCACTTTCCATGGAACCAGTCCTCACACTCGCCGTCGCAGGCAATCATCCATGTGTGGTTATCCGGCTTGCGGCATATACAAAACACCACATCAGGGTCAGAGATATCGTCCTCCTCGTCATCCTCCGCGCCCTCTTCATCGTCTTCGTTTTCCGCCGCCGGATCTTTTGTTCCTCTCCTTTTACCTTCGGGGGCTGGAGACCCTGCGATAGAGGCAGAGCCTTGTTTCTTGGAACGAGGACCCTTGCCATTTCGAGCGAGCACAGGAGTATTAGACCGCCGACCATCAACGCCAGCCTGATCAGCTTCATTAAGCTTTCGCTTCTTGGTGGCTGGTGGCTTTTTGGTAGCTGTGCCTTTCTTGGTCGCGCCCGGACCCGGTTTTTTCGGGGCTTTCGTGGCTGCCACGGGTGACGAGCGGTCTGAAGAGGATGCCCGTGAGACCGACTCACGCTTGAGATTAGCTATCTTCTTTGTCGTAGGATGATCGTCAGGGGAGTCGATTCCGTCAAGCTGGGCCATTCCCGGTTTCAGGCCATTTACGGCGAAACTGTCGCCAGAAGCCTCAGTCTTGACGTGGATAGGCTCATCGGCGGAAGATTCGAATATTTTGTTGTAGATATCGGCCCAACCGAGAGCATCTTCCTGTGATCCTAAGAATGATGCCTCTGGGGTCCTGAACTGTTCGTGGACCATGCTGGCCCTCCGATAGCCAAAGAACCCGCTCTGTCGCCAACCTGTAACCCCAACAATCCGGTCACCTTTCACAATGATGTTAGAGCGTGTGAGATTGTTGTGGGCAAAACAGAGTTGTTCATCGCCAGCTTTGTCTCGAAACAGAATTTCCCTCTCGGCTTCCGTTACGTCGGGCTGTGGTTGTGAATTTAGCTCGCGACAGACATACGAGGCCCCGTCATACGAGCACTCGATGGCGCCCAAGAGTCGCAGGAGTCGATGAGTCTGTCGTTTGAAAGAATGGATTTGTTCGGGAGCAAGATACCTCCAGGCCACCTCGAGCGACACCCCGGGGATACGAGACTCCACCGTGACGTTCTTCCCATCGATAGTCCCATAAAAGTAGATGACCGGAACTGCGATCCCCATCTCTTTAAGTGTGTCCTCTGCATTCCTCGCCGACCACTCTTCGTTCGCGTTGACACAGGAGAACCGTTCAACTGCCGCATCGTCGGCCGTCTCCTGGTCCACTCTGATAATCAAACTACCTGCCGCATATGCAGCTCTGGATCCCGGTTCCCCTAAAGAGTTTTCCGCGGTGCAATATGTCTTGACCACATCCTCCCAGTAGGACAACGACTCGTCTTCCGGCTCATGCCATTGGTCGTAGCGGGGTTTGAAGTCGCCATCGCTGGGCGCGTATCGACCATAGTGCACGCTGCGAGAGAGATAGGGATCGTCTTTTGGAATCGAGTCGGGTGGCGCTTCGTAGGGATAGACTGCTGCACCGTTCGTCTGGCTCACGCCAGGCGAGTCGACAGCGTCAGCCATCAATATCGCAGCGGAGCAGTGTCCAGCCTTCGATTTGAGATATCTCCAAAGACAGGAAAAAAGGAAAGACTGGTTTGTAAGTAATCACTCAAGACTGTTGATTAACTGTCAAGTGAATGCGGCCTTCCCAAAACCCATGGAGGACATCACGTGAGAATAAAATATCTCTCAGACGTAGCAGCCATTAAATCCGCCGGCATTCACACACAGCTAAAGATATATCAGCCCGCCAGTAACCCCTCTGCTGTGGTTCACCATGCGACAGGTTTCTTTCTGCTCGGATAAGAGGCTGCTGAACGGACCGCGAGGCTCGTGATCAACAGACGTTGATTTTAGTAAACACGAGGACGAGATAAGGCAAATATTCATAGAATCCAATCTTCCATACACACACCACCACGAAGAAAGTCGCGATTCTCCAGTTCCTCAGCAACGCGTCGTGTCCAACGCAGCGCAAGTTTCAATTAATTAAACCGGAGAGAAAAGTAGGCGGTGGAGAAAAGCCGGGCGTAACAGCAGGCGGTGTGCGTTTGCTTTGTATGCAGTAGAAATGCTGGCGTCATCTTCTTCCCTATTCCACCTCTCTTTCTTTCACACTCTTTTAGCAGCTCCAGGTTATTATTCAATAGTAATCTCCCCACTAGACTTCATCATGGTTTATCTTCGTTTTGATTCACTCTGTCTCTTGAGCTCTCCTCCACCTTAGCTTTGGTTGGTACTCTTGACTAACCCCCTCTTCCCCAAGCATCACCACCTGATTATTGCTTCTCGAATGATAATCTGACTGAGCTATATGGTCCTAGAAGTCTGCCTCCAGCTTGCATGTAGGCGAAAACTAGGCCGGTGTTGGTTGTGTGTTGCTCAGCCATCATCAAATTCGCTTTCCTCGACCAACCCTACAGTCCCTACATTTGCCATAATGTCGTCGACACCGACTACCCCAATAAGATCTCTCTTCAGTACACCCGAATCGGGAACTGCAGAACGAAAGATCATGAGCATGTTGGAGCCGCACCATAATTATGTAGATGACGTCACTGCTTGGAAGTGCCAGGTCAAGCAGTTACTCCTCGAAGCTGGTGATCTTACCCCCAGCAAGCTTGCCAGATTAGGGGAGGAAAGACTTGCAGCCTCTAGCCTTACCGACTTGGACTTCATTGTCTCTCTCTTGGACATTGATTATTTTGCAATCGAAGACCGTCGTTGGAAGCTACCAATTGGACGGGGGGTCCGTCTCTCTGAAGCCACTGGTACGTTGGTATTGCTCTAATGTGTAGACACAAAACTAATGCAAGTTTAGAATCCTTGCTGAGAAGAATGCTCAATGCCATCTTCTGGAAACGAGAGTCCTGTGAAGCTCTGTCGAGAACATTTTTTGACCTTGTGATTTTCGACCTATTGGAGGCCAACAATGCTAGCTCTGCGAGGCCCATCCATGTCTTTGCGGGGATGTGGATGGTATTATTAAGGCATCGATTTCACTCTCCTCAACACAACCCCTAAGCATCTCTTCCCTACAACCAGTCAAAAATGGCAGGAGACTGTCGAGTCGCAGATACTTACAATTCCCACCTGACCATTTTCGCATGCTAGAATGGGAGAATCCCCAGTTTCTGGCTATGGTGACCTCAGTGGTGCTGAAGACTTTGAGATTCTTCGTCCTACATCTGGAACAGTCGATGTCAGAATATGCCACTTTATGAACTTTGCTTTGTGCCTAACATTTTCACACAGTTGGTCCCGATCCGACTAGAAATCCTTCAGCCCCATGTCGGTACAAAGGATCTAGAGCAGGTTGAACCATAGAGTACTGACAGATATGGTATTTCTATCGCTGCATATCGCTCTTAGTTGCCGACAGATGCTGATGAATTGAGCAAGAAACGAGTGAAGAAAATGTCGACCTAGTAGTGCCTATAGTAGTTGATGGTTGATAGAGCTTACAGGGGTTATACCTACCTAGTATTCTACCTATTCTGTCTTCTATCAAACTTTGTAAATCAGTATTCCATGTCACTTTTCTCTCTCTAATTCTTTCCCCTTATTTTCTACTGATTTACCCACCGGTTCGTTGCTGACCCATATTACTTGGTACTACACACCTTAATTGTATAGCCGAATCTTCCGCCCGAAAGCTTCGGCTTCCTCCCGATCGATCTTCGTCTCGGAAAAAAGTCATCTTGCAGGGGGGGCCTTGCAGACCAGGGCGCAGATTGTCTAATGAGATAGATCTACATGGTCTGTGAACCTTGAAGTTGCACAGGCCAGTCAACAGCATACGAGACACAATTAAACGTGCTCCAACACGCCCGCCAAACCACCCCCTCATCCCGCCATCCCGGTTCCATCGCAACGTAACCCTGCTGCCTCCAGTTATTCCTGACACCGAACAATCGCACTCTAAATGGTTTTCTTCATATCCAACGTGGAGAAGCTGCGTCACGGCCAAGAATCAAGCGGCACTCCCCTCGGTCGGGCGCAGAGGCAATGCCGAACACGCCGAAGAAGGATCCCCCGCCAGAGCCTGCTGCCGAACGGCGATGGCAGTTCATCGACTCGTCAAAGAACCCACGCAGCAACCTGACGCAGGTGAAGCGACATGTGATGCAAGAGTATATCCGTCAAAAACGAAGTGACAGTCAGAGTGACGCTGCCGACGACAATCCACCGCCTCTGCCAGTGAGGAAGCCCCGGCGGCCGAGACGGAGGAAGAATGGGGAGAATAATACTTCGCTGGAAGGAGGGAGGGAGGGAAATACATTGTCGATGATCAAGGAGACAGAAGGCGCTATGGTGCTGTTGGTTGAAACTTGGAATCAACAGCTCTCGCCACAGACGACCCTGAGCGCTGCACGGACGGATCCGTTCAACACGTTACCACTGGAGCTCGATGCGCGCAGCCAGGAGCTCTTCGACTTCTACGTCAATGTCATGCCGGCCTGTTCGTACGGGGCCCATTTCCGCTCCCCGCGAGCGCACAATTGGTACACGGCCGTGTTTGTGCCGGAGGGGATGAAGGGCCCTGTGGCCTTTCAGAATACGGTGTTGGTGCACGCTGCGAACACGCAGGCCTGGGTGCGCAACGAGACAGAAACGACCGACACCCTGATACACCGCGGGCGGGCGATCCAAATGCTGCGCGAGCACCGGGCGTGCCATCCGCACGATACGTCGGACGAGGCCATCGTGGCGTCGTTGAGTGCCGCCGCGCTGGAGGACTTTGACCCACGGCCAGGCCACAAGGAGATCAGCTGGGTGCATATGCGAGCTGCCAGGGAGATGATCCGCAACCGGGGCGGGCCTGCAGCATTTGCCAACACCCGGCTAGGGATGCTGATCAACTGGCAGGATTATATCCTGTCGGGATACGAGACATACGGGCCCAGTTTCCACTATGAACATGTACCTCTTGCCTCCGCCAGCCCGTCAACGTCAACGCAGACCTCTGCCTTACATTCGATCCCCTCTCCGCCATCTTCAATGTCACCTTCCACACCCGAATCCCCGTCAGCAAAGGTGCAACTGATCTATACCTCTCCCTACGACGAGATCTATTCTCAATGCGAAGAGTTCCTGTACTTCCTGCAACGCGTGGAGCAGCTCGCACGACACCAAACCCGCCATCTGGAGACAGCGACGGGTCCCCTGCGCCGCACGGCATTTCAGACGACCGCCCCGCTGTACGAGATCCTTGCCTCCCCGCCGGGCCAACGGTTTACGTCGTCGGGAGACCGCAAGCAGTTCATCGCGCGGCTCACGGCGCTGATCATCCTCAACGCCGCGCTGTGGGACTATCGGGCCTCGGTGCGACGGACGGAGTATTTTCTCTCCACATTAGAGCAGGCCGTGCTCCACAGCGAGGTCAATGAGAGTAGCTCTGTGGAAGCCCTTCTTCAGATCCTCCTTGAATGTCAGGACGGCAAATACGATCATCACCATTGGAGGCACGAAAGTGATGGTGATGGTGATGATGATGCTGATGATGATGATGTCGATTTCAGCCAGTACCCGCCCGGCAGTCGGACGGCGTACGGTCGACCATGGTTCGCGGGACGGATGCTGAAAATCGCCAAACGGTTGAAGCTACCGTTGTGGTTGCGGGTGGCGGAGTCGCTGTTTGACTGGTTGACTTTGAGCGTGGACGGGGAATCCATCGATGCAGATGAGTTACGGGGGGAGATTCTTTCTGCACCGATGACATGTTACAATGTATTATAATCATTGATCTAAACTATTCTTTTTAGAATACAGTTATTGTACATGGTCATGGTCATCCACATCCAAGGACAACCCCCTCGTCTCGGGAAAAAACAACCACACCAGCGCTGCGGCGAGGAAATTGAAAGCAACAAAGCAATAGAGGTATTTGTAACCCAAATGCGACAGGGCGAGAGGGGAGCACTGCGTGAAGAGCAGATTGAAGGACCAGTTGGTCGCCGTGGCGAGAGCGGCGCCGCGTGCGCGGAGGGCCGTCGGAAATATCTCAGCGGGATAGATCCACGAAATAAGGCCGAGGGAGGTATAGCAGATTGTGAAGACGAAGAACATACTAATCGCTGCTCGGAGGGCGTTTGCATTGTTCCCCCGCTCAGAAGAAGCGAGGTAGTACCCCGCCAGACTTGCCTCGACGGCCATCGTACAAGCCATGCCCAGCAGGGAAGGGATGAGCAAAGTGCGTCTACCGAAGCGGTCGACTATGAACAGCATAAAGAGCGTGTTCCACACGACGGCCAGGAGGCCCCAGACACCGATGATCAACAGGGAGGTCGAGGTCTGCAGGCCGAGAGTGGTGTAGAGTCTTGGCCCGTAGTTCTGGATCATGTTCGTGCCCGAGGTTTGCGTGAAGAGCTGGATGCCGCACGCGAGGAGGATACGACGGTACTCCTTTGAACCAAAGTGTCCCAAGGTCGAGCGGGAGGAGAGTTGTTTCTGCGATGCGCTCTGGAACTCCTTCTCGGCCAGCTCGGCGCCGTGCAGGCGGACCAGGATCTCACGCCCGGCTTCTTCTCTGCCGTCGTGTTCGATCAACCATCGTGGTGATTCGGGGAGCTGCCAGATCCCTACGCAGAGGACCACCGCGGGGATCACCTGTAGGCCAAGAGGGAAGCGCCAGGTGAAGTCGCCTGTGCGTAGGGAGCAGGCGTAGCCAACCCATTGCTATACATAAGTATAAGTCTGTAGATCTGTATATATATATATATATATATATATATTTACTTACTGCTACCATGATTCCCACGCCAATCATCCATTGCTGGGTAGAGATAAGCATGCCTCGAACTGCAGGAAGAGAGATTTCACTCTACCAATTAGCAAAAAACTCGTTAAAATGAAGAGAAGGGGAAAAACTACACAATAGACAGGAATAGCGGTCGACATCCCCCCCACCGCCAGACCGGCAAGCAAGCGACCAACAATCAGCATGGCGATACTCGCCGCCCCCGCCTGCAACGCCGCGCCGAGAGTCGCCAGCAAGGCCCCCAGACAGATAACGGCGCGCCGACCGTACGCATCGCACAACACCGAGACACTCAGGGAACCCAGGATGGCGCCCCCGGTGTACGAGGAGACAATGGCCCCCGCGACGGCATCGGAGAGGGTCGGCGAGCCGAAGCGGGCGAGAAAGGCTTTCTGGGCGATGGTCGAGGCGATGACGCCCGAGTCGTAGCCGAAGAGGAACGAGCCCAGGGCGGCAAAGGAGCAGATGGCGTGGAGTTTCAGCTTCATCTCACGGATGGTATGCGTGTCATCGGGGTGGTTAGAGAGGTTGAGGATAATCCGCTTGGGTGATAACCAGTTAGGAATAGCTCCATTGCATTTACTTTACTACCACATAAAACTATTACGGAGTACCTATGTAGTAGTATTACTATTTAGTATAAGAGTACTAATTCAATTTATATTAATTATAATCTCTATATAAGTGATTTAATTTTAGTGTCTAGCTTAAGATGGGAGAAGTCTACATAGGTTGTAGTTAGTCCTGTACTGCTATAAGAAATGAGAACTACTAAAATACTTCCTAACCAGTCCTTGTAGATTCCCTGACTAGTTAGTTCTATCAAATACTCCGTAGTATTAAACAGTCACTCCATAGCATGTCTGTACAACGTCAACACGAGGAGTCCACGCGTATTCAGCTGCTGCAGGCAAAATTAAAACAAGTGACTCAACCTCACATAGTATAATAATACCTATACCAAGCATAGTATGATAATACCTATACTCCGTACCAAGCATACTGCATACTCCATAGCGCTGAGACGCGAATTACGGAGCCCTACCTTAGTCAAGTACCTACTATGCACCTAGTCCCTATTCCACCATAGTAACCACCAATCTAGGTAACTTTAGGGAGGTAGCAAAGGTTCCAGCCTGGAGGTAGCCTAATATTAGCTACAGGGTTATCTGCCTGACTAGTTAGTAGTAGTTAACTATATACTATGAACTCCATAGATAACCATTATTCATATTATTCATACTATTCATATTATTCACATTATTTACATTATTCATCCTTGATAACTATACAATTTTAATTAATAATAGTAGTGATGTCGTATGTAGTATGGATAATCTCATACCCTGGTTTGGCTGCATGAAAAACTCTTCGGCCTCTCCTCAACTCCGTCGCCGATCTCATCTCCGACTCGAGTCACCATCAATCAGATTAATTATTCCTTTCCCAACTGCCTCCTGCTGCCACTTGCGCAGTTCATAGCTAACTCCAAAAAACCTGTTGTATTGCTCTATTATCTCCACTCTTCCTTCTCTCTCTCTCTCTCTCTCTCTCTCTCTCTCTCTCTCTCTCTCTCTCTCTCTCCTCTTCTTCTCTCCACTGCTTCTTGTCTCCACACCGCTTTCAGCCGATTATATCATCGCCTCCTCGTCCTCGCTTCGCTTCCCTTCCACTCTACGTTTCTACGTCGGAACCTCGTCTCTCTGACTCATTCCTCGTGTTTCTACCGGTCGATGTGATTGTCTCGAACGGCGTGTGAGTCTCGATCTCCCCCTTGGCCGTCGTCGCACTTCTTTCCGACTCGAATTTGCCTGCCATTGCCCACTTATCGGACGTCCGAAACCCTCCCCCCCGAGCACTTAACGCCGAGATCCTGGCTGCGCCCGCCGAAGAATTCTACGCAGACGGAGCATTGACGAAGACAAGACGCTTCTCGAGCGATCGCTGCTTTATCAATCTATGAGCGTCGATCGCGTCATCTCTTGGTGAAGGATTAGATCGGAGCGCCACCGCGTTATCTCTACGCCCCTTACATGCCGCTCCCACGAGGAGATCCGCACCACACCGACGACGACGGCGGCGACGACGACGAAGGCGACAACGAGTGAGCGAGATACTTCTTTTTTTTTTTTTTTGAAGAGAAAAAATAAATAAAAAAAATTGGGTGTTCCTAAGAATACTCTCCTTCATGGCTGCCCTGTCCAGTCCCGCTCTGTCGACCTCGGTCGAGAACGAGGATGACTCTACCACCACGGGCGATCCCCAGTATTATCTCCCCGCTGACGACCCGGACCTCTCGCTCATACGCGCCAATCCCCTCCTTAAAGATGGTGTCTCCAAGGAGGCGCATCCCATGCAGAAGCGACGCAGGGTCACCAGGGCCTGTGATGAGTGTCGTCGCAAGAAGATCAAGTGTGATGGCAAGCAGCCGTGTGCTCATTGTACAGTCTATAGCTATGGTGAGTATACTACAAAAAAAAAAAAAAAGCAAAAAAAAAGTATCGAAATGAAGATGAATTACAGGACTAATGTGAGCTTAAGAATGCACTTACGATCAGCCCTCCAACCGTCGTCGCAACCCGGCGCCACAGTATGTCGAAGCCCTGGAGGCCCGTCTGCAAAAGGCAGAGGCCCTGCTCCGCGTTCTCGCCCCGGACGTGAATCTCGACGACCCCCATTTCGATGTCCAAGCGACCGAGCAGATGCTGGTTAGAGATCACGTCAACAAGCAGACAAACCCTCCGCCATCGCTTCATCAGCAGCAGCCACCGCAATCGCTGCAACAACAACTACCACTGCGCCCACTGCAACAGCCACAACAGCAGCAGCAACAACCACCACCACCACAACAACAAAAATCGCAAGAGAATGGCGAATCCTCGTCGCTCGAGGCCGGGGAGGAGTCGCTGCTGGAGACCATGGTCGAAAATTCCGGCTCCCTCGACCTTGACGATCAGGGCCATTGGGATTACCACGGTCATTCGTCGGGCATCATTTTCGTGCGCCGCTTGCGCAAGCAGCTCGGCGCTGCTGATAATAACGAGATCATTCCGCGTCTACGGCCGGTTGGTCAGGTCCTGGAGAGTCCCAAGTCCATCTCCGAGTCGCCCCAGGATTCTAACGGGCCGCCCACCCACGATCTCCCCTCGCGCGCTGTCGCGCGCAAACTCTGCCACAGCGCCCTCGACGACGGCGGCGCTCTCATGCGCCTCGTCCACGAACCCTCCTTCTATACCATGCTGGATCGTATATATGACACCCCTCCTGATCAGTTCACCAACGAAGAGAACTCCTTTCTCCCTTTGCTCTACATCGTCATCGCCGTCGGCTGTCTGTTTGCCGATAATGGAACCGGCGTGCTCGAGGTGTCCGGCTACCAGAGTGCCATTGGACAAGGGTATCTATCCCCCTTTTTCTACTTGTACATAATCAATTTTCTTTTACTGACCTTTTCTGGAGCTTTCAATACTACAAAGCAGGACGGCAATTGTTGGACATCACCGACGGTCGCGACCTGACCTCCTTGCAGGCCATCTGTTTCATGATCCTCTTCCTGCAGTCTTCGGCCAAACCCAGTACTTGCTACTCCTATATCGGCATCGCGCTGCGCTCAGCACTGCGATTGGGCCTGCACCGCTCGGTGGCGGCCGATTTCAACCCGATCGAACGCGAGCTGCGCAAGCGCATCTTCTGGACGATCCGGCGCATGGATATCCACATCAGTACCCTGTTGGGCCTACCACAGATGCTGAGCGACGATGACATCGACCAGGGGTACCCACTCGACATTGACGACGAGTACATCACCGCCGACAGCATCCTGCCCATGCCCGCCGACCGCACGCCGCTGATGGCCGGCGCCAATGCCCACACCAGCCTCACCAACATCATCCTCAAGGTCGTCAAGTACATCTACCCAGTCAAGCACGTCAAGTACCGCTCCGAGTCCGACCAGCGCTACATGGTCAGCCACTCCAAGATCCGCGAGATCGAGCGCGATTTGCAGGCCTGGATGGAACAGCTGCCACCGGCGCTGCGCCCAGGGACAGAAGTGTCCCCGCAGCTGGAACGGTAGGAACCTTGAATATTTTTTTTTTTTTTATTTTAAATCATTTTGAACATCCGGCTAACAAGTCTAGGATCCGGCAATTGCTGCGCATTGGCTATGCCTACGTGCAGATGGTCATGTACCGGCCCTTCCTGCACTACGTGTCGAGCGGCTCCCAGGCTCGCGGAGTCGACAAACGCTCCTACGCCTGCGCCGCAGCCTGTGTCAGCGTGTCGCGCAACATCGTCCACATCACCACGGGGATGCATAAGCGTGGCCTGCTCAACGGTTCCTTCTGGTTTACCATGTACACCACCTACTTTGCCATCATGTCGTTGGTCTTCTTCGTGCTCGAGAACCCGGACTCGCCCACTGCCAAGGACGGCGTGCTCAAGGACGCCATGGAGGGCAAGACCACGCTGGCCGGTCTGGCGAAGAAGAGCATGGCGGCTGATCGTTGCTCGCAGAGTTTAGCCGTACGTCTTCTCCCAAACTTCTCTCCTGCAATACTTATGCTTGTCCCCGACTCTAATCAATCGATAGGTTCTATTCAAAAGCCTCCCTGAAATGTTGAAGAACCGACAGAGTTCTTCCGCCCCCATTAACCTGAAACGTTCAGCGCCGTCGAACCCGGCGCCGAACCTGGCGCCCAACCGGACGGACCAGCTACGAAAGTCTCAGATTGCCCCGGACATTGCTCCCCCGCAACGAGCCAGCACGTTCCCTGTACACTTACTATCGCGACCGACGATGGTTGAGACTGCCAACACCCCGCAAACCATGGACGACAACCATGCGGCCTTCAATCGAAAGAAGAACACAAACACGCACAGCAAAACGCCCTCGGGTCTGTGGCTTGTGCAGACGCCCGAACCCGCATCCTCCGGCACGCCGTCCGAGGTGTTTCCTCTCTCAGAGACCACCCATCATACAGCCTCCTCTTCCTCTGCCTCCTCCTCCTCCTCCTCCTCCATGACCTCTCCGCTGACCTCGACGGTGCCGCCTGCCGTCCCACCAACAACAACCTCGCTAGGCATGAGCTACGCGCAGCCGTTGGGGACTTCGGGCGTTCCGGACCTGATGCCCATCATGTTCCCGTCGGACGATCCCTTTGCGTACCCGGCGCAGCCCATGTCGACGCTAGAAGACGACCACTTCCGGCACGACGCAGGCATCTCAGGGCCTCCTCCATACTCGTTTGACCGCCCGCCGACGAGTAACGGCAGGATGACAGATCCTGCAAACACCACCACCACCACCAACAACAACAACAATAATAATAATAACCCGCCCACCACCCCTAATTTTGATAATAGTACCTTCCCTGGCGGCTTCCCCCTGTTCGCCACCGAGACAACAACAACAACAACAACAACCAACGCCGCCGCCGGTGCCATGAACCCGTCGATATCGGCCCGGTTCTCTTCAGCGTTAGGAGCACCTTCTGTCTCGCCGGTCCCGCACCCATCAGCGTCGGGGTCTGTGCACGGGAGCGAATCAATAGGGAGTCCAGATCTGGTCTCGCTACCGAATCAGCATTTCGGATGGCAGAATATCAGCGGTGCGCCGTCAGAGATGCCTGTTGATTTTGTCCAACACCAACAGCGACAACATGCACACCAACAACAACAGCAACAACAGCAGCAGCAGCAGCAGCAGCAAACGATTGAGGACTGGGAAACGGGCGATCTAGGCCTAGACCTAGGAATCCCACTGGAAGAAATCTTTGGAAACGCACCGTGTAACCAGAACGGCGTACCGAATGAGGACTGGATCCAGTGGATGAATGTGGGGGTGTAATTCTTCCGTATAATTGTTGATACCTTTTTTTTTTTTCTATTCTGTTTATACCTTGATTTGTTTATGTCTTTTCGTTCTGTTGTACGGAGTATGATCATGCGTGATGAGATATGTGGTGTTAGGAGTAGGAATTGATGTTCAAGTCCAGCTACACTGTAGACAGAGATCTTACAAGGCTCTTTACCTAGGTAGATGGATGTATACTTAGGAGATACTATTTAATAGAGTGGTTGGTAAGACATTACTATAATATAAATGATCTCATAGGAGTGGATATGCCAGTCTGACTAATCTAATTGATATGGACCCGCCATAACTACTTGATAGCTCAAGCTTGCTGTTAGTAACTACAGGTCTCTAGCAACTGTCTTCATCCATTGTACCATATATACATATATATATATATATATATATATAATGCTCAAAGCATCCACTCTCCTCTCGTGGCTATTCTACTTGATCCCCGTGTATCTCTTCATCGGGGCTCCCCTGTTCCGCCAGATCTTCCCTGACTCCAATACACCGCAGAGTGCATCGACGTCGAGACCGAGCTCGATCTTCGAGGATTCCGAGACAATAGCCAAACCACACGATGACACGTTCCTGAGCCCCGACAATGGGGAGGATCTCACCTGTCCGGGGGAGAATTACCACGTCCACCTGCTACGCCGAGACCCTCTAGTCATCTATATCGAAGGGTTTGTGTCCGAGGAGGAGGCAGACCATCTAGTTCGAGAGAGGTATGTATTTCTATATATATATATAAAGAGAAAACCATGTACTCTGTACCGTGTTAACCAAGTGTTCTCTCTGTTTTTTTTTTACGAATGTCAGTGTCGACAAGTATTCCCCCTCTATTGTTTTCGACGGGACGACGGAAAAAATCGACCCGAGCATCCGGCACTCCGACCGCGCCCTGCTGGACCGCGACGACACGGTCCGCTGTCTGGAAGAGAGAGCCCGCGCGTTCCAGGGCTGGCGGCCGAATCTGTATATCGAGCGGATGTGGGCGCAGCGGTACAACGCGTCGGGTCACTATGTGCATCATTTCGACTGGGCAGGCACCGCAGGGCGCGTCGGGGGGGGCGATCGCATCAGTACCTTCATGGTCTACCTGGGAGCGAACTGTACGGGGGGGGGAACGCAATTCCCACAACTCACGAAGCCGAGAGGGAAGAAATGGTGTCGGTTTATCGAGTGTGATGGTGATGTCGACGGTGACAGCCAGGTTGGCGAGGGGATCACGTTCAAGCCCATCAAGGGGAATGCGGTGTACTGGGAGAATCTACGTCCGGATGGGACGGGCTATCCGGAGACTTGGCATGCGGCGTTGCCAGTTACAGGGGGGGAGAAGGTGGGGTTGAATATTTGGAGTTGGTATCAACTTCCTGCATGATGTTAGTTCCAGTGTAGTTACATTATGCCGTGTAACATGTAACTATAGATAGCTCGGACCATGGAGTGATTATACAAAAATATACCCACTGGTAGTACTGGTATATACTAGGTACATTACCTCCTAGGTACTAAAGTATCCATAAATACGGAGTACTAGGTCTAGGTACCTAATTCCATACGCCAAGAGCGGATATCTAGCAAGAGACAAATACGCTTATTCTTACCCTGTGTAGTACTAGTTAACTACTAGGTAATATTTACCTAGGTAGTTAGGTACCTAGGTAGTTACCTACGACTACCTTACCTAGGTACCTAGTAGTAAGTCGACTGCTTCGGCTAATACGAACCTAGGAAGTGGCAACCTCAGGCACCCACCTTGCGCTGGCTCATGTGCCCTAATTGCCTCACTTTGTCAGCCTCCCGCCCAGCCAATCATACCCCCTCGTGCGCGCCACTCTTGGCCCGGTCTTGTCCCTGTCTTGGGCTGGCGCTCCGCCGGCTGTTTTTCTGGGCACTCTCGGCTCCCCCCCCTCTTCCTCCCTCTCTCCTGTCTGTCTGTCTGTCTCCCCCGTCTCGACTCGAGAGTCTTTTCCCCTTCCCTCCCTCTGTCTTCTGAGTCGCCCTCCTCCTTCGTTCCAGGTTGAATTCCTTTTTTTTTTCTTTTCTTTTTCTATCTTCGCCTGGTTTACATATGTCGCTGTGATACACTAGGGGAAGGGCTATTGATTAATTTCCACGCCTGGTCCACGGTTGATGTGTCCTGTTGGCTTGTCTTGAGTAGCACAACTCAGTTCGCTATTGACAGTCTGTTCAGAGTTTATTCGACCCTCTTCTTCTGTCTCGATTATCGTTTATCTATTCCTTTCTTTTCTTCACCGTTCCTCTTGTGTGCGTGCGTGTTATCGTCTGTCCTCCGCCCTTGGCAATGTCGGAACACCAAGACCCAACTTCGTCGGTCCCTCCCGCCACGACCGCCCCTGGCGCTCCCCTGACCACCACCCAAGATCAGCCCGCATCAACACACTCGCCATCGCAGGTCTCGCCTGCGACCGCCGCGGCGGCAGCGGCAGCGGCTGCTGCTGCTGCCACGGCTGCCGCTGCGGTGGCCGCCGCCCCTGTCAACGTCAGCGTGAACGGGGCCGCCCGACCGGGAGAAGACTTGCTGTGTCAGTGGCAAGGATGCTCTGAGCGTTGTCCCACGCCAGAAAGTCTCTATGTATGCCTCGTCGTGAACATATGAGAGTTCATCAGGATCCACCCCCCCGTCTAACCCCGTTTCAGGAACACGTCTGCGAGCGCCACGTCGGCCGCAAGAGTACGAACAACCTCAACCTCACTTGCCAATGGGGCAACTGCCGTACCACCACCGTCAAGCGTGACCATATTACCTCCCATATCCGCGTCCACGTCCCCCTGAAGCCTCACAAGTGCGACTTCTGCGGCAAGGCCTTCAAGCGGCCCCAGGACCTCAAGAAACACGTCAAGACCCATGCCGATGACTCGGTCCTCGTCCGCTCCCCGGAACCGGGATCTAGGAACCCTGACCTGGTATTTGGCGGCAATCCTAAGGGTAAGTCTTTGCTTTTTCATT